AGGGAGGAAAAACCCTTCCCCCATTTCAAATTCCCTGCTCCAGGAGCGTTCGTAGGAAGGGTAGAATAAAGAGTCATTTTTTTCTCTTTTCTCTGTGGAACGGGCCAACTTACCGTACACATGCGAGTTTAAACGGGTCCAGGAGTGTCAATTTTTTTCTTTAACCCCTTTTATTTCTCCGTGGTGATAAAATATATATAAAAATGAAAAAACAATACTCCTTTTTATTGCTAAAAAAAATTTAACAATAAACTAATGCATGGTATCTAATGGGCTAACCGCTAACCATAAAATAAAAGAGTTGAATGGGCCTGACCTCACGGGATTTGGCCATCAAGTAAAACAAATGAACATCATTGGTTTGCCATTCTAAAACAAGCTATTTTCTCTTGCATAATATATATTATGCTATTATTTTATATCTTAGTGGCTAAAATATAATTTATTTTAAAGTGATTCAATGGTTCAACCTCGACCAACCCAATTAGTCCAATTTTTATCATTTCAAATATATATTATATAATTATTTGATATCATATGCTCAAATTATAGTGTATTTTATAGGGAATCGTTTGGTATTTGTTAGTAAAAAACTAAACATAAAGATCTATTTGGTTATTTTAAACATTAAAACGATCCTAAACATTTTCAGTTCCTTTTGAATTTCTATGATTTTATTCCCGAATAAGTGATGTGCAAATGGTGAATTGTAGTCGTATCTTTTCTTTCACTATTTTTATTTTCAAATAGAAAGTTTAAAAGTAAAGAATAATTAGAATTTGGCATGGGTCGGTCAAACAGGCTGAATTTCAAGTTTTGGCCCGTTTGTTTTATGCATTGCAAATTTATTAGCATGTTGATGGAAATGGCTTGGAAAGAAGACATATAAGTTGTACCCTTGCAGAAATGTCCTCAAATGTTTGAATGCTTTGTGAATCAGGTTCCGTGACTTTTGTGATGGTGTATGAGCTTGACGATTGCTCGATGTTGTAACTGCTTAATTTGGGAGTAAATCTTTTGATTTTCCCTATGAGTTGTGATACCAGTTCTGGTGGTTACAACATGTTGTCGTTGTTGGCCTGTAAAAGTTGTTCCGCCGTGATGCTAAATACCTTTCTTTCTTTTTTTAACAAATTGTGTAGTAGTGCTATGAAATAGACCACCCATGAACGCTACGCTTATTATGGTATGTTCTTACTTCGGGTGGTGAGAAATTGTGAATTGAGAATCATATTCGCCTACCGCACTGTGTCTGGCTGGTGGCTGCTTACTGTGCTCTCTAGAGTTATGAAACAGACTACCCATGAACGTTATCCTTAAGAGTCCATAACTTTGCGAAAAACCAAATTTAGTCAATCAAAGGTGTTGGATGTGTGATGATTTTTTATGGCTTAATTGTTTGTGAATTGGATATCTGATCTTTGTATGGTTAGAGGGGATGTTTGCTTAATAGAATAATCCATTTTAATTCATGTTTATTTTTAACATGAACTTTAGTAACTCAAAACCTTCGAGACACATATCACCTACTGCATTGTATCATTTTGCCTGGGTGCTTGCTATGTTGTCAAACTTTTTTGCTGCTGCTTTTACACTAACAGGGAGTTAAGAACCCATGAATGTTTTCGTTTGACACAAACAAGAGGACTTGCTTCTAAATCGTGCAATAAAGATGATTGGAGGAAACATCTCTGTTGCAGTTGATATACTGAGACCAGAACAAAAGCAACGTATAACATCAAAACCAACCATCTGAACTATTAGCATTGTTGCTTTACTATTTTTTCGTGGTTGAGTCTCCTTCAAAAAATTTAGTTTGATTTTAGAAAATTTTGCTTCTGCAGTCCTGTCTTGCCATCAACGCGTTCAGTAGATGGAGATGGCAGATGCAAAGGCTATTTTTGTGTTGTTGTTGTTGTTGGTTTAGGGATCGGATTGTGAAGTAGAGGGAGAAGAGAGGGGGAAAGGGAAATGCAGGAGAGGGGGATAACTCTTTTCTCCGACAAAAATGGAGTGAAGAAAGGAATTATGATCAGTAAGGATATGGTTATCTTACATAACGGTCTCTATTCTGTTTGAATTGAGCTTCGGTGGCAGTGATAAGGACGAGCTGCAACCAATTCATAGTGAGAAGAGAGCTATGAACTGTGATCATGTCTTATTTCAAGTTAGAAAGTAGTTTCAGTATAAGGATTATTTAATTTGACAAGTTGTTTCGTCCATGATTCTTTGTAGTTTCAGTGCCATTCTAGCCATTGTTTAGTCTGTAATTTTTGAGAATTGATGTGCGAGTAATGAGTTTCACTTAGCTTCAACTATTATGTGTGTATTTATTGGCATGTGATAGAATTCTCTTTTCCTTTTCTTTGAATTCAGTTTCATACTCTAATTGTATCATTTGTACATAGGCAAATCATGCTCGAGATGACAACTCGCTGATATGGCTGGTGCAAGGAACGAAGCCATCATTAGAATTCAGACCGACAACGGGGAGGGATGCCCGGGACTAATTCAATGATGATTGATGATGGTATAATAAAAACTGCAGTCTGCATCAGCACCAATTTCTAGGCCTAAGTAAAGTTATTCAACCCAGAACTCTGCTTAGTGCTAAAAATTGCCCTCACCCAACTTTGATCATGTTTGACCCACTTCTGAAGAGTCAAGATATATGACTAATCCTCTCCGTTCGTATTTTTCTATTTTTTTATTGATTCTTTCTGACCCTTTAGGTTGGGGCGGGTCGGGAAGAATCAGATTAGTGGGTCGGTCCTAATCAAGTGGAATCCCAATCCCTTCACTCTCACTTGCTTTCTCTCCCATTCAACAAGTGGGTAACATAGAGTAATCCGGCCAACGGCCGGGTAATAAGCTAGTTTCTTATAGATGTGTAAAAAATTGTACACTCAATCCAATTTATAGACAATGAAAAGATAACTTGCTCGAATGAATTGATAATTGTTCATGTTATCCATTTCATATGTCAAACTGCCTCGTAGAAAGAAAAAAATTGGCTGACTCAATTGTTGTAGCCTGATGGTTGAAGAGATCAACCATCAAATTATCGCATTTTTTACGTTCCAGTAAATGATGCTCGACTTATGCATTATACAAAACCATGAGTATGCAACAATTATGCAGTACTAGGCAAAGGAGAGAGAGAGAGAGATGAACCCACCTTGGATAATATAGAGTACTATGTTTAATATACATGGCGGTGAATTAGTAGCCAAAATAATAATGCAATAGGATATGAAAAGATGGCATTCTTGTTGGATCTACAATATATAGATATAGGCTCCCTCTTTTTTTAAATATGTTTTCCCATAACTAGCATGAATGTCTAATTGGACTTTGTTATTATTAATTTGATGGATGTCCCTCAGGGTTAGTGGGAAGGGGGGCAAGGTGCTCAAAGAGTTCAATCCTTGCATGTTATGGTGTCCCTCCACTTTTAGGTCTTTAATTAAAATGGAAAAAGTACAATTGTACATATAAATATTAACTCTTGTCAGAAAAACAACAACACTTGGACTAATTTCTCTAAAGAATGTATATGGATTGTTATTTGAGTTGTAAGAAATTAATAACACACGAATTTATTTGTGAATCTAGAGAAATCTGAGTTAGTTCACTTGTGCAATTATAGAATTGTTATCTTAATCGATCTCAATCGATTATGATTCTGTATTATCTGACCTGCGAGCAATGTGGGAGGACTTGTGAGTCTTAGTCTTGTTCTGTCTCTAACCTATAGAGCCAAATTATCTGATATGACTCACTCTTTAGTCCTTATGACATATATGTATGGTTATTCAACCTAATAACCATTTCCCCTAAATTGTCATTCATAATTCCAAGGTTTTCACTATAATATTGAGCTACAAGTGCAATTTCGAAATGGCTATCACTTGATAGTGGATTGACACTAGGAGGGTGTTATTAGAACATCTTTAAAATTGTTGTGTTTGAATTGTTGTGAACTTATGATGACCATTTCTAATATTCTTAATGAAGTATGGTCCAACCATATGTTATTTTGATTTAGGTCTATATAGTAGGTTGGATATATGATAACGTATGGCTTGCTACTAATGCATTACTATCATAGATGCAACTGTATTAACGCTCATATGGACAACCACTAAGTGACATTTTAGTAATTTAGTAGACATTACATTTGTAGTCTCAATGTTAAAATAAAACAATATATTCAACTAATATCGTATTAGTGTAATATCGTTAAACCTAACCGATATTGTTATGAATTTCTAATGAAACTATGGAAAAATTGCGAGATGTTTTTTTCATAATATTTTTGTAATGACTATGGATATACTAATTTGTATGGCGGTGGACGATTTTTATGGTTCGATCAATGATAAGACATTGTTTTATAATCTTAATTTAGGAAAATAAGAAGACAAAAGAATTTGACAAAAATAAACAAGCCCAAGCCCAAAACGTGCTGGGAAGTAATAAGAAAGGGAGGAAAAAAATATAACAGAGGGATCGGTTAGCATGCTAACCCTTGTATGGGTTGGCAAAATGACAACCCCTATTAATTATAGGTTTTTAAGGTAATTAATTTGTGAGGCATTTAATAATCTGTATGAATTAAAAACACATATTGATTACTTTCCTTTTTCAGTGCACTGGTAGTTGTATCAGTACACTGGTATACTGAACTCATATTAATTACGTTCCTTTTTTGGAACTACCATTGGAGTGATACATCTACCATTGCACCTGTACACAACTACCAGTGCACTGATACAACTACCAGTGCACTGAAAAAGGAAAGTAATTAATATGTGTTTTTAATTCATACAGATTATTAAATGCAACACAAATTAATTACCTTAAAAACCTATAATTAATAGGGGTTGTCATTTTGCCAACCCTTTTATGGGTAGGCATGCTATCTCATCCCATAGTTTATAAGAGCTGAAAAGTCAAATCACTCCAACTCCAGCTTCCAACAAAACTACAAAAGAAAGAAAACAAAACAAACCCCAATTTCCCCTCCTTCCTTCGTCTCTTTCACCCTGCACAAGTACTGCCAGGCCCAGACCTCTCCCTATTTCCCAACCTCTCTCTCTCCTTGTGTCTTCACTCTTCACAAGTCCCTTTCCTCTCCCCTTGCAAGAGGAAATCTTCTCCACCATCAACCCACTGCTCAATTTCCTTTTCCTTCACTTTCCCCAAGCTCACTCCTCTGTTTTTTCCCTTGTTCCCCCATCATCTTTAGCTCAATGATGGCGGTCAAACCAAACCCCATTGGCTAAACTTTTCCTCCTCTCCGCCCCGTTTTACCTCCCCAGTTCCCACCCCATAAGCCTAGAAGCAATGCTGGACCAAGACGGCTACGATTCTTCCCATGTTTCATCTTCATCATCATCTTCTTCTTCAAGCTCTGTTTTCTCTTCTTCCTCTGTTTTTCCGTGGCCGCCGGTCGGGGCGCCTATGATACTGCAGAGGGACCAGGACGACCATCTGGGACACTTCGACAACTCCGTCAATGCGGTGTCGTTTGGGTTCGTCGCCACCGCAATCCTCATCTCGATGTTTTTGGTCATGGCCATCTTCGAGCGGTTTCTCCGGCCGGGTGGTTCCGGTCAACGGACCGGCGACCTCGAGTCCCAGATGGGTTACAACTCCAAGCTCCGCCACCCTTCTCCCAAGGTGAGTCATTCCAAAAGTTCTCATCTTTTTCCATAACTTCAGCATTATCCTTCCCCTTCCCTGCATTTTGCTCTGCCATGACTTCATCAACCCACACGTTGAAATGGTCTCCATGGCTGGTTTCTTTTTAGGTAATTTTGTGGAAAGTAACGATATTTTCTGCAAATTTACCAAGTTTGTTCGAAAATTTGAGCTGGGTTAATCGAAGTTCTTGACTTTGAGTTAGGTAGGGAGGAAGAAATGCCTGCATGTTTTCATCTTGGTTGGTTGGCAGAGTACCTTTTCCTTTCTGGTTTTTGTCTGTGTTTGTTTTCTAGATGAGTTATGAGTAAAGAGACCCACCAATCAATTGGGACAATTTAGAGTACACATTTTGTTGTGTTGGTAATGAATCTTTGGCTGGAAAGGAAAGGACCCATCTTTTCATGTTTCATTTGTCTACAATGGAGGACAGATTTTGGGTTGGCAAAAGGCCCTTGTAGAGGAAATGATTCCTCTGTTTTGGACAAGTTTTGAGGGGGATTGAAGCTTTCTTCTTCCTTTCTCATCCACGTCTTTGCTCCAATCACAAACAAACAAAACTTCCATGTTTAACTGCCCCTCTGATGTAGTTGTAGTTTGTGGGGATTGTGAAAACCATGTGTTCTGATTTAGACCTTAGATTAGGGTTCTTGCGGAGTATCCTATGAAAACTACTTGGGAACATGAATGCACATCACAGAACTTTGGTCATCCATGTGCAATACTCTTTGGGGGGAACACAAATTGGGCCCCATCTCTCCTGATTCCAACCTTATTGGCCAATAAGAAAGGGCCTTAAAAGAAAAGAAAACCTCCTGAACAAGATAGGTACATTAGCTAGTCCCTACACAACTAGGACTTGTCTGCCTGCTTGATCAGTATTTTGCCCTTTGTTTTCTTCTATGAAGTGACCATTTCCTAATAATATGTCTTGGAATGGCGACCTAACACCCAAAAAATACAATCAGGTTTGTGAAATTAATAAGGTCCATGAACCACATCTTGTGTCACCTCACCTCATTGTGTAGACAAGAAAGGCTCTGTCAAATTGGTCATTAATGGCGGTAGTTAGGAACTAGGATGGCATGAAATTGCTGAAACTCATGCATATGAGTTGTTAGTTGCAGGGGACACAATGTTTGGTTCATAACTGTCATGTGACAACAAGTTTACTTGTTAGGGCAAAACATCAATATAATGCTTCAAACCGCTTTTAGGAGATCAATTCTCCCTTGTGGATCTTACACCATCATCCAATACATTAAAGTATTGGAAGCGGTAAATTTCATATTGCATATTAAGATAATCAATTAGGTAATTAATTTCCCTCGAGAAGTTGAATTTATTATGCTTTCTTTGATAGTTGAGATAACACTTATGGCTCCACAAACAAAAGAAGTACCACAAAAGAGCTTTCATTTTGATCTTGATTTGAAATGGGGCCACTTAAGGTTGAGTAGAAAGAACCCTAATTAACATTGATGTGGTTTATCTATGGAGTGCTTTACTAATTACTATTAAGCAGTTGCCCTTTTCGTACATAATCAATTTTATCTTTGTTTACCAATTGTTTGTTAATGGTAGATGACGATATATGCAAATGGGGTATCGGTGTTGATGCCTGGAGACAACATACCTACATTCATAGCACATCCAGCGCCGGTTCCCACCTTTGCTGCTCAACATCACCAGCCGCCGCCGCTGCCACAACCACCACCTCTTCCTCCTCCTCAGACGCACCACCATGAAGCCGCGGAGGAGACACCGGGCTCGTCGTCTCAGGGGGAACTAAGCTGGTGAAGGGTATTTTGGCTGGGAAATGGGGAAACTTTTCTTGTATATATATGATAGGGTTGGGGTTTGAATGTATTAGGGTTTTAGTAGTTGGTCGGGGAGTTGTTTTTGATGAGTTGGGGAAGACGCTCATTTTTTTTCCAAAGTAGCAGGCAGAAGTTGGAGAGTTTGGGTCTATTTTGGTGAATCCCTATGGATCACGGATTGGAATTTGGGTCTATTTTTCATCCTCTAGAGTTATTACTATCTTGTAAACATTTTGATCCGGGAGGGGAATGTAATTATGCATTAATATTGAGCATTGGAAGCTACATATGGAACCATGGTCTCAAAGTGAGTTTCATTCAAGTTTCTGATAAGTGTGCGACACAACTCTTTCTAAGGAGTTTCATTCAAGTTTCTGAGATAGTAGCCCGGTAATTTCGGAAGAAGGGGTGCATCTTCACAAAGAGGGGTCGCAATGATCGAGCCAGAGCGACTATTTACAGTAATATAGATTTGCAAAATGTGGTAAGAACATGTATTGAGGTTGACACCCGATGAATAAATCTTCCATGAGTTTCAATCAATTAACTAAAAGAATGAAATTTGTAGATATTATGACAATACTAACTAATTGGTCGTTCTAATCTAAATTACCAATCAACATAGTCCAAAAATCACAAATTACACATAAACCATATATCTATCAGCATATTAGACAAACATTAATACATTTGTATTGGGGGGGATTGATACTGATTGAGTACATAAATGATCAAGTTTAAGAGGTATTTAGGATTTTATTTTATGAAAACTCAATTTTTTTAGAATGGAAGTAAAAAAAAAAAATGTACGTCTCATGGCCAGTCCCAATAGGTAAAGGCAGCAACGCCGCTCCCAAAGGCAATGGAATATGAGAATTTCAAACCTCGTTCATAATCCCCCGTCCGGCGGAGTTGCTCCGGCGAAGGAATCACCTCGACGCCTTCAAGGGAATAAAAGGCCTTTGATTTCCGACGTTTACTCCCGGATCTTACAAGCATTGTCGATTCTTTTGCTCGCTCCGAAATTTTCCAAGTAAGGGATTCTCGCAAACCCCCCGTCGAAATAAGATTAACCCAGTCAAACTAAGCAAATAAAAGAATCGCCGGCGGCGACCGGAAGATCTAAAACAGAGACGAGTTTTCGAATGTGCGGAGAGTTACTAATAAACGCATCTGAACGGTAAACAAAAGGATGCATCATCAGCGAAACTCTCAGCAAGAATTAGTATCGGCCTCCCATGAATCAGGTCAAGCACCGCCATTGTTTTACGAATGCTCTAAGCTCGCCTGGGATTATGAAGGCCTTTTTCAATCCGAACATACAACCAAAAACTCAGATCTATCGGGAAACAAACAATGAAAAGAAGTACAGAGAGAAACAGAGTAAGAATCAAGTGTTTGATAGCTCCTACAGAAACAGTTCTGTTTTTTTTTTTTCCACCAAAAAAATCAGTAAAAATACACCAAATATCTCTGCAGGAGATATCAAACAGATTGGAGGCCGCAGTTTAGTGGTTTGGAGGAGACGATGGGAGTGTAGTTTTATAGCTGGTACGGATTGAGGATGTGAAACCCTAAAGGCTTTTTTTCAATAATTGATTTATTGGGCTTGGTCAGTGGGCTAGTGTTTTATAGCTTCTTGGGCTGTTAATTTTTAGTGGACTTATCAAGCCCGAATTTAGAAGGCCTCATCTGGACGCGAGAGAAAGGATCTTAGGATCCCACACCGGCCCGTTTGGTCATATAATTTCGGTAATTAGTGTCATAAAGTTCTGGACTTTGTACAAAACAAGTACCGTTTTTTTAATTTTATATGATTTGGTAGTGCACATATACTTTTTTCGAATAATTATTAATGTAATCTCAATTATGTTCCAAATAATGAGGGTCGGATTTGTCACTAATGTTTACTAACAGATAAAAACGTCACGTCGCGTCTAATATGAAGAATGTAGGGTTACTATCAATTGGTCGTCGTTAAATGTTGCTTAAAGTAAAAAAAATCGTCATTGAATGAATGTTTTATTTTGTGCGTAGAGAGCGTAGAACGACGAGATAATAAGTTAATGTGAATCCTGATGATTTGTGAAATCTTCTACTAGTATTCCCAAATTTGAGAAATACTATGGAAGAATGCGAGATACTCGTTAGCTATATTATGTAGCAATGATGCGGAACAATAAGTTCGTCTCGATACTCGTTAGAGTAGTACTCCCAAATTGAAGAAGTGAGCAATATGTAGCAAGTGCTGTTCTCTTCTCATTAAAGCAAGTTAGGTTCCACACAAGTCTCGAGCAGTATATAGGTAATTTCCCCCGAGGAGAACATGCTTTGCACTGTTTCCTTCCTTTTGTCTTAATTAAGCCACTAATCCATCTTATCGCAACTTTTGATCTTAGTCAGACAAAGAAGAATCTTGGGGTTTTAAGGGTCCAGCTAGGATTACAGGTGACTAGCTAAGTTATACATAGTTATAGAAACTAAATACCTTAAGGCACACGTAACAGGAGTACCACTGTGAGTGCACGAGAACATGAACAAACTAGCTAGGGTCTCTTTCATCTCGTTTCATCTCAAATGTTTTTTTTTTTTTTACTTTACTTACTTAATCACCAAGATGAAGATCAAAAGAGACAAAAGCAACGTCGTAAATCGTAATGAAGCCGGCTTTCCACCATTGACACCACGATCTAGCCATCCGCCATTAGTTGAATCCAACCCTGCAAGTTTCCCAAGCTCCCTCATGGGTTTCCCCTAATGGTCGAAAACGAGTTTCAACACCCAAATCCAGCTTCTCCTCTCCCATCCATTGCATGGGGATATACATAATCACTAATTATAGACCAATCCTTAACACCATTGCCTTGCTGAAACTTTAACCTAATCTAATTACAAGCTTTAACAAACCTAGCTAAGGCTCTGAAACGAACCCTATAAATACCCTTCCATTGATCAACAACCAGCGCTCCCCACACCACACCACAACCCTTCTTCCACTTCATCCTCCTATCTCCAAAAAAAAAAACTTCCAAACTACAACAATGATCACATTCACCTCCATGCCGCCTCTTTCAAAGCCCGTGAAAATTGCCGCCATAGTCATCCTCGTCCTCCTCGTCCTCGGCCTCACTGTCTTAATCCTGTTCTTGACCCTCCGTCCTCATCACCCAACCTTCACCATCTCCAAACTCGACGTCATACAACTAAGCGTCGCCCCGAGCCTGCCACCGGACCTCCAAATAAGGAGCACATTTAAGCTTGCCCTCCTCTCCCACAACCCGGACAAGCGGAGCCGAGTGGAGTACGAGCCCGTGGAGATAGCCGCTTGGTACAAGGGGAATCGGATCACCGAGGTGGAATCATACCATGGATTCCACCAATCAAATGGGGAGTCGGATTTGATGACGGTTGTTCTCGCTGGCTTCCACCTGCAGTCGGCGACGTCCTGGTTCGAGCTCGGGATGGACATCGACGCCGGGAAGGTGGCGGTGAGCATCGAAGCGACGGGGAAGCTTAGGTGGACGGTGCTTGGTTTCATCTCGACTCGTCGGTTTACATTCCACGTCGACTGTAGAGCTGTTTTTGTACTGTACGGGCCGGGAAGTTGGACGTTACTGGATGATCCTGAATGTTCCAAAACTCAAATTTGAGTTTTATTTACCTATCTATCTATATGTATATCTGTGTGAGATCAATTAATGATATATATATGTATGTATGCATGTATGATATGCATGTTATTGGAACATCCTATGAAGTGACGACCTTTGTTTGTGTTCATTGAATCTGAACATCCTATGAGACGGCTCTCTAGTTCTGTTGTCACAAATCACACATTCCTATCTCGCTTTGATGAAGTTAAACAAGGTCGTTTTGGTTATTTTCCATGCACATTAACGAGACTTTATTGGAAATCAAAGGGAATTGTGCGATTAGGAAAATTTCCCCGAAATTTAGGGGCTGCTTCAATAAAATTAAAGTTTAGAAGTTTAGTAATTTAGAGGCTATATTGACAGATGGCATTTCAGTCATTTTTCATGCACATTAATGGCCATTTCATGGAGAAGTACCTGCTGCAAGGACTAAGTTGGGAAAACTTTGGAAGTTGATATATATATATATATATAGGTGTGTTCAAGAATGATGAGGATAATAGCTAGGTTAGCGTGACAAACTTTGTTTTAAATGTTCTGTAACATCCGATCTTTTAATTTTTAGGCAAAATACACTTTCATAGCCATAACTATTCGCGTTGTGACAAATATAGCCACTTTTTGAAAAATACACTCGTATAGCCACAATTTTAAAAAAAGTTAAACTAATTTGACAAATTTAGCCATTCCCGTTAGATAATTTAACACCGTTAACTCTCAATGTACACGTAAGCAAATGGGACTAAAAGTCAAATCTGAGTCACCTATTCTATGCCACGTATAAGCCACATCAGTTTATATTAATATTTTAAAAAATTTCCTTCATTATTTTTCCACCACAATTCACCTTTCCCTTCGCTTATAGACAAGCCTCTACGGCCGACGCTTCAATAATTGACCCGCCGGAGACTAAACTCGCCGCGCCGGCGACTAGGTCGAAAGTCGACTCAATCCAGCGATCGATTATTCAACGACGACAAGCCCAAAGCTTTAAGTCGATATTCTTTCGGGAAAACCTAATCCCATGGTGGATTTGATAAGAAATTTCAATCAACTGCAACTGTCGAGATTCAAAATTTCGAAGTGCAGATCTAGATGACAAACAGAGAGTGGGGAAGGATGAGCACTGCAGTGGCGGCAGGGAAAGGTCCGATTTCAAATATGATTCTTCTGGTTCTACGCAGAAGAACCCATAACTCCAAAACGTATTCTTCTGGTCCTGGAGAGAAGCGAGCTGCTAAAATCGAGCCGCCGCCGCCGCCTCTCCTCTGCCGAAGTACCTCTTCCCTCCAATCATCGTCATCGCAAGGAGGTCCGAAGTCAAATCGACAGGCGCGGCTCCCGGGTTAGAGTGGCGATGGAGCATGCACAGGATCTCATTAGCGCGGATGGAGGAGAAGAGATGGAGGCGGTGTTCGAAGAAGATCTCCAGGTACATAATCTCATCTCAAACAGGATCTCTAACTTCTTACCAACAGACAACCTCCCACGCGGCGGCAAACACCACCACCCTCCACATCATCAATTTGTGGGTAATTTCTGGTTTCCAGTGACCGATTCTTGTAAATGTGCAGAAAGAAGAATTCATGAAAGAGATTGGAAAATCGGCAGGAGGAGGCAGAGGAGAATCTCAGAGCGGGTCTGCGGCGGTCGTTAAGGATTCTTGTGGCCACCTAGCCGCAGAGGTCGGTACCCATCGCAGCGACGGGCAGAGGCTGAGATGCGAAGGGATTGAGGAGAAGGGAATCGGAAAAGATGATCCAGATCGGTCTCCTGGGTAGATGGAAAGAAGGGGAAAAGAAGATGGTCGATTTTTCATTTTCATTAATTCTTATTTTTTCTTTTTAATGTAATTATAATAATAACTTAATAAGAAATGAAATTTTCCACCTAGGATTGGTTTAAACAAAAAATTGCCACGTCACTATAAAACGTTAGTACAGTCAGCATTTATGATGTTGCCGTTAAAGTTTTGGACGGAATGGCTATACGAGTGTATTTTTCAAAAAGTGGCTATATTTGTCACAACGCGAATAGTTATGGCCATGAAAGTGTATTTTGCCTAATTTTTATGCAATTCCTAAATTGCCCCTCATTGGTTATGGATAATACATTTACCCCTAAGCTAAACCCCAGATCAGCTACGATAGTGTGTATATCCTAACACTACATTATAGAGATTCCAGCCAGCATCACCTTTAATTTGTGTTTTCCTGCGCTCTGCGCAGTTCACGGGAGGCCAATTTGGTAAAATGGCTCCGTTGGCTCCGTTCCATTGTGATGGGCCGCGTATAAAAAATGCCTCCGTTGGCTAATGTCTGGGCCCTCCCTCAAAGCCCAATGCAAAGCTCCGTCACTCGAAGTCCATTACAGACCGATACTCTTCCCTCTTGCCATCTCTCCCAAACGAACCACAACTCGCCAGCCGCCGCCGAACTCGATCTGCTCCTGCCCAAACAACCTCACCGCGACGTCATCGCCTCACCACCCAGCTCACCGCTCCTGTCTCCAGCATCTCTAGCCATCCCCCAACTCTCTCGCTGCCGGGCCAACTCACCGCGCCCATCGCCTCCTCCAGCCTCCAGTTCAGCTCGCGTCTCCAGTCTCTTTAGCTACCGGAAATCGAGCATACCTCCTCAAAACTTCAAGCCAGGTACTGTACAGAATACACGCACAGTGGTTTCTTGCTTTACTTGAACATAACAGTGTATGTTTGATGGTTGAATACAGGGAGCTGCAACTCACCTATATGTGGCTCTGCATCCGCAAGTGAAAGGGGTGTCAGGGGAATTCTTCAAGGACAGCAACTTATCCAAACCGGGAAATCGAGCATCAACTCGGAGCCCGTGTTGTGTTCAAAAAGAATAGATTGGGCTTGGAGATTTTGTTTCCCCTTCCTTCGCCCCTTAGTCATTTAGTTGGTGGCTGCTCAAGTTCGGTATAATCTCTTTAACTATTTCACAATGTTTGAACTTACAAAATCATTACTCTTCAATGTAAATTTTAGAAATTCTTGCACATAAGTCAGAGTTGAAGAGAATTAATCATCCTTTGGCCAAATTAGCAAGAAGGAAACGTGCTATTTATATAAGGCAGAAGCGTATATATGGCAGAATGGTGAACATTCCTATCGGTAATCCATTTGTTCCATGTTTGTTTTCGATTTATTTGTTATCAGTTTAATATGTTATGCTGCTGTGATTAAATTTTTTTTACCTAATTCTTATACAGGATTGCAAAGTGAGATGGATAAGTTACAATCTAAGAGAAATAGATTATTGAGATCTATCAAATTAATGGATCAAAATGCGATCAACCTAAAATAAGTGCTAAATATAATGCAGAAAAATGAGGAAGAAACTCCCCAAATGCAAGAGAAGGAGGCGTCAACATTTAATGGATCAAAATGCGACACCAATGGCGAGAATGCAACTACTATGGATGGATGTACTGATGTTGTCGATGGAGCAGGAAGTGAAAAAAACCAGAAAAAACGGAAACATGGAGTTGTCTACGACGATGAGGAGTAAATAGAAGAATTCTTTTAAAACAAATTTAGGAGTCGGTTACCTTTCATGGGATTTTTCTTTCATTTTTCGTATGAGGATTTAGTCGGTCAGGATGTCGGTTGAATTATTTTATTCTCTTTTTATATTTATAATTAAAGAGGATGTCGGTTGAACTATTTTATTCTCTTTTCATATTTATGGTTAAAAAGGTTGTCGGTTAAACTATTTTCTTCTCTCTTCATTTCGTAATGATTTTGGTACTATGTTGTTGTTTTTCTTCAATGAAAGGCTATGTTTGTTGAAGAAAGACGCAAATCCGTTTATCTATGGTTTTAGGCATACTAACAGGGCTGCCCATTGAGTGGCACAAACGGCCCTTGCATCGGTAGCTCAACACTAGGTTGACTACCGCTTTTAATTTTCAAGAATTGTAATACCCTATCTATTTACGTTCTATCTATGGCAAAAAAAAAAAAAAAAAAAAAAGAGGCTATGTTTGTACTTCCTATAAGGTTTCTCAAGAGGCAACAGCGGAAACCATTAATTATAAGCCACTGTTGCCTAATGATGGTATTCGATGATGAGGCATCCGACTACTCTCCACGCCGTACTCCTTTATCATCCACACATGAACGCTCTCCAAAATACTATGTAAATTGACTGAGGTAAAACTCTATTTCGATGAAATAATTGGTTGAAGCAGGGCCTTCAAACATTGCTTTCTTTGGACTGCATAGTCTTCAATTCCATCTGCAGTCTACACAGCACAATGGAGTTTCAGCCCAAAGTTGTTGAACTAGGTAAACTGTGTGGTGGAGAAGCCTCTTGAAGTTGTGTTCTCTTTTACCTTTTTCAATTTAATTCTTCATTTTTATTATTATTTTGAGTTAGGAGACAAGAATGTTTCGTTATTTGCCCACTTGGTCGAGGAAGAAGTAAAATTCATATGGACTATGAATGTGTGATTCCTTACAATAAGGATAAATTCGTTTCTCATTGTCCGAAAGCCTCCAATTTTACGATCGGGACAAATCCACGGGAGAGTTTAGAGTTTAAAAAATACATTCGACCACAGCCTCTTATGATTTATAAACGAATCCGGCCAACCGGCCGGGCACGTGACTAGTAATATTTATATGTGTGTGTAATGGAATAGCCGCGGAGGAGGGGTCTCTTTCTTTCCGCCGCTCAAATTCTCCCTCGCTCGTGAATTCAACCCTGAAAATCAAGAGCTGAAACGCCCAGCTCCTGATCAATTGGTAGCCACGAAAAGATGCGATAGAGAGAGCGAGATCAATGAGTGGCTGGGCGGAAGTCGTATAGGCAGCAGGCGATGCCATGCATGGAAGTGCACAGAACTTTCACTTCAGTAATGGAGAACTGGAGATAGTTTTATTAAGGGAATAAAGTATGTGAATTGGGCTTAATTTCCTTCCATCAACTAACCATGGGATATGTTGTTGGTGAGCACAACGGATCGGGGTCAAGGAAATGGTTTCTACGGAGGACAATTGAGCAAGGCAATCCAACGTGTGAACTAGCTAGGCTTTCCAACCAGTAAACACATAAGTAGGTGCGTGGCTAGAGCAGTTTCCGTTACCAGTCTATGCATTCACGTTTATGTTTTGCATTTCAGTTCACGTCTTATGTTTCAGTTATTTGTTATTCGCTTCTTTGTTAAGTTAAGCTCTTTACATCCAACAATTACTTTAAGTATGCATAACATCATGAAGCATCAATAAACTATGTTGTAAGTCAAGCAAATACAAGTTCAGTTCTAAGCTAATCAAGTGAAAGTTAATAAGTTCAGATCTTCCCCTTGTGGGAGAGATCCCTAAGTAAGCTCAAACTTCTCAAATTAAGTAAACAAGTATAAGCTTAAGTGCATCTCTCCATCGTGTGAGAGATTGATTCAAGCAAGTACGTTAAGTTATCAAGATAATAAGTCAGAAAAAGATCAAACCTCACTTACTAGCTAAGCACGCGGCCACCTCACTTCCCAGAGTGAGGAAGTCCATGTATACTACCCACTCCTTCAGACAAGGAGTCCATGTTCAAGTTCACGTATTAGGTACCGGACGATCGCCTAGCTAGCGCACGGTTACCTCACCTCCCATAGTGACGGAGGTCCATGTTTATCACGTTTAGGTGGCCGGGCGGGTGCTCTAGCTAAGTGGAGGACGTGGCCCCATGTTAAGATAAAATACGCAAGACACTTATGAAGTAAACAAGAATCATAAGTTCAAGGACTCCTAATAATATACCCAATAATGTACTTACAGCATTGCATGTGCATGACTGTCTGTTTATGTATGATAACGAAATTAGGATTAGGATTGACCCCAACGCCCGCATTCAGGAATTGTAGAAGCTCTAGAGTATGGCAGAAGTTCAACAGTTCGTGACAGGGATCAATGGCTGTAGAGGACTCCAAGGCGAACGAAGATTTTAATCTCGTGTACTTAGTAGGGCTTGAGACTCGATGCGATTTTATCAAGAATTATTATTCTTGAACTTTTGAGAAATTCTTATTTGAATTTTAAGTATTTATTATTAAGGATATCTATGAAGGTTTACGTTGTATTTTCAAATTACTCGATTCTTATTTTGGTTCATGGTTTATCAAGGGTATTTTAGTAAAAATAGCGTCCGGCCAGACTAGGGTGTTACATGTAGGAGTGTACATGGGTCGGGTGGTTCGGGTTTAGTCATTTTAATCACCCGACCCATACACTACGGTTTTTAAAATATCAAACCCAAACCCACCCAAAAAATTTTAAACCCTACGGTTTGTTTCTAATTGGGTTGGGTCAGGTTGGCGATATCTTTAAGTAAAAACCCACCCCAATATAAAATATATAATTATTCTGCATCATAAAAATATTTTATAACTAATTAAAACTTCAAAACGAATGAACCAAGGTGAAAGGTATGAAAATTCACAAATGTTGTTTAAATTTTAATATAATGTAATTTACTTCAACATATGTCTTGTTTTTTCACGATATTTGTTGAAATAGGCTAAAAATGTTATAAACAAACGCATCCATCATATGTTATTCTATTAAAATTGTACACAAGAAAAAGGATTACATAAATCATAACTATATTCAATTTATGTCTAAACTTTAAGTCGAAGAATGCATTAGATTAGGGCGACCATGAGAGAAAAACATGGCGAAATATCTCAATTTTCTCATAAGTATATGACTATATACTACATAAATATTTTTTAGATTCGAACTCATACTAATAGTTGGAACACGGGTTGGGTCGGGTTCTACGGGTTGTGTAATCCAAAATCCAAACCCAACCCAAAAGAGGCGGGTTGTACAAAAGAAAACCCTCATCCAACCCAAAACCTTCGTTTTAGCGATAAATACGGGTGGGTTGGGTCGAGTTGGACGGGTGGATCGGTTTGCGGGTGTGTTTGTTCACCCCTAGTTACATGTTCTCTCTAATGGTAATAGGATAGAATGGCAAACTTTTAAGGGACTGGCCGAAGGGGAAGGGAGCAAAACAAGTACCCACAAGTAATCAAATTAAGTTAATTCTGACATATATACGTACAATATTTGTACACGTATGTATAAAACCAAGCACCCAAAAATAGGGCGAAGGGAGAGGGACTGATCAATTTCTCATTTGATAATTTTTATTCTTCATAAAAATAATAGGGAAAATATTTGAGAAGATCTCGTTATTGTACTTTCAAACGAATCAATCCCCTTCTTTTAAATTTTCTCCAATCGCCTTTTTGTTCTCATGCGATTTTAATCCCAATTTTGTATGCTTTTACGAATTTTACGATTTTAATCTCGATAGTAAACAATTTTAAAGTCCGTCGATTTTATAGTGAAATCAAGATCAGAATACCTAATTAGTAAAATCATACACTTTTATAATCAAAATCCCGATTTTGACTACCATGATTACGAGCATGGTAGTGTTTCTGTATATGTTGTGGTAGTGGTATGTACGGGTGTGGTAGTGATTTGTGTAGGTTAAAGGGATATCTTTTTATGATTTGATATTGATTTCTTGATTTATTTTTGTAGTGATATTGGTTTTCTAAACTCGCATTGGTGTTTTTTGAAGTAGTAGTTTTTTTAATCATTTTCTATTGATTTCTTGTTTTATTTTTGTAGTGCATTGGTTCGTTTAAATGGAGACAAAAGAAATTATTGTGTAGAAGAAGGCAGAGAGGTGGCCAAATAACTGCTCAATTGGGCCTTGAATTTGGTTTTGAACAAATTTTGGTGAAGATTAAATTAGAAGAATAAAACCCAATTGTTGGAATTAAAATCCAATTAGATTTGCACCAACTTTCTTTTCGTATCTGCGAAAAATTGGATGAAAGGGATTGTTTGATTCAGTTTCCTAGGTAGGGCTGGCAGAATGGTTTTTGGTTAGCAGTTAACTGGTCGGTTACGACCGAACCGACCGGTTTTCGGCTAACCAAAAACCGCTCTGTATTGGCATCGGTCGGTTGCCGGGGGAGAGGGGGAGAGGCTCGGCTAGCCGATTAACCGCGGTCAGTAACCGGCGGTTAACCGGCTAACCGACCACCGCCCCTTGAGTCAAAATGACCCCGCAACCCTACCCAAAACGACCCCTTCTCCCAACCAGCCAGCCCCAAAACGACCCCTTCCCACAACCCCAAAACGATCCCTCTCCTCTCCAACCCTAATCGCCACAACCTCATCTCCACTTCTTCTTCTTCCTCCTCCTCACAAAGAACTCCCCAGCCCCAAAACAACCCCATCTCCTCCTTCAACCTGCTTCAATCCACCCATCCCTCCTCTTCCCTTCGGCCTCCCAAAATACCTCCTCCGCTCCCCTGTTCCTATCTCCAACGCCAACGTCTCCATAACACCCTAAAATGAACCAAAGGGAGACGGCGGTCCTTCAGATCTTCACGGCGGAGCCAAACACTAGGGCCGGGACGGCGGCGGCAGCAGCAGCAAAGGCTACGACTGCAGAATTAACAATCTCCGCCCGAACCGCCCTCGCCTGGACTGACCGAATCGCCTGGCTCAAATCTCCGTTCAGCCCCGGGCGATCGTCGCAGCACATGCTCAATCTCATCATCTTCTTCTTCCCATCTCCGCCGCCGCAACAGCTCACCATCGCCTCGTCCGATTCCCCCAGGATCAGACACCACGGTCCAGCTCCGTTCAGCCCTGCTTGCTTCCTCAGCTGCCTCAAGTGGTCCACCGCCTCCGGCAGCAGCGACGCCTTGTCCGGCTGCTCATCACCAAAACACCCCCAATCGCGTCAATCAATTGGAATATAATTAGCTGGTTTAGTGTGCAAAGAGTTTCGTCAAAACTGAAGAAGAAGAAGAAGAAGTGGAACTGATTAATTGATTAACCTTGACGCGATTGGGGAGGAGAGAGCGGAGGGTGGAGAGGTGGGCGTTGATACGGTGGCGGCGGCGGCGCTCCGACTCTTTATGGCTCTTGCTGGCGGCGGAGGAAGAGGAGGTGAGGGCGGAATCTCTGCAGCCACCGCGAGTCGTCTCATGCATCGCTTTTCTTCCGGTGGAGGAAGGGGAGAGAGGAGAAGAGAAGGTTCTGGTGGAGGAAATGGTGGGGAAGGAAGGAGAGAGAAGAGAAGGGTCTGGTGGAGGAAGGGGAGAGAGGAGAAGATAAGGTTTGAGATTGAGTGGTGCAGATTTTTTCTTCTTTTTTTAATTTTTTTTAAAAGGTAGTTTTCCGGTTGGCCGGCTAACCGTGATCTCTCTCACGGTCGGTGGTTGGAAGCTATAGGGGTGCCTCGGTTTAACCGATAACTGGATTTTCGATTTTCGGTTAAACAAAAACCGACCGACTGCCACCCCTATTCCTAAGTAGCCAATGGATAATATTTGGGATAGACGGGTTTGTTTTGGGACGCGAACCATGCATAAAATTAAATTAACAAACTATTATAACATTAGTCTTTCTTGTAGCTCACTCCATTATTCATTGCAATATTGCATTGTAGAGTCCATCATCAGTCATCACAATACAATGTTATTTCCATAAAGTTCTACTGGTTTGTTGGAGACAGAGAACCGGTGATTTGGTGTGTCACATTAGAAGTGACATTATTATCCTTAATATTTTCACGACATACACATTGATGGTTGAAACAAGTACAAATCTGGCACCCCTGGTCGAAACACCATTCGATGCAATTTGGTACAACGCTGCATGTATATCCGTCCGCAATTCTTATCTCTGAACCTTCAATCACGCCACACTTATTAATTAGCTTATAATTGTCAAATATATTAGAAATTCAATGATAACTCTAAAACTAAGAGAGTAAAATCAGCGGATACATACCAGTTATAAAAAACAAGAGAGCTACGAAGAGAGTCAATTTCATTGCAGTATTCTCCATTTTTCTGCTACTATTGTCTTTTTCGGCTACTATAATTTTAGTGTTTGATGAACTATTCTTAATGTCGCTGGTTTGATTTATAAATAAAGACTAAAGAGACCGGAATCATTATTATTCTCTTAAATAAAAGATATTCTTGCCTTTTTTATTATGGTAATAAATATCTAGTGATAATAACATATATTCTTTCCTTTACTACACTTTTATCATGCATCTCTCCTAATCATATATATAAGGGTTATAGGTATAATATGCCCCTCTACTATGACGTTTTATCAAACATGCCCTTCTACTATTTGTTACATCAAATATGCCCATGTACTTTGAAAAAATTATCAAACATGCTCTTCTGTTTAAATTTTTTATTGAAAAAATCGTCAATCGTGGTTAAACCGAGATTTAGTTGACCCGACATCGGCAAATGGGAGGAAAAATGTCAGTTTTGTCCCCTGTTTTATTTCCATCGGTCTTTTCAAAGTGAAATTATTTGAATGATTTGATTGTACAAAAGAACAAAAAAATTCTAAAGTGAATTTATTATGGGTATTTTAGTCATTTGTGTCGCCCAAACTAAAGTTCGGTCTTGGTTAACGGTTTTTGGATGAAAATTTTAACAAAAGGGCATGTTTGATCATTTTTACAAAATATAGGGGCATGTTTAATGTAAAAAATAGTAGAGGGGCATGTTTGATAAAGCGTCATAATAGAGGGGCATATTATACCTATAACCCTATATATAATTATAGGCTAAATTACACGTTTGGTCACTCAAATTATACAAATTTTTCACGTTTGCCACCTGAATTACTTTTCTTTCTTATTCGCCACTAACTTTACGAATCGTTTCACCATTAGTCACCGGCCGTTACACTCCGTTAACTTTGTCCTACATGGCAGTCAACTATAAAGTTTGACCGTTAAGTAAATGACGTGGAAATTAAAAAATATTTAAAAAAATCTTTTTCCACCTCATCATTCCACATACTTCATCTATATATTTTATCATATGAATTATTTAATAAAAATTAATAAATTACAAGACCTTAGTCTCCATTTAGCCAATGCAAGCGGCACATCTGGTTTCAGCTTCTCGTATTCAATCGTCAGTTTGGCCACCCCCTGCTGCTTCCCCTCGCCATTGTCGTCCTCCTTAGCTACAAATTCATAGATTACGTTGTACACTTTGTACAGCTTCATCACATCCCCCTCCAGCCCATTCAGCTTCACCGTTCTCTTGGCATCGTCGTACTCCACTCTCTCCTTGAACACCTCCAGCTTCCCCTCTGTTTTTTCACATACAGAATGAAAAACAGGGTATAAAAAAACAGAGTATAAAAAAACAGAGTATCAAGAGTTATTACCGCAGGTGTAGATCCAGAATTTGACGGTGTCATGACAATCCCAATCGCCCTCGTGGACTTGCACCGCCTGAATATGAGTCGGGGAGTGGTTTGGCATGTGGTGAGCTGTGTTCCTGAACACGTCGTAGAACTTTGCCGGCGAGCAATGGAGCTCCACCTCTGCCTCCAGCTTCCCACTCATGGGTTCGCCCGCTGTCTTCGCCGCCATAGATACCCAATTACTCCCCAGAAAGAAGAATGTAGAGGCAATGCCTTGGCCTCCCCGTCAGGGACATCTTGGAAGCCGTCCGTGCAGCTCTCCTCGTCTGTCAGCGCGACGCTCATCCACGTCTGCACGTTGCTCGATCATTTGGAAGCGAAACGCCTCCCTCGACGCCCCGTCGCCGAGGTTGGAGAAGCAGTCGTGGAGGGCGGAGGCGGCGCGACGGTCGGAGCTGGAGTAGCGGGAGAGGGAGGTGTAGCAGATGTCCGAGTACAACGTGGCGTTGCAACGGGAGCGGATGTTGGCGGCAAGGTCCAACCCATCAACGCCCTGGCTTCCAACTATCGATCGCTGGAAAGAATGGCACTTTGCAACCAGTGGCGGACCCAGGATTGTCGGAGAGGTGTGTCACCGATAAAATAAAATAAAAATTAAATTAAATAAAAAAATTAAGTAGAAATTTAAAAAAAAATTAATTTATAAAGTTCACAATGTCATGTTTACAACGAATCACGATGACTTTTCATCTGCTGAAATGTCTCTAAAATACATTAATCACTTATACCGCAAAGTCAATATACACAACTAAACAACCATTCATAAATTGGACGCTCAACCAATTTCGAAGATCATTCTTGATTATCTTCATAGCTAAAAATGTTCTTTCGCAGCTTGTCGTTGCAACAGGTAATGATGGGGAGTTAGTGGCCGCCTGGCTATTGGCCATTAGGCTTGTGGGTTTTTTTTTCTCTTTTAATTATAGGTCGAGGCCCAACACACATCACACATGTATATTGTATGGGCTGAGAGTTTTTTTTTAATAGGAATTGATAGGATTATGGTTTATGAGTTATTTTAAACAAAAGTAAAAAGGATTATGATTAAGATTGATTTATTCGGATAATAAATTCTTCGAGTATAATGAAGGTGTGTCGGCTATCTCGAAATAAAAAAATTTGTACCAAAAATATGTAGGTCCTTCACAAAATTCTCGAGTGAGGATGTGTCGGACGACACACCCTCACTTGCCTTAGGTTCGCCACTGTTTGCAACACCGACACGCTGGGGGACCCGGAGCTGGCGTTGTCGCCGCAAAATTCATGCCCTTGAAGAAGTGTCTTGGCCCTAAACTGGGCATCGTCGCCGCCGGGGCCGAGTGCCGGGTGCCTGAACCTGGTGAAGCTGAAGGTGAAGCGGTGCAGAGGGATATCTGCGGCGAAGCTGCGGAGGAGATTACTTGTGATTTCGGTGGATGAAGATGCGGCGATGGCATTCGATAGTAGCGCGGAGGAAGAAGGGCGCCAGAGAGGGGCTGAGAGAAGAAGAGGAACATATGGGAATCCGAATCATCACGGCTTGCTGCCGGGAAACGCTAGCGGAACAACGAGAGTTTAATTTTTTTAATTGGTTTTTATTTTATTTGTTTTTATTAATTATTTTGATGATGTAGATGCTGACATGACAGCTGACTAGAATAAATTAATAGAATTTTGGATTGAAAAATAATTTTTTTTAATTTTTTTTTTAATTTCCACGTCATTTAGTTAACGGTCAAACTTTATAGTTGACTGCCATGTAGGACAAAGTTAACGGAGTATAACGGCCGGTGACTAACGGTGAAACGATTCGTAAAGTTAGTGGCGAATAAGAAAGAAAAGTAATTCAGGTGGCATACGTGAAAAATTTGTATAATTTGAGTGACCAAACGTGTAATTTAGCCTATAATTATATATACAATACCCAATAATACATAGCTCCATAAGACAAATTTAAAAATATTTGCCGAGTGGGGGAAATTTTATAAAATTGTGTATGTAACGATTAAGGAACAATTACTGCTACTGCTTCAATGTGGGTTAACATGGATTAAATCATCATGTGTGTCGACCTCTACAATCACGAATGGAAACAATCAACCGGAATTTACAGATAAATACTTACTGAAATCATTCCTATTTGATCTGTGTCATGTGATTTAATAATCACAATAGATTAGCACAAATTTCACGAACCCAAATAAAACAACAAATAAGAGAAAGGGAAACAAGGCAATACAAAGTTTAAATTGAACCGTGAAAGAGGAGTGGGGATTTTAACGGATTATGTAGTATAACTTGAAATGACGTTGGTAATATAGTACCGACCAAAGTCATATTCACTACAAAAAATAAAGCAAGTCTTTTGTGGTAATAGAGTAAAAAATCTTCTCCCTCCCCCTCCCCCCCTCTTGAATGCTAAATGCTGGCTCCACCCCTGACCCGTCATACCGGATCTGAAAAACACAACCTCAGTTTTAGATCAACAGTTGTATTTTTTCTTGTTCGGGTCGTGTTTTCCTAATGATCTCGTACATATATAAGCTTTGTTTCTCCTTCAGTTGCTTCTAAATCGACTATCAAAATTATTCACTTAATACTTAAGCTCTGAGATACCAAAGAAAAGAACAACCTAGCACAAGGGTTGGCAAAGTCATGGGGTTTCCTAGAAGAAAACCAACCAAACACTATCACGGAGGACATTTATAATTAAGCATGTCCTATCACGAGGACAAGGCGAGACGAATCTATTTTTGTTGTCACAGACGCACATTTCTATCTCGACTTGATTAAGTTAAACAGGGGCATTTTGGTTATTTTCCATGCACATTAACGAGATTTTATTGGTAATTAAAGGAAATGGTGCGATTAGGGAAATTTTCCGGAATTTAGGGGCTTCTTCAACAAATAACGGATTAATGACACAAATATTGTTTTTTTTTTTTAATTTACCACCAATATGACGGATTAAGAAGTATTTACATAGATATTGTGTTTTGGAGACAACAAATGGCGGCAACACCTGGGACTCTGGCGCCGCCGCTATGGATGATATTTTGGAATAAGTTTCGGCGGCGGCGCCGAAGACTCAGGCGGCACCGCCGGTGACTCCAGCGTGTTCGGTGGGAACCTGTCCCAGGTGGCGGCGCCCGAGACTAGAGTGGCGGCGCCTGAGTCATCAGCGAGTTAGGTGGCCTTCCCCCTATATAAACCCAGCCAATTTCATTTCAGTTTCACACCACACAAAAATCGTTAAAAACAAAGGAGCTTTGGAGCTCTGGTTGCTGCTGCAAAAATGGCTAATAGGTAAGAGACGCATTTATTTTTGTAATTATATTATTCAAATGTTATTATGATTGTGTTTAGTTTTAATTAGTGAGTCTGTTTTTTTGTAGTGATTTTAGAAGATTTGAACTAGTCGTTCGATGGAAATCGGAGAAAGTAGAAGATAATTTGGGCGTCAAATTCGTTGGTGGTAGTAGTTTTCAGATGACGATTCCATCCAGGGTCACATATCATTATCTTTGTGAGAATCTAATTCCGAGAATACGGCGTAGAGACGAATCAGTACAAGATAGTGATGTGATCACAAGTTTCATTTACCGTCTTCCAGAATGGCAGAATGGTGTTTTATTTCATTATGCAATGCCTATTGTGGATGATGATAGCTTGAATGTGCTTTGGAATTTTATGGCACGAAATCCTTATTGTTTGGGTGCTGAGATACATGTTGAGCTCAGTGACGATCAGGGTGGAGAGGTAGAAGATGATACATGGAGCGTGCCAAACAGTACAGTTCAAATTATACTAGTTAATTCTAATCTATCTAATCTAATATCAAATTATACTAATTTCAAAAAATCTAATACGTAATCCTATTCTCTAACAGTACAGTTCAGTTCACCAACTAAAATAATCTAATTAGCTAATTAACTTTACATGAATAATTATTAAATACTTACCTCGTTTGTCCAAACAGAGTCCATACGATGTTGGCCATGTCCCCAAAGAAGTGTCGAATCGACCGGACTTGGATCAATTGTCGCCAGCGGTAATCTCATCGAATAAGGATCCATAAGCCTAGGAACTGCAAAAACAAACAACAAAACATCAATAAAAAAACACAAACCATTAAAAAAAAAATTCAAGCCGCCGACGAGAGTCTCACCGCGCAAACGGCTGACACGACCTCGCCGGCCTCTCCCCCTGCCTCTGCCGGCGGCTTCTTCGTCGGAAGACATCAGCGGCGGCGCTTCAGACTGCAGCGGCGGCTCCCCTCTCTGCGGCGGCGGCGCTCAATCCCCAGCGGCGGCGCTCCCAGCTGCGGCGATGGCGCTCAACTCCCCAGCGGCGGCGCTCCCTTCTGCGGCGGCGGCGCTCCCTTCTGCGGCGGCGGCGCTTCCCTTACAGGCGGCGGCGCTCCACTCACAGGCGCCGGCACCTCAGTTGCGGCGGGGATTCTCTGTTCGGGCAGAAAGAAAGAAGAAGAAGAGGAGGGTTTGGGGGGGGGGGGGGTGTTGTGTGGTCTCGGGAAGAAGGAGGGGAGGAGAGTGTGTGTGGCTGGGAAAAGAGATAAGGGTGGAGGGGAGGGGGGGCCCCGAGCCCGAGGGAAATTTAAAAAAAAAATAGCCTGAGGCGGCGGCGCTAGGGACTCGGGCGCCAGCGCCCGGAACTTTAGAATCTGCGGCGGCGCCTGAGTCTCCGGTGTGGCCGCCAAAGCCTTTTCCAAAAACACAATATCTGTGTCATTTGTTTTTAATCCGCCATATTGGTGGTAAATTAAAAAAAAAACAATATTTATGTCATTAACCCACAAATAACACATTCCTATCTCCATCATGTCGGCGGAGCCGCTCTCCTCGCTCGCAAGCCTGCCACCGCCGCCCCTCCCTCCATCCAACATGACGTCGACTAACCTGACCACGTCGTCCTCACCGGCAAATTTCTATCTCTCACTCTGCCTCTCACCGTCTTTCTCTCTCTCCCAAGCCATATATGACTCTTTTTTGGGCTTAATTGCAAGTTTGGTCACTCGAATTGCTATAAAATTTCACGTTTGCCACTCAAATTAATTTATTCCATTTATAGTCACTCGAATTAGTTGAACAATTCAAGTTCGGTCACTCTCCGTTAACCTCCGTTAACTTTGACTGACGTGGCGGTCAACTCTGACAGTTGACTGTTAAATGTGTGACGTGACAAATAAAAAATAAAAATTAAATTTGTAGAAATTACACATCATTATCACAAAAAATTATAATTATAAAAAATGAAAAACGACTGACGTGGCGTTTTCTTCTACTTAAAACCCAACCCCCGATTTTACAATTTTTTATGCTTGGATGAAGCTTCTGCGGCGGCGGCAGCGGCGGCGACAGAGGGGATTCCGTTCTCCTCCTGCTGCGACGGGCTCCTCCAGAACCCGGTGTCGTAGAAAGTCTCCCACATCTCCTTCTCCAGCTTCATCATCTCTTCCCCGCCTCCGCCGCCGGAGCGGAGCTTCCTAAGGACGTCGTCGGCGTCGTCGAAGTCCTCCATGTGCATCCCCATCATCATCTGCAGGTCGAACGACTGCGGGTCGCCGTGGATCGGGTGGATCTGGACCTCGGTGTTGTCGCAGCCGCACTGGCAGCGGCGGGCGCGCGGGAGGAGGAGCCCCTTCTTCATCAGGTGTTGCCGCCGCTTCCGCCGCAGGGCCTTCCGGCAGAGCCCCACGGGGACCTTGTAGATTGTGAGGAAGAGGAGGTTCGCCAGGCCGCAGGGGCAGCAGCAGGCGATCGCCGAGCACTCAGCCGTCGTCCCCCCGGCCAGCTCCCCGAACCACACTTCTCTTAATCACCTCATGGCTATATGGTTCTTTCTCAAAGCTTCTCCACTGAACAAAGACGCGAACTCTAAGCGTCCTTCACTCTAGATCGGGACGAGGACGAGGACGATCGACGGGGTGTGGTAGCTGAGCACGCTCTTCCCCGTCGCCAGCTCCAGCAGCAGCAGCACCGCCAGCCCGAGAAATGCGATCCGCCCGTTCAGCCTCTCGCTGTAAGGAGTGAATCCGAATTCCACTTTCAAGCATGCTGAGACCGGCTCCTTCAGCGGGACCGGAGGAAGGTAGAGGGCCGCGCCGGAGGACCAACAGGTTGGTGCTGGTGGCGTTTCAGCAGGTGGTTAAAGAGAGCTTTGCTCTGTACATGGAGATAGTCGAGGTCCTGACCGTCCTGCTCGATCGATTCGCGGAGATGGAGTACGCCCACACGGTGAAGGCGTTCAATGTCTATGTGAGCGCGGGGAAGATGATTGACGAGCTTTTCCTTTTTTTTCATTTTTTATAATTATAATTTTTTGTGATAATGATGTAAATTTCTAAAAATTTAATTTTTATTTTTTAATTATTTTTTATTTGCCACGTCACACATTTAACGGTCAACTGTCAGAGTTGACCGCCACGTCAGTCAAAGTTAACGGAGGTTAACGGAGAGTGACCGAACTTGAACTGTTCAACTAATTCGAGTGACTATAAATGGAATAAATTAATTTGAGTGGCAAACGTGAAATTTTATAGCAATTCGAGTGACCAAACTTGCAATTAAGCCCTCTTTTTTGTTTTTGTTTTGCTTTCGGTATTGGTCTTTGTGCTAGTGTTATTGATGGTTGTCTTTGACTCTTTGTGTTAGTGATTGTATATGTTGTGGACTTGTGGTAGTGGTGGTTACCGGTGGAATTTTACTTAAAATTGGAAATTGGGGGTAAAATCAGATTGTAGAATTTTAAATTTCATATAAAAATTAACATATACTAATAAGGTAAATCATTAATAACACAAATACACAAACATCTAAAACGATAATTCTCAAGATTAATGCTCCAAAATAATCATTTTGAGTGTTATCTAACGCGTAAGTCAAAAATCAAAATAATTCACGGGGAAGGAATACAGCTCATGGGGTTCATGTTGTCTTTAGGTAGTTTAACTCAAAGTAGTACTCTTGGCCGATGAATTTCAACACCGTATGATAAGCATGATTATAAACTAAGAGTAAATGGACTACAATCGAATAATTAATGTCAGTGACTTGGTACAAATATATTCATTAATCAATTAATTAATAGTTATGTTAATTCATACGTACGTACAATATTTGGACATGAACCAAAACCAGCACCCGCAAACAGGACGAAGGGAAAGGGATGACTGAGTCCTAATTTGATGTTTTTATTCTTTTCAATTTAGTTTAGTAGGGAATATATCTTAGAACATTCCCGTCATTGCCCTGTCAGTCGAATCAGTTCCTCTTCTTTTAAATTTGCTCATATCTTCTTTTTATTCTCATACTATTTCAATCCCAATTTTGTACATTTTTATACTTTTAATGATTTTATTCTTGATTTTAATTTAAAAGTCCATCGATTTTATAGTAAAATCAGGATCGAAATACTTAAGTAAAATCCTACGATTTTACAACCAAAAACCCGATTTTGACTTCCTTGGTTACGTGTACGGTAGTATTTATGCATATTTTGTGTCATAAAGTTCATGTCCAAATATTGAGGATGTGAAACCCTAAAGGCTTTTTTCAATAATTGATTGGGCTTGGTCTGTGGGCTAGTGTTTTATAGCTTCTTGGGCTGTTAATTTTTAGTGGACTTATCAAGCCCGAATTTTTAGTGGACTTATCATCTGGACGCGAGAGAAAGGATCTTAGGATCCCACACCGGCCCGGTTGCTCATATAATTTCGGTAATTAGTGTCATAAAGTTCTGGACTTTGTACAAAACAAGTACAATTCTTTTTTAATTTTGTATGATTTGGTAGTGCATATACTTTTTTCGAATAATTATTAATGTAATCTCAATTATGTTCCAAATAATGAGGGTCGGATTTGTCACTAATGTTTACCAACACATAAAAACGTCTCGTCGCGTCTAATATGAAGAATGTAAGGTTACTGTCAATTAGTCGTCATTAAATATTGCTTAAAGTTAAAAAAAAAAATATGTCATTGAATGATTGTTTTATTTTGTGTGTAGTGAGTGTAGAACGACGAGACAATAAGTTTACTTTGAATCCTGATGATTTGTGAAATCTTCTACTAGTATTCCCAAATTTGAGAAATACTGTGCGAGAATGTGAAATACAACAACATGTTCGTTCGTTAGCTATATTACGTAGCAATGACGTGGAACAATAAGTTATGTCTCGATCCTCCTGATGACACATGGGATGTTAGAGTAGTACTCACCAAATTGAAGAAGTGAGCAATATATAGCAAGTTTTGTTCTCCTTTCATTAAAGCAAGAGGTTCCACACACACAAGTCTCGAGCAGCACATGCTCTCCACTGTTTCCTTCCTTTTGTCTTAATTAAGCCACTAATCCATCTTATCACAACTTTTGATCTTAGACAAAGAAGAACCATTGGTTTCTGAGGATCCAGCTAGGACTGTAGTAAGTGACCACCAGCTAGGGTATATATGTAGTTATAGAAAGCAAATACCTTAAGGCACACGTAACATACTCGTAGATAGCAATACAAACGCAATGCATGAACGATGATGAACAAGCTAGGGGTCTCTTTCATCTCGTTTCATCTCAAGTGTTTTTTTTGTTTTTTTTACTTACTTAAACACCAAGATGAAGATCAAAAGAGACAAAAGCAACGTCGTAAATCGTAATGAAGCTGGCTTTCCACCATTGCCACCACTAGCCAATCGCCATTAGTTGAATCCAACCCTGCAAGTTTCCCAACCTCCCTCATGAGTTTCCCCTAATGGTCGAAAACGAATTTAACACCCAAATCCAGCTTCTCCTCCCTCGCAATGCATTAAAACACTAACTATAGAACAATCCTTAACACCACTGTTTTGCTGAAACTTTAACCTAATCTACTGATCACAAGCTTTAACAAACCCTATAAATACCCTCCATTTTTTACAAACCAGCGCTCCCCACACCACAATAACACAACCCTTCTTCCACTTCATCCTCCTATCACCAAAACTTCCCAACTATGATCACATTCACCTCCATGTCGCCTCTTTCAAAGCCCGTGAAAATAATCGCCTCAGTCATCCTCGTCCTCCTCATCCTCTCCCTCACTATCCTAATCCTCTTCCTAACCCTACGTCCCCACCACCCAACGTTCACCATCCCCAAACTCGACGTCCTACAACTAAGCCTCGTCCCGAGCCTGCCACCCGACCTCCAAATCCAGTCCTTATTTCAGGTCACGTTCCTCTCCCACAACCGGGACAAGCGAAGCAGCGTCGAGCGATCCGGTCGAGGTGGCTGCCTCGTACAAGGGCCAGCGGATCGCCGGGGTAGGGGTGTACCGCGGCTTCCACCAGCCGGAAGGGGAGTCCGATCTGATGACCGTCCCCATCGCCGGCTTCCACCTGCCATCGGTGACGGCGTGGTACGAGCTGGGGATGGATCTCGACGCCGGGAAGGTGGCGGTGAGCGTCGAAGCCACGGGGAAACTAAGGTGGAAGATGCTAGGGTTCCTCCCGACTCGTAGGTTTAGGTTTCGTGTCGAGTGTAGCGCTGTGGTTGTCTTGTACGGGCCAGGGATCTGGACGCTGCTGGACGAGCCTCAGTGTTCCAAAACCCACATTTGAGTTTTATCCATATATATATATATATGTAATGTATGTGACCATCAATATATATAATATATTTGATAAACTCCAATGTTGCTTCCAAATCGACTATCAAATTGTTCGTTTAATACTTAGGCGCTATATCAATGAGAAGAACAATCTAGCGCGGGTAAGGGTTGGCAAGGCGAAACCACCCTTTTGTACTGTTGTCACAACAAATTCCTATCTGGCTAGTTATCTCAGCTCGGGTTAGTTAAATATGGTCATTTCGGTAATTTTCCATGCACATTGACGAGGTTTTACGGGAAAATTGAAGGAAATGGTTTGATTAGGGAAATTTATGAGATTTAGGGGCTTTTTCAATGAAAAATAAAGTTGAGAGGTTTAGTTGGGGAAACCCATAATTTAGAGGCTATATCGACGGATGGCATTTTAGTCATTTTTCGTGCACGTCAACGGCGATTTTATGGAGAACTACTTGAAACGACTAGGTTAGGAAAATTTTGGAAGCTGATAGGTGTGTCCAAGAAAATAATATTTGAGAGTTTATTACTCGTAATTAATGGGTTCATTTTTCAATTAACTCTTTGTTTTTATAATTAATGGGTTCACGCGTGACAACATTTTAATAGGTAATTATCGTGACAATTTACATCTCCACCGTTTACTTTTTCCTTTTTTTTTCAAATTGAAGGTCAAGATGGGTTTATGGGTAGTTTCGAAAACAAAAAAAATAACCACATGTGATTAACACCTCTTATTTTTTACTGCCATTCCCTCCCTGCTCCGCGCCGCCACTGCCTCCTCCCTCCTGCCAGCCACTCTCTTCATTGCTCAATGATCTGCCGGTACCGCCACTCCATCCATCATGTCGACGCCGCCTTCCTAGCTCGTGAACCATGCCTCCGGGACCTCCCCCAGTGTTGTCAAAACCGAACCGGATATCGATCCGGATTAGTAAGAGGTTCAAGGTTTATCGGATAATTAATTGTTAACCACTATCGAAAACCGATAAAAACCCGGTATTGGTGTACTTGTTGGAGCTAATTGTGCAAAGTGCAAAACAATTATTCTTTACTTTGTTTCTATAATATCTCTAGTCTAAAAGGAATTACAAAATTGAAAACTGAAAAGATAAAGGGTAGGCGACTGCTAGTGCTGAACAATGGGAATGGAAATGGAAATTTTATTTCCGTATGTACGTCTTACCTTTTTAGTTTTTTTTTTTTTTTGTCATAGATAGTTTGTAATAGATAGTTCTTTACAATGCATTGGAAATATAGATGCGGTAGTCAACCAACTGGGTCGCTACCGATGCAAGGGCCGTTTGTGCCACGCGATGGGCAGCCCTGTTAGTACTACGAGGAGCAAAAACAAATTGAACAAAAGCAAAAGAAGCCTTCAGGACGCGAACTTCTTCAAGCACAGCACCTCCGAGATCATGGTCAACATCGTCCGCCATCGCTCGTCGTATTACCAATTGTGAGTCCCCACAAAAGCAAACAGAAGCGAAACCACGATGTAAGGACCAAACCATTGCATCCCTTAATGCTAATAATTCAAGTAGGAAAGGGTCTGAGATACCTACATAGTACTTACCGTAGGCACATATGAGAGCTCTGTCTCCATTGAATCCTACAAACCCAATACTACCGCCAACCCCCTTCTTTGTTGCCCCATCAAAGCGAATGAGTAACCCGCCCGGTGGACAAGTAGGAGGAGGAGTGGGGCAGCGGGGAACTCTGGACGAGGAGGACGGGGTCTGCTCCACTGTGGCCCCTTTCCGATCTGACCGGGCGGTCCGGGTTTAATAACAATGCCGGCCTCCCCACATCCAACACGATCTCGACCAGCATGGCTATGGCTTCCTCACCAGTCAGCGATGGGATTAGGTGCTAACCCTAACCCCACCGTAATAACTAGCAAAAAACGGTACTAAAAACAACGAAATCATTACGGATTATTATAAAATCAATACAACATCTAAGCTAAATCACTACTAACCCTTGGTTAGGACGGTGCTAACTCTTGTACAATTAGCACCGTAACTCCTCCCCACCAGTCACCACAGCAGATCTCTCTCCATATACGGATATATTTGTAGCATTGTTCTTTGTGGTAGTGTTATTGATGGTTGTCTTTGTGTTAACGGTTGTATATATATTTTTACATCACCATTTAATTTATTGATGGATGGATACTACTGTAAAATTATATGAAAGAATTCATTTACATCTTCTTCCAAATATGAAAATTAGAAATCATTTTCTAAAAGTTCAGGATTCGCTCCAAACTGAAGCCATAGAAATGAATTCCAAAATGATAACTATGCTTCTCACAAGAAATGAAATTCCTTTTCTAATTGAGTTAATTCTAAAGGAGGGGAAGTTGGATGGGAGAGGACTGAGGAGTGAGGAGAAGGGAGAACTTGTTGAGAAAATAAAACCCTGATAAGGGGACGAATTTCCACCCATCCTCTCCCTTCACTTTGCCTTTTTTCTTTTCTATTCCAAACCATTATCTTATCATGAATAAAATTAAAATAACACATCATAATATTGGCCTTTCTTCAAGCTCACTCCATAATATAGAGTCCATCATCACAATACAACATTATTTCCATAAAGTTCTACTGTTTCGTCGAAGACAGAGAACTAGTGATCTGATGTGTCTCATTAGAAGTGACAATATTATCAATATTTTCGCGACAAATACACTGATGCTTTAAACAAGTACAAATTTGACATCCCTGGTCGATACACCATTGGATGCAATTTGGTACAACAACGCATCTGTATGGGATTCCGTCCGCAATTCTTATCTCTGAACCTTCAATCAAGCCACACTTATTAGCTTATAATTGATAAATATATTAGAAATTTAGTCTAAAACTAAGAGCGTAAAACCAACAGATACATACCAGCTATACAAAACAGGAGGGCAACAAAGAATGACAATTTCATTGCAGTCTTTTCCATTTTTCTGCTACTATTGTAGTCTCTCCCCTTTTCTTACACTTCTTGCAAGTTTTATGTCAATCTATAGTTTGAGTGTTTGATGAACTATTCTTAATGTCACCAGTTCAATTTATAAATAAGTGATAAAGACTAAATAGACCAAACTCATTACTATGCTTGAAATAAAAGATACTCTTTCCTTTTCTATTATGGTAATAAATATCTAATGATAATAACAAATTTTCTTTGCTTTGGCATTTTCCATTAATGAATAAAATGACATAAACATTATATAAGAAAAGACATTGATAGTCTTCCTTTTACCTAGATCCCGAATCCTAGTAAATATCCCCCCTTTTGTATGCTTGTAATTCCATTGTATACACTTCCCATTTCTGCACTTTATCATGCATGTATCCCTATCCTATATATAACTACAAATTTCAAAGCAGTTTTCTTTCACTCATATAACTATTCAATTTTTTTTATCGTCCCAAAAAATGAATAGAAAAAAACTGAAGATATCTATTCAATTTATTTTGCTTCAAACAGAAACTATAGAAATGAATTCCAAATGTGAAAATTAGAAATCATATCTAAAAGTTCAGGATTTGCTCCAAACAGAAACTATAGAAATGAATTCCAAAATGATTTAAGATTCTCACAAGATATGACATTCCTTTTCAAAAGGAGTTAGTTCTAATTGGACCGTCATTTCTTATGGACCAAATTTTGGCAAAGATTAAATTAGAAGAAGAAAGCCCAACTATTTTGGTTGAACTTGTTGTGTCATTTCTTATGGACCAAATTTTGGCAAAGATTAAATTAGAAGAAGAAAGCCCAACTATTTTGGTTGAACTTGTTGTTCCTACTTCCTAACTAGTCAATGAATAATACTTGCGAGAGGGAGTTGTGGTGAGACGCGAATGATGCATAAAATGAAAATAAAAAATAAATATCATAACATTGGTCTGTCTTCTAGCTCACTCAATTATTCATTGCATTGAAGAGTCTAGCATCACAATACAACGTTATTTCCATAAAGTTCTATTGATTTGTCGGAGACAGAGAACCAGTGATTTGGTGTGTCACATTAGAAGTGACGTTATTACCATTACTATTTTCACGACAGATACACTTATGTTTTAGGCAAGTACAAATTTGACACCCCTGGTCGATACACCATTGGATGCAATTTGGTACAACAACGCAACGGTGTGGCAACTCTGATCTTACCTCCGAACCTTCAATCAAACCACACTTATTAGCTTATAATTGATAAATATATATATTAGAAATTACGTATATAACTCTAAAACTGAAGGAGTAAAACCAACGTATACATACCAACTACGAAAAACAGGAGAGCAACAAATAAAGTCAATTTCATTGCAGTCTTCTCCATTTCTGCTACGATTGTATTCTCTTCCCCTTTCTTACACCTCTTGCATATGTCAATCTATAGTTTGAGAGAGTGATGAACTATTCTTAATGACACCAGTTTAATTTATAAATGGTAAAAGAGACCAAAACCATTATTATCCTTTCTTTATATATGGATATTCTTTAATGAAAAGACAATATATTCTTTTTTATTATGGTAATAAATATCTAGTGATAATAACAATTATACTCTTTCCTTTAGTATATTCCATTAACAAATAATAAAATGACATCAACATTATTACATTAGTAAAAAAAAACTGACATTGATAGTCTTCATTTTATATAGACCCTGAATCCTAGTAAATATCCCCTTTTGTTTGTTTTTAACTTTTTTTTATGGTTAATAAAAAATGCATTAAGCTCCAAGACTCTTTTAACTAAGGGTCATCTCAAGAATACAAAATGTATCTATTACAATCAACCATCAAACTTGCTAGACTAAACTCTATCAACTAAATAACTATGAAAAGTTGAACAAAACATTACATATATACACTCTGTTATTAATAAACGAAACCCGCTTTTGATCGAATTCGGGCCACAAGTTGTGGTGGAAGTTGCAGGTCACTCCCATAACATCTGTGGCACCTCTCCTTCCAGACATAACTCATTACCATGCTCCATATTTGTTTGCCCAACATCATTTTTATACTTGAACTTGTTTGCTTGTAATTATGTTGTACGCACTTCTCATTCTTACTCTTTATCGCGCACATATCCTAATCCTATATATGATTGTATAAACAATACTCAATTTTACATAGTTTCATAAGACAAATTTACAACATTTGCCGGAGTTTGGATGGACAATATAATAGGTTCATAATTAAAAAGAATGTAGCATATTTATTCAGGTGAGGAAAAGATACAAAATTATGTATGTAACGATTAAGGAACAATTATTGTTATTGCTTCAATCTGAGTTAGCATGGATTAAATTATTATCTCTAGAGTTAGGAGTTGAACCAATCAGCCGAAATTGAAAAAAACTACTGAAATCATTCCTATTTGATCACTGCCATGAGATTCAAAAATTATAATAAATTAATACAAACTTCACGAACCCAAATGAAACAACAAACAAAGAGAAACAAAGGGAAACAAGGCAATAATCCAAAGTTTGAAATTGAACCCGCGGAAGACGTTACTACTTTGAGAGGTTTTGTTGCTTAGCATGAAAGGGAAATGAAGTGAAAAAAATTGGACCAGATTTGCTGAATTTGGACAAAAGAGAAAATGAATAATGATTGTTATGGACAAGTGACCATTCAAATCCAACAAATCCATGAGATGTTGCCATTCTATACAACAAAAAACGGCTACACAAATTTTGGAAATCATTGCTCAATTTGCTACCATCATCATCGCCCACCAAAATCTGTCCCTCTCAACCACCATGTCCTTCACCTTCTTCGCCAACCAACGGCTATGTAGCAGAAAGCTTTCTTTTCTCTTCCAAGCTTTAATATGCTCTCCAATGCTCAATTCTCGCACCTAGGCACTAAGAGAAAAATTCTTTGGTGGTTTTCAACAATGCTAGAAGTTCGGGTCGCCTGCTTTTAGGGGTTCGTCGAGTATGCATCAGAGTTAAGACAATTCTGGTCAAGAGAAAGTTTAAAATAAGGAGAGAAAAAAATATAAGGTACAAAACCCAGAACTACAAAGTATACAAAACTATCTTATCACTTTTGATACGAATCACACCATCCAAATACGTATTAGGACTGATAAGATATGAATTTTGTAAGTTTTGCAGCCTAAGCGTAACACGTCTTAAAATATTAATAAGATTGGGAACAAAGGTAATATAGTAGGGCACATAATTTTGAATATGGACGAATGCGGGTTCACCTTTTGTTCCAGCTTTTCTCTAGCACGTCAAACACAGGGTGGGTAAAGGACAATAGCTTTTGTTTTGTCCCCCCCAAATCTTTACCCCAGCCAGCCACGATCCTCAGGAAAAGAGCTGACAAATCTTTCTCTTTATCTTATGGTTTCCATCGAACAGTGTAAGTAGATGAATGTCGGGTTGATTGTTCTTAAACTTTTGTCTTAAGAAAATGAACGTACAAGTTGTTTGATAATGTTGGGAGGAAAAGGTTGGGTTACTGTGTTGAAGATATATTTGAAAAGACCAACCGGAAGAAGGAAACACATAACAGAGGATGGGGGAAGGCAGAAAAAAATAAGGTATCACTGTTTGGTATCATCGTAGCCTTGGGCGGATTGACTGGATTTCGCTCCATACATCCTTCGTAGAAGGGCAAACCAAATTTATGAAACATGTGAATCATAATTTCATTGTTAGCTAGTGAAAGACTGAAAGGTCGAGCAATAAAAAAAAACACACTCATGTGTTCGAATTTTGGCTAGCCCAAATAAATATCCCACATCTGACGAGCTTTTGATGCATTTTTCATGTATGTTATGTTGATCTTCATATGCTACCCTTGTTTATCTTCTTTCTTTTAGAAATTTATTTGCAAACTATTGTTAACTTTTTTTCATGTATGTTATGTCAATCTTCATATTCCGTCAATTTTTTGCAGAATCTGCATTATCATTTCATCATTTTTCTCCGCTTAAATTATCGACTTATCTTATTTTCGACTATCAAACAAAACTCTTTCTTTCTCTTCATCTCACTCCACTCAAACCGAAAGCCATCATTCATCTCTCTTTTTCACAATTTGAGAACCCATATTACCTCTAGCCAAAAGAACATTCCAAAGGAATCATAGGGATCGTTTGGATGATATTTGATGATTCAATTTGGTTCAATTGTCTCAAAATGAAACAATTGAATCAAATTGTCTCGTTTGACAAAAAAAAATAGAGATATTCGAATTGCTTTATTTTGGATCAATTTCAATTGACATGAAAAAGGAGCATATACTTTGAAATGATACATCACTTATGAAATGAGTTGATTTCGATGCAATTGAATCAAATTATCTAATTTCTAAAATCCATAGTCCAATAACTCATAGTAGACAAATAACTCATTAGGAGCAAAGGTCGATTCCATTCAACCTACTGAATTCCCCATTCCCAATAGTCCACCCAAATGATGATCATCAATCCATCTTCCCTTTTGCTCAAAATCGCAATCTTTCCTGACGACCTTTCTTCCTTACACAAAGCAATCAACTTAATCATTCATTCACATCATCAAAAGCGTAAATAAATTACAGAAAAAGGATTACAGAAAAGTGGGGTCACTAATTAATTGCACCAAGCAATCACAGAAAGATGAAACATTCAAGCGAAACCAGCGGATTCTCCAGAGACTCGTTAGCTGCCGCAGCGTCTTCCTTATCATCATCATCATCATTACCACGATGATGATGAAAAGCGGTATCCCCGTTCCCGGATTTTGTTGCCTCACTGTTGGCACTGATTTCAGGCGGATCCTTCCTAACCCGACCCGGCGACTGGTTCGCCCTCTTGACCGACCCGTTCCGGCTACCCGCACCCGTACCCGCCGCCCCTGCAGATCTGTGGGTAGTAGCGGGCGATCTCGATCTCCTCGCTGCTGAGCTGTCACCCGTCTCTCTCCTACTCGGGTCGGGTCTCAACGGTCTTCTCGCACCCGGATTCGGACCCTGATGATGAACCATCCTCACCTGCTGCCCAGCTCCGCCGCTGCCGGAGTAATTCCTCTTCACCGGGGACCGGTCAGATCGCCGAGTCGGCGACCTCCCCACCACTCTTTGTTCCTTCCTCGGACCCGAATCCGCCGCGGAAAACGCCCGATTCATCCTCGCGGAGGACATCTTCCCCGCCGGAGAAGATCTCCTGCTCCCCTTCATCTGCTTCATCGTGACCTCCTCGTCGTTGGCCGTCGTCGCCGTCGACATCGCGCTCTCGCTCATGCTGAAGCTCACGCTCACGCTGCAAACCTCCGACGCATCTTGCTCCGAGATCTCCTCTTCCTCTACCACCGGCGCTGGAATTTCCTTCTTCTCCTGGACAACAATCGGCTCCTCCGGCTGCGGATTCACCGGATTCGGCGGCGAATTGGAAGGAGGAATGGCAGAGTAATGCTGCTGCTGCTGCGGCGGCGGCGGCCTGTGGGGAGGCTTTGGGTTAGGGGTTTCGGAGGAGAGGACTTCCTTGACGGTTTCCTCGTCGCAGTCCGGCGGCGGAGCTCTGGTTTCCGCGGTTGACTTGAGAAACTTGGGCGGCTCGAAGTCGTAACGGTTGCCGCTTTTTGAGGTAGGGTGAGAAGCAGAAACAGGGGGAGAAGATTTGCTTGCGCTGCTAAGACAACAACCCATTTGGCGAAAAATCGGTCAGGTGATTCGCATTAGTTAGGAGAATTTCAGGTGGGGGGGAAGAAATGGCCGTTGGAACGGCGGAAGCGGTGGAAGAAGACGACAAAGGCGAGAGGAAGGAAGAGCTCGGGAAAAGAAAAGCGATGGTGGAAAATTGGGGAAAAGCTTTGTTGGGCAACAGCAGTCAAATAATGAAATCGGATTTATTGCTTTCTGGTTCTGCTACTGCTTTCGATGGACGGGCGTAACTTTTTATTATTTTAATGTTTGATTTTACCTTTTTTGGGCTGGACTGAGTGGTTAAATGGGCTTTGTGTTATTGGGTAATTTCATTTTAACGGGCTTTTTTGCTGTTGTGGGTTCGTCTCGTGGTTCGTAATAATAAATAATTTTTTTGTTCTTCTTTTTTCCGTTGTTAACGGTGATCATGTTTGGCGCTTAGTCCATGTTCCGATTCCATCTCCAGTATCGGTTTTGTCTCATATGATCGGAAAGTTTTCTTATTTAGACTATAAACTAGCGAAAGTTTACACTATACGACTCATTTAATCTAAAAACAATAACCGATAATTTTTATTCCACCAAATTAGGGATGGCAATTTCGACCTGACCCGTTTTACCTGACCTGTTTGACCTGTTTTGGGGCGGCCCGCCCCGTAGGCGGGGCGGGGCGGGCATGGGTAGTCTCATCGACCCGACCTGCCCTGACCCGCCCCATTCTCGGCCCGTTCTTGTCTACATTACATGAAATCTTAATCAAATTACTATGAATGTTACTTTAATCGCATCATATTTTAGCTATAATAAAGTTGTAAATTAGTGAAAACCTCAATTTCTCCAATAATTTAACTACAATTGTCATAATATTGTTTATTTTCTTAGTTTTATAATAAAAATAACGAATATTTCTAATGTTTTTCAAATAAATTGCATACCCATTGGGTTGACCTGCCCCGACCCGTGACCCGTGGTCAATTACCCTACCTGAACCCGCCCTGCCACGGGGCGGGTCTGGGTACCAAGAAACCCGCCCCGGACCTGCCCCATTGCCATTCCTACACCAAATATATCAAAGTACCTCTAGGCTCCAAACGAGCTAGTGATCTGATCACCCATCAAAATCTATGCACTCGCAAATTGAGTATCTTACGTCCCATACAAATAGTTATAAGGAAACTCTTTTAATGGCTTTGGGTCCATATCCTAGCTCGAATCTTCATCAAGTCAACTAGATACAGTTGGCGATCAGTATTGATCATTTATGTTCCTAAATAACTTCCCGAGGACCAACGATTTGACGTCGCACGTTACATTGCATGCCCCAAAAATTGAAAGCCTGTCAATAACCAAATATGAAACCCATTTTAATGTCTGTCTGGTGTGTCAGGAAATCAGGTATGATAACACTACTCATCGTCGACGAGTAGTATGAAATCGATGGAACAGAAGGCTTCATCGTATACTGTATACGTTGGGTCCATCGTGTCTTTGTTTTGTCCTACAGCCGCCGGCCATGTATAGGCTTTAATTTCACGGTGATGAATATAAGCAACGGTTGTGATCATGGTGGTGGTTGATGAGTGGTTGTGGACGCGTCCTGTCCACTCCCCGCCAATCAATGCGAAACGGTCCATTCTCCATTCCGCTCATCACTGCTTTATGTGTGGAAAGGGGAGGGTGATGGTCGGAGGGGCCGTGTGGGCCGCCGGCGGGGAACCATTCCAACGCTCCCGAGGAGCCTCGACATCATAATCATATCACATCGAAAGTGATCATTTTATTCATCTTTGATCAAACGATCATTTGTGCCGGTTTTAGTCTAAAGTAGCTAGTCGCCCCTATTTGAAATGTTTCCATCTTAAATCATTGAGCCCGAGTTTAAGAGTTTCGATGAGAATAAAAAGGAAAAAGTCGTGAAACCCGCGTACCAAAGATTGTACTAGAAAAATTAATGGTGAGGTATTTTCTATTCAAACAGATGATTGAATCGTGGTTCGGTTATTTTTTTTTTTCCGGTTATTTCATTGTTAGTAAATGGGTTATGATCCATAATTGAACCTCTTCCAACAACTCGAATTGTTGGGATCAACTATTTCTTGATATAATAATATAATATAAGAGCTTTCCGAGAGATCGAGAGGTCTTCTATTCGATTTCAAACTGATAAATGACATAATACGATTCCATTCATACTAGAACGAAATGATACCTGCATAATATATGATTGAGATGATATGAACATCGTATTATATGCTAATGTGTGAGTTTCTTAATTGCACAAATTATTGCGTATACAATGATCCGTATCACCAACTAATCAATCCGATTTTCTTATAACCAATGCGATAACTTGAATGTCATGACCCAAAAGAAGATGTTATCAAAAGGAGACACGCCCAATAACAGAGGCAGGATTTCAAACTACCCCGAACAGTCGCATTGATAAGAGATTCGGAGGCAGTGATCAACGATTGCGTCAGCCGTCGCCGGTGGTCGAGAGATGAACTGTAAAGTAAAAAAAAAAAAAAAAAAAAGCGACCTCCACCACAATCCACAAGTGTCATGTGAATGTGATTCCAGCCAAGCCAGCGATTCCCAAACCCCTGTGACGATGATGATCTCTGCGTACGTCACCGCTACCAGCTAGCTGCATGGATAACGTGTGGGTGTGCAATCCCCTCTGCCATCTACCTCATTTACTTTAATTACACTGTCCACTTGGACGGTGAAAAATTCAACAGAACCAGAAATGATACTGTTGAACAATTAAAGCATGCGTGGTTAATTAGTAATAAATTTTCCATGCCTGCCATGGTTGAAGTCTTGAAGCTGCTAGGATGAAAATTCTGATCTCATTCGTTTTATATTATTTGACCTGTTTTGGAGTGAGGCGGACATGAGGTACCCTACTCAACTTGTTACATTATTTATCTCTGTTACTTATTTTACTTGTATTTGTTCTCAAATTATTTATGATTTTATTTTTATTACCTCGTATTTCAACTACAATTCAGTTGAAAAGGGTGAGAATCTCAATTTCTCGAATAATTTATTGCAGGAATTATGTTGTAATTTATTCTTATTATTTTAATGAAAAATGAATAGCCTGAATACTCTCCACTTACAATACACCCAATACTTACATAATTACATAAATCATTTCTATTTTACTTAACTTGTCATAAATAAATGAAATATCTATAAGAGTAGGATGACAAAAATATCTGTAACCGTGGATATCCACCCGAATCCGGCCTAATCGGGCAGGGTAAAACTCGAACCCGAATATTGCGGGTAATGGGTGGGCATGGGTTTCTCATTATCCAACCCGAACCCGTCCGATTATACACATGGATATGTATTTTGTCTAGAAATAATCATTATTTTTCTCTAACATATTTAATATTTAGCATATAAATATAATATTTTCATGAAATTGTGTTATTTTAATTAATTTTCTTCATTCTCATGAATTATTGTCGTGCTTTTCCTCTTGCGTAATGTGAGAATACGTGTGAATTTCAACATATTGGTTGGAGTTATGAAGAAAAATTAATATCCATGGATAACCGTGGATACCCGAAACCCGAACGGGTATGGGCATGATTTGAATTTTCTACCCGTATCACATGTGAGTATGAGTATGGGTAAAACCCGAACTACTTTGGTTAGAGTAACTGATATGCACTATCTGTCTCGACCAACCCATTGTCATCCCTGTATAAGAGGTCGTCTCTATTCCTGACAACATGATTTGCGGACTTGCTCAGCAAAATTGCAACTTATGGTACATTGATGTCTCTATAGATTTAGGTGAGTATAATAATTTCGTATGATGATGATAGTTCATAGTTAGGTGTCGTGAATGAGAAATTCTTCAGTGGTCCGGGAGCACCACGTTGGAAGGCTGAGTTGGTGCTCCCGGCCAATTATTTGTTGCCACGTGGATAACAATAATAAATCTGTTATTTTCATTATTATCTCCTTCGGGTCCATCTTCCTGCTCTGGACATTTTCTCTCTCTCTCTCTTCTGTAACTTCTTTTTTATTTTGCTGGTGTTTGCAACGAGATTGAGAAATCTCATTTTGAATTCGATTGGGTTCCTGGAAGCTAGTGTGAGAATCTTGTAAAGATTTCCATTATATGATTCATCTTGAAAGTTGTCATCGCCGGTTGCCGTTGTGTGCGATTTACAGTCCATGCAAATGGCGATGGAGCTCGAGTGAAATCTGTATTGCATATCCAATTCGATCTCAATTCTCCTTCAAATCTATCAAATCCATTGTAAATTGATGCACCAACTCATTCTTTCTCAGTCATACATATCGCCCTAGTCCAATTAATTCATAGAATCCCCCTTACTATGTCCAATTAATTCCCAGCGGGATCATCTTCGATCAAAACCCCCTAACCCATTCTGACGGCAGCAGAGGCTGCATGTACGCGGGAGAGTGATGAGGAGGCCGACAACGATGACTGCATGTACGACGACAAGCGGGCAGCAGAGTCAAGGAAGAGCAGGGCTGGATCGAAGGGTATCAAACCTGCAGCGCGATTCCGATGGTGATTGAAGGGCCGCAATTAATTGAAATTTCTTAGATGTTAATGATACTTTTGGTGTTTGTTTCCAGGGATCCACTTCAGACTTCTGTCCTTTGAGCTCCGTTTATATTTCTCTCTTCATCTTGTAATTTGGGGTTAGTTGTTTAGTGGGGACTGGGAAGTGGAATCGTTTCCCCTTTCATGAAGCGAGGAAGATGAGAACGGAAATAAAAGAGATAATTGTTTAATTATAATTGTTATCCACGTGGCAGCAAGTAATTGGCCGGGAGCACCAACTCAGCCTTCCAACGTGGTGCTCCCGGACCACCGAAGAATTTCTCGTCGTGAATGGTTGGGTTAGGCTTATACTAATTGAAATTAGGATATTAGTTATGGCTATAATTCCTATTAATTAATCAAGACGAATGAGCATTACGAATGAGTACTTTTCTGGTCCCATTAATTAAATAATAACATGACCATGATAAATTGATAATGCCTGCCACTAAGATCTATGATCGTTTAACTATTGCAAAGGTGCCAGTAGATTCCATATGGATTCCAAAGGCCCAATTCAACATCCGCCAGAGCCCGGTCCAAATCTAATGGTATACCAATGGCCGAGTAGCGAGCTGAGTGTCGCAGTAACGGGCCTCCTTGAGGCCCATTATAGGTTTGCCTCGTTAAGAAACGTGAAACCTTACCGGCCGATCAGAATCACGATCGGCGGGAGAATATCAGGGATAAGGTCCTGGTTATTGTCCTCCCGCTCCCTCCAAGAGATCAAGACTTATGAAATCATATTGGAAATTAATCAGAGAAAACTAAACGATTAAATTAGACTATCAAAACCGTTAGAGCATCATACTAAGTAAAAAAAAAAAGAGTATACTAAATTGACGAGGAAAACCGGTACCTAATCGGTATCTAGTTATAATTTTCCTTTGTTACCCTGGTCAATTATGCGAATTAGTTTGGTGGAGAACCGAGTATTTATACCTTATCGCAAAGTCGAAATCATATTTCTAAATTCTAAGGGAAACCTTTATGCCTCAATGATGGGAATTACCCAACTAGAGCACGTTAAAAAACATGATCATTAAGTGTGATTTTGTGAAGGGTTGGCAATGAATTTATAAATATGATGAAAGTCTTGGTGAAGTTAGTAATACATTTGTCTACATACATCTACAAAGTTCGAAAACAAGATATAGAGTATTTATTTTGTCCGCAAATGAAAGTCTAACTGTTGAACGTGTGCATCTTAGTATCAAGTTGTCAATAAACCGTTTCGACCTTGAATGTGTTGGATGTTTTGTGTTGTGGAAGTTTTAGAATTCTAAGTTTACTGGCTAAATACATCAGTTACTTAGTTGCATCATTGATCATTTGTTAAGAGAAGATGAGACTTGAGAGAGACTTTAATTGGTCAAGTAACACACATTTGAGATGACTCACCTAATGACTCCTTCTGATTGTGTATTATAAATTAATTCACTTAATCGAGTCCATTAAATTATTGATTGGGTTGTAACTTTATTGACTAATGCAAAATTTTGTGTAACTGAAACTTATTCTAAGTGCAATCCACAATATAGCCCATTGAAAAAAGTCTGTAAATGTAATTTTCAATCTTGTATTACGAGGATGAATGTCAAACATCAATCCTAAATGTAGACATTACAAGTATTTCCCACTATAATCGAATATAATTACAATGCACGTAAAGCTTTATTCACTCTATGGCAAAATAAGGCTCACTCCAGCATCAACAAGGAAAACTTAAAACGATAGGCATCAACTTCTTAAAATATTTTTTTCTCCTTCCTAATTAGTTTCCCCTATAAAATTCCATTAGGCTTCCTTTTTCTAGCATGTTTTATCTTAGGCTTCCTTTTTCACCTAAAAAAGGAAGATCACTATGATGAGCCAAAACACATTTCTTTGTAAGTAAGAAAAGAAATGGAGACAAATTCTGTGTATATTTTTCATAACGAGCACACATAATTTACATTTGTACAAAGTGGTTATTTAACTTTCATTTTTCTAAAATGATAGCATGTCTTCCAATTCTCGTAACAAAATGGTTTAATTATATCATTTTAATTAAAAAAAATCATTTTGTCAGTTCAAAACACATCATATCATAGTCCAGTAAGACCCAAAAAACTAGTTTGCCTGACCCATATGACCTGAAAGATTAGTGTTCCGAGCAAGAGTTTGTTCCAGTGGTAATATCACTTGCCTTGAATTTGAAGGATTCGAATTTATTCAGTAATACCTAACTGAAAACAAAAGAGATATTGAGAAATAATATAGGATCATTTTGTACAAATGTAAAAATTATATGACCAATTTGAACAATTGCCCGGCTACTCCTCTGTGTGGGGGTTTTTGAAAGACCCGACTATGATACCAGTACTATAATAATCAAATTCTGAACAGTCCACCAAATTTGTATCATTATACCGTTGCTTTTTTGCTCCATCTCTCTCTCTTACCACTGAGCTAAGCAAAAGCCGAGTTCCCAGAGACAAGCCGCTTCCTTTCTGCAGAGAACTCTTTTCCGGGTGTCAAAAAAGGTTCATAATTTCGTCTGGTAATGCTAATCACTACCCGCTCCTAAATTCTATCCCTTCTTCAAACGATTCACTTTCCTTATACGTTCGATTTCCGTGAAGAGAAAATCCCCCCCTATTAAATCTCCCTACCCACTCGACCCTGTTCGTTTCCTGCGAGAATTTTGAGAAAAGTTCGAGTCTTTTTGAGCTTCCGAGGTTTTTATCAATGGAGTTCATGGAGCGGGCCGTCTGGTTTTTTTGCTCTCTACTCACCCTCTCTGCCTTGTTTGTCTCTGCTGACACCGATCCTCGCGATGGTAGATAGCCAAAGTTCTTATCTTTTCAGTGATTTCTTTAATAAGTGTTCTGTTTGTTGGTTCTTTAACTTCTTTTTCTGGTTGGTTTGGGTTGAATGGTTGCAGTTGCTGCAATGAATAGCTTGTGTGTTTCTCTCAACTTGCCGCCATTGCAAGGATGGAAGCCAGCTGGAGGAGACCCTTGTGGGGAACAGTGGCAAGGGGTCAGCTGTGTTTTCTCCAACATAACTGCTCTGTGAGTTCATATTTTTTTTTTAGATGAACTTAAAGTTTAAGCAGGAGTAGCTGAAAGTTAAATCGGTAGTAAAAAGGAGAATTTGGAGAAAAAGAGCTGTGTAATGCAAGTCAATTGTGTTGACTTAGTAGTCAGTTAGCAATTCAAGAGGCACAACCGAGTAGTACAATACGATTTCAAGTAGATTTATGCACGTTTTGTTGATCTGATGAGATTCTTCTCCTGTTCTTTTGTCCAGGAAACTGAGTGGAATGAATCTTGGAGGTACATTCGACACTGGTATTGAACAATTTGAGTCTATCTTAGAAATGTAAGTGAAACTCTTTTTCGGCTGTATTGTATGACTCAATGAAGAACAAGGTCAAAGTTGTAGTGTTAACCGTTTTGCTGATTCTTCTTCTGGAGTAGAGATCTCAGCAACAACCATATTGGAGGGACCATTCCAATCAATCTTCCTCCTACATTGAGAAACTTGTAAGTCTCTTTCTAGCCTTCTGTCTATGACTTCAATTGAAATTGGATGGAGTGAATTCAACTAAAAGAGTGTTCCTTTCTCTCCAATTGGTTAGCTCTCTAGCTGGGAATCAGTTCATCGGAAGTGTCCCGAGCACGTTATCATCACTAACTCAGCTCCTAGACCTGTAAGTTCTTTAGTGAAAGAGATTCGTATTGGGATGATGCATTTAACTTCATCTGAGATGGATGGTTTTTTGATTCCCAGGTCATTGAACAATAATCTTCTGAGTGGTGGGATACCGGATGCCTTTCAACAGCTTGTTAGTTTGGTTAACCTGTAAGAAAATGTCAAATGCACATTTATAAGTTACAACTTACAACAATGTCTGCACTTTTCATTATGTTTGTTTACTGATTTTTCATTTTGTGTCAGAGACTTGTCGTGGAATAACTTGAGCGATTTGCTACCTCCGTCGATGGGAAGCTTGTTATCTCTCAGCTCACTGTGAGTGCTATTAACATGAATTGAGGTTTAATACCACAGAGGAGTGTTTTGTTTTTCAATGTCTCAGGTCTCATTTGGTTTGGTTATGCAGGCATCTGCAGAACAATAAGCTTATCGGGACTCTTGATGTTCTTCAGGATCTTCCTCTTCAAGATCTGTAAGTTTTGTCCTCTACTTAATCTGACAAACTGCCTTTAGCATTTCAAAAGTTAGTAATGTGTAAATTTTGCCTTTTCTCTTTGTAGGAATGTAGAGAACAATCTGTTCTCCGGGCCTATACCCTCAAAGCTGTCAGCTATACCAAATTTCAGGTGAAGAAGCCATATCCACATGCTTTTTTAGTTATACTATTCTCGTGTAGCTTTTATGTTTGTTTGTTGGTTATGCTATGTTTGTTAAAGATGTCTTTATACAACGAAATTCAGCAACTATTCCCGTTGGATATGTTGTTTATTCATTTCCAGTCCCTTTCTTAAATTTTCTGACCAAATATATTACTTGTATGCTCAACACCAGCTTAATCAACTGGTCCTTTGTCTTTCCTGTGGCCTCTTACTATAATGGCAATGTCTGGTCCTTTTCAGGAAAGATGGGAATCCATTCAACACAACGATTCTTCCTTCGCCTCCTGCACCACCACCTCCTCAAGTTTCATCACCGTCACCTTCTTCCTCTGCACTGCCACCATGGACAGGATTTGGACCATCTTCTGCCGAAAAACAAAATCCTTCTGAAGGCCAAAAGGAAGAAGTTTTCACTTCCAAAGCTAAGAAAGTCGTCGTGATTGCAGCTGCTGGTACAGCAGCGATCATCCTATTAGGACTATGTGTCTGCCTGCCAATATACTGCAAAAGAAGAAATGCTCGACGAGATCCAGAAGATGCTGAGTTTGATGGATACAATGATGGCAAGCCTCAGAGTAAGGCTTCATTTCATGTTTATCATCAAGAACACAAAGGTAACTTGCAATGCCTGCCTGCAGTTTCCATCTAAATTCATTCAAACTATTACGTTGTTGGTTTCCAACGGTTACTTTGTAAACCGTCTAATCCAGTTTAACCTGCGCAATATCTTTTTAATCTTGAAACCGGAACTGGTGATCCATCACTGCTTGTTCTTTCATATACTAAATCATACATACCTGTTGTTTTGGTCAGCTCCAAAGGGATTGGTTACGAAGCTGGATGAACCGAAAGCATCTGAGGGTAGCCTGAAGACACAGGATGAACAAGTTGCAGCAGATCAGAAGAGAACAGCTTCGAGTTTGACTGATGCATCCCTAAAGCAATGCCCTCCTCCTCCTGGCAACAAGGTGACCGTCGATGATGAGAACCAAATGAATAAGGACTTGTCCTCTGCTCGGGTTTTTACCATTGCAACACTACAACAGTATACTAACAGCTTTGCAGAAGAGAACTATGTTGGGGAAGGTTCTCTCAGCCGTGTTTATAAGGCTGAGCTTTCTGATGGGAAGGTAAGGCGTCCTTTTCTAGCTTACCGCCCTCTTTTCTTGTGGGATATGCTATGTAGTTTATTTTGATAATCAGCATTTTCATCATTTTAATCTTTTCAACCAAATTTGCTTACTTGTAGTTAGTGGTGCTCAATGATTCGATGGTAGTATTGTCTTTCCTAGTTGCATATCCATCAATAAATATAACTGACTATTATATAGACAAATTTATAATTTTTTTCTAATTTGGCAATTCCCTCCTACTCTTGGTTGCTTCTTGTTTTCTTGCAATACAGCTAATGGCAGTCAAGAAGCTAAACGCCACAGCTTCTGGGCAAGTCACTGATGAAAAATTCCTTCATCTAGTCTCTGCCATCTCTCAAATGAACCATCCTAACATCGTGGAGTTTGTCGGCCACTGCATCGAGCATGGCCACAAGTTACTTGTGTACGAGTACTGCGAAAGTGGGACCCTGCATGATGCTTTGCATTCGGACGAGGAGATTGATGGGAAGCTCTCCTGGAACAAGCGTGTCAGGCTGGCATTAGGAGCCGCCAGAGCACTGCAGTAAGCCCAAATTCCTCTCCTTCACTTCACTTGTTGATGTCTAATGTGCATAACAAACTGAGAAATAAAAGCTTCTTTCTTATTGTTCATCTGGATTTAATCTTTACGAGTAGGTATCTTCACGAAGTCTGCCAACCTCCAGTTGTCCACCAAAACTTCAAGTCTGCCAACATTCTCCTTGATTTCCAGCTAGTAGCAAAGGTATCCGATTCAGGGTTAGGGTCTCTGAAGTCATCTTCTTCAAGTTCAATCGGGGTAAGCATTCGTTCGTATATAGAATGAAGATGTATTCGTGTTGAGTAAACACGTATGATTAGAATGTGATGGGACCAGAATCAAAAGTGTTTCTCAAAACTTAGAATATTGCATTTTCCCCCAGTTCTCTGGACGGCACAACATTAATTCTCAGCAAGGTTACAATGCTCCTGAGTTGGACTCAGGAAGCCACTACACCTGCAAGAGCGACGTGTATAGCTTTGGGATCGTAATGCTTGAACTCCTCACAGGAAGGAAGTCCTATGACAGGTACATTCTGTTCACAACAAACCATTCATGTCCTTTGCTTTGCCACAAACCAAAGTCTTTCATCCATGATCTAATTCCGAAGACTGTGTTTGTTGGCATTGCTGTCTAGTTCGCGTGCTAGAGGGGAGCAGTATCTGGTGCGATGGGCGATCTCACAGCTTCACGACATTGACTCCTTGTCCAGAATGGTCGACCCTTCGTTGAACGGTTCATACCCTGCCAAGTCGTTGTCTCGTTTCGCCGATATTATCTCCAGATGCATTCAGGCAAGCCAAACTCTAGAAAGACATTCATCATGTTCATGGTATTTCATTATCCATTCCTTGTTGGGGTAACAAAAATGTGTGGTTTTGTTTGTGTTGTATGATGATGCAGTGGGAGCCAGAGTTCAGGCCGGCTATGTCTGAAGTGGTGCAAGATCTCCTGCAGATGATATAAGTTAAGTTATGGGTTGCATATGTAGCAGCGAGTGAGTGCTAAGTTCCAACTAACCCCATTCGTTTGTGTGAATACATGATAATCCCTTCTGTCTTTACTAGTTTACTAGCTAATGTAAACTCCGCCATTTAATTTTTCCATTTTTGGTTTGGCTTGTGATCACTGATGAACGGGCACTTGTTTTTCGTCGTAAAGGGGGGAAAAGTAGGCTTGATTTAGAGGTAATACCAGGGACGACTTTTAATCCGGAGCACCAAAAGTCGATTATGAGAAGGCATTCCTCATCGTCATTTCACAATCATACTCTACTCGAACGGGAAGCTTTCTGCTTAAGCAAGCAAATTAAAAGCTGGCTACAGGCATAGACTTTTAGCTTACCTGATTCCTATATCAGGACTATACGTAACTACACATCTGTAATGGCTGTTGACACTTTGACTGCAGCCGATCATCATACGTACGCAAGTACAAAGGGGAAAGCGAAATGTAACCAATTTGATTGTTACTAATCATCATGTGATTAAGCTTAAACCCGTTCTTAATTGATCATCATTAGCGGCAAATTCCGAGTCTCAGACCCCTTGCATGATCGCATCAGCCTGCTGTTGAACCACCTTCCAAGCTTCCATCACATGTTTAGGCTCCGTCAGGGTCGCGCCAACAGCAAACCTCAACATGTAAATCCCGCCGGCCACGGCATGGGTCATCAACACCCGACCCGACCCGTTGATCCGCTCCAGCAACTTCTTGTTCATCAAATTATTACCACCACCGTCGTCATCGTTGTCTGATAACGTCATCATCACCATCCTGAAACAGACCAACGAGAACCGTCGAGGGACGACGACCTCGAACCTCTCGTCCCCTTCCACGAGCCTCTCGAACGCCTCCGCCATCGCCACGTGGCCTCTCAGGAACTCCCTCAGGTTCCCCACGCCGTGGCTGCGTAGCACCAGCCACAGCTTCAGGGACCGGAACCTCCTGCTCAGCGTCAGCTGCCAGTCCTTGTAGTCCACCACGTGACCCGACTCGGATGCTCGGTTCTTGAGGTACTCGGGATTCGTGGAGAGGGATTTCTTAATGGCGTTCGGGTCTTTCGTCCAGAGACAGCAACAGTCCAGCGTGGTAAGGAACCACTTGTGCGCATTCAGGCTGAACGAGTTCGCGCCCTCGACGCCATCGATGACGTGGCGAAACTCCGGGCAGATGCACGCGCTGCCGCCGTAGGCGGCATCCACGTGGACCCACATCCCACCGTGCTCTTTTGCCACGCGGCAGAGGGGTTCGAGCGGGTCCACTGCGGTCGTGGAGGTGGTCCCGATTGTTGCGCAGAGGAACAACGGGACGAGCCCGACCGCCACGTCGGCACGGATGGCGGACTTTAACGAATCAGGAGACAGCGCGAACGACGTCGTTTTATTCGTCTCGACGGCGCGAATGTTCCCCGGCTGGATCCCGACGACCTTGGCCGCCTTTTCGAAAGCACAGTGCGTTTGATCCGAACAGTAAACCACCAGCTTTCCGATTTCGCCCCTGCCGATTTTGTCCAGCTTTTGGTCTCTGGCGGCCACGAGCACGACGGTGATGGCTTCACAGGTGGTCCCCATGATCACACCTCCGCCGGCGGCCTCGCCGGAGAAGAGGAAGGTCCTGGGGAGGTTCAGCATCTCCCCGAACCAGTCCATCACGACGGTCTCGAGCTCCGTCGCGGCCGGAGCCGCCGCCCAGTTGAACCCCACCACGCCGAGCCCGGCGGCGAGAAACTCGCCGAGAATCCCGGCCGTGCTGGCGCTGCAGGGGAAGTAGGCGAAGTGAGAAGGGTGCTGCCAGTGCGTGATCCCCGGAATTATGTGGTTTTGAATGTCTCTCATGATTTCTTCGATGGGTTCGGCTTCGAAAGGAGCGGACGGAGGGAGGAGATCACGGAGGTAGCCGGGCTTGAGTTGGCTCGTCACCGGATACTGCTCAATGTTGGTGTAGTAGTCGGCGATGAAGTCTACGAACATGTGGCCTTGCCGCCGGAACTCGTCGGAGTTGAGCGGGTTACTAATTCTTGCTGCGTTGTCGTCGTCGTCCAACTCGTGGCTGGTCATGGCGGAGCCTGGAGAGTGGCTTTGGAGTAATTTTGAGCTTTGGAGACGGGAATTTATAGTCGTCGTCTAAGTAGTTGGTTACAACCGCATCACCTTATAATAGCACTTTTTGAAGACAGGCCTAGATTTACGTACAATCAAATAAATAGTTTTCTTACCAATCCCTTGAAAATCGCAAATGTTTTAGTTATACGACATTGTCTTAAAAGTATTTACGACAGAGAAAATTTCAACAACCTCAAATTAGAATATCGAAACTGACATTGAAGATAGCACAAATGAGAGCAAACATTATATATAACCCTGATATACATAATTCTACAAACTCGTGCAACATCATACATTGTGTTAATAAATTGACGGCACTATGTAATACTAGTCATATCAAATTGTGGATCAAGACCCATCGCGTCCATTTAGGTCAAATGCTCTTTGCTAATGACTCTAAATTTGGATCGAGACGAATTGATTTTACCAAAATGTTCCCAGTAGGCGTCGGCGTCCACCGACGAGAGCTTCAACTCATATTTGGGGAGAAAATGATTGCCGTTGTATGCCCTCGCCGCAAACTCGGCTACTTGTACCACGTACGTTATGGTCTTTCAGATTCGTTATCTTGACCCATCTCCACGGCGACGATGATTTGGTGACGGGGATTGCCAGGAGAAAGGCAACCACTGGCAATATGGTTGCGAAATGTGGCTTCCTATTTTCTTTCGACTGTGAAGAGAATGGGTTAATGGCATGGTTGGTCACTGAGATTACAAAAAACGTTCAAGTTTGGTCACTCGAAATATTTAAATTCATTGGTGGTACTTCAGTTTACTGAAACCGTTCACGTTTGGTCACTCTCCGTCCAACTCCGTTAACTTTGACTGATGTGGCAGTCAACTCTTAAAGTTAACCGTGACAACTAAAGAATTATTAAAAATAAAAAAAAAAAATTTTTATAAAATCCCCCTCATTATTGCATTCATTAAAAAATAAAAAATAAACTTGAACGGCGGCGGCGGCGGCGGCGAAACGACTATCGAGACCATGGAAGCTGCCCATCATCGGGAACCTTCACCGGATGGTCGGGCCGTCCCTCCCGCACCGCCGGCTGTCGGACCTGGCCAGGAAATACCGGCATTTTATGCAGCTCGATCTGGGCGAAGTTTCCTGCATCGTGTCCTCGCCGGATTAATGGGCCAAACAATTCATGCACACCGACGAACATGGTGTTGAGGAAAAGGTTTTGCCATTCATTTTTATTATCAAAATTTGCCTTCCTTTTTCCATTGACAAGTCGTTGAATCCTTCGCAGAGTTATGAAGTATTTGCCCAATCACATCCATCGCCAATCACGGCAATTATATGTATATGCGTAGCTACGGTCTTCACATATTCTACGGCGGTCGGGACCTGCTATTCGCGCCTTACGGCGAGTACTGGAGAGAGATCCGGAGGATCTGCGCGACGGAGCTGTTGGGTCCAAACGTGCCAAGTCGTTCAAAAATGAGGAGCAATCCATGTCTCGTGACTGTCTAGTGTACGAAGCAGGAGATTGAGGAGCAGTGGGGGCTGTACGATGGGTTTGATGTGAAGGTTGAGAAGGTTTTACGGGCTCGATCGAGGCGTGGGGTTAATTGTCATGATTTTTTATTTTTTAATGAATGTAATAATGAGGTGGAAAATATAAATTTTTATTTTTTTATTTTTAATAATTTTTTAGTTGCCACGTCACTAAGTTAACGGTCAACTTTGAGAGTTGACTGCCACATCAGCCAAAGTTAACGGAGTTGGACGGAAAGTGACCAAACATGAACGGTTTCAGTAAATTGAAGTACCACCAATGGATTTAAATATTTCGAGTGACCAAACTTAAACGTTTTTGTAATCTCAGTGACCATCCATGCAATTAACCCGAAGAGAATTTATCTATTTTGGTGGAACTCGGAAATAAATAAATAAAAAGATCTATTTTGGTGGAAAGGGGACAAGTGTGCAAAGGAAGCGTCTTGGTTAGTGGTTACATCACACCTCAAACAAGAATTGGTAACAGCCTAACAGGAAAGGTTGTCAACAGCGGGTTGACCTACGTGTTGAACCATTTTGACCCTGACCTGATGAGAAAAACGGGTTGTATGCACTCGCTGGGTCGATCGCTACAAGATATCGAGTTGGAGGTCAAATTATGTCGTTTTTTCTTTAGTTTGCGAAATGCGTCTATTTTCCGATTTTTCTTTTCGCCTAACTCAATCTTTGGAATCCTCAGTTGAACATTTGAATATTGATGTTATATAAGTGTGTGAATTTTCACTATATGTTGGATCTAAGTACGACATGTTACTTTGGTGTAATGTTATATGTTATTGCTCATATGTTATATGACATTTGATATAATTTATCAAGATAAGTATAATATAATGACTCTTTTCATATTTCCGGGCTAAAACGGTCTAAACCGGATGACCCATTAACTCTTGACCCACTAGCTCGACTGAGTCCGGATCAACCCGCGGATTAACAACCTTGGTAAGAGGGCACTTGTTTCTCTTTGAAACATAATAGTCTTGTTTTCATGTTTCCATCGATTTCTTTTCTGTGTATAGATTCCAAATCTTCCCCAGCCGACTGACAAGCCAGCAAATCACCAGATGCATTGAACCTCACAGTTCCTACCCTTTCTATTGTTTGCCTCTGAATCTCACCAAGAAATTTCATTAACTTCCCACTTCATTGGCATCCCTAGCTTTTTTTTTTTTGTCCTTTAGGTATTTGAGATGCATGACAGGGGAAAGAAGATGAAAGGAAGAAGACGAAGTGGTAGGGCTTGTTTCCCTCTAGTGGGCTGGCTTGGCTAGCTCGTCTTGTTAACTCCATCTCCTTAAAAGACAGATGGGCCTGAAGAAACACTAGCCCACTAAGATAAAAAAGAGAAGTTACCAAGGCCGAAAAAGAGGCCTAGGCTTATGTCAAAAGTTATTTCGGGTTTAAATAGTTTGGACTGGCCCAGAGCTTTTTTATGTGGGTAGCACACTCAATAAATATTTGTGTCCTCTATTAACCCATATGCAATGTCAAGGAAAGTAGATAGATAATTAACCCATATGTAATGTCTAGGAAAGTAGATAGATAAAGCAGTTGGATCCCAATTTATGATTTGTCTCCTCTCCTGACTCCTATCTCTCTCTCCGTCGGTCAGTGTACGCAAAACATATTAGATTCGATTTGTTGTTTTCATTCTCAAATTCACGATAAAAATAAGATGATGTCGTTTAGATTGTTTGGAGCAAGATCATATTTCGGATGATCTTTTCAATTCCGGTCTTAAAAAATTTCAATTAGATAATATATGATTGAAATTGATCTTTTGTTAATCAAACTAAAATTTTCAATTATATACAAATATTACATAAGTGGAAAGACAACAATAAAGCAATATAATGAAAGAAAAGTAGTTTTAAAAAGCACAATTTTATAAATCGACGGTTATGTATATTTATGTCAGGTGAAGTTTTCTATTAATATATTTGGTAACATGGACGGATGGGTTAGGTGAATATATAACATAAATTTAAGAGGAAGACGATGGAATGATCATTTCATTTTATACATTTAAACATGTGTTAAAAGAAATGATAGATAATGAAAGATTTGGTTCCGTATAAATTCCAAATTCTAATCAACCGACAAATTGAAAAAAAAAAAATTTACCCCCAGGCCCCAGCTTGGTCAATTATATATTGTAGAGGTCCTTAATTAATTGCCTCTGTTCAACAATCACCAACTCGATGAGACTTGTATTGCTCCAGCGTTTTGTTAACCACAACTTGCTCTGGCATTCAGCATTCCCTACATTGATTTGCCACTGCATTCAAGCCTTCTAATTGGCAGGATTCGATCATGAGCTGTCCAACACTGATTTCCTACTCTGATATCCCGTTGCGGAGCCACATGGGATGGAGTGAGGGAGGTACAATAATACACCACGTCTCAATCGATTCATACCGTCAAAATCTCCTGTTAATTTGGGCTTCGCAATAGATGGTATTTTTTTCGATCGGACAGTCGGTATAAAATAATTTTGCAAAACACTGAAATATATATCGCTAATGGTTTTGCAGATAAAGAGCGCGAATACATCACCTCATTTTCTGAACAACAACGTACAACTTCACCACCAACTTATCCACGAATTTATGATTTATATTAAGAATCTAACATATATATTTTGTTGCATACTTTAACCGTTTAACGTTCCATAAACGGTTTGTAGCTGGATACATTAAAAGTATCATCTTTAGTACTTTAAATGATGAGGGTATTTTAAATATTTTTTTACGATTTGAAAACAAGTGATGAATCATTAGAAAATATTAATAAAAGATATAATTTTTTTAATGTTCTCTTCTCCTGCCTATAAAAAGGAAACGTACTCTCTTTGCCTCAGTCATATCATCACCAACCCTATATTCACTTCTTCCTCTTTTCTTTCTTTCCAAGCCATGGCCGGCCACGACGTCGCCGGCAAGCCAACACCCACGACCAACCCGATGAACTCCGACGAGTTCCGGCGGCAAGGTCACATGTTCATAGACTTCATCGCCGACTACTACGCCAACATAGAGCAGTACCCCGTCACCAGCAAAGTCAAGCCCGGCTACCTCCGTGATCTCCTCCCGCCGTCCGCTCCTTTCGAAGCGGAACCCATCGAGGAAATCATGAGAGACATTCAAAACCACATCATTCCAGGGATCACGCACTGGCAGCACCCTTCTCACTTCGCCTACTTCGCCTGCACCGCCAGCACGGCCGGGATTCTCGGCGAGCTGCTCGCCGCCGGGCTGAACGCGCAGGCTTTCGGCTGGGCAGCGTCTCCGGCCGCGACGGAGCTCGAGATGGTCGTGATGGACTGGTTCGGGGAGATGCTCAATCTCCCCAGGACCTTCCTCTTCTCCTGTGGGGCCCGCAGTCGGTCAAATCAGGAGTTAAAATTAGGTCTCTTTTTTTTTAAAGAATATTAACGAAATCATTTATTCATTATTTTATTTTTACCAAAACTTATTGTCTCGTGGCAGAGCCTAAACCTTCGAAGTCTGCAAATGTCGGAGGCGGAGGCGTGATCGTGGGGACAACCTGTGACGCGCTCATCATCGTGCTCGTGGCTGCCAGAGATCGAAAGCTGGCCGAGATCGGGAAGGACGGAATCGGGAAGCTCGTGGTCTACTGTTCGGACCAAACCCACTGTACCTTCGAAAAAGCGGCGAAGGTCGTCGGAATCCAGCCGGGGAACATCCGAGCCATCGCGACGACCAAAACGACGTCGTTCGCGCTGTCTCCGGATTCGTTAGACTCGGCCATCCGTTCCGACGTGGAAACGGGGATGGTCCCGCTGTTCCTGTGCGCGACGGTGGGGACCACCTCCACGACCGCAGTGGACCCACTGGAGCCCCTCTGCCGCGTAGCGGCAGAGCACGGCGGCGGGATGTGGGTCCACGTGGACGCGGCCTACGGTGGTGGTCCCTGCATCTGTCCGGAGTTCCGCCACGCCCTCGACGGGGTCGAGGGCGCGGACTCGATCAGCGTGAACGCGCACAAGTGGTTCCTCACCACGGTGGACTGCTGCTGCCTGTGGGTGAAGGACTCGGGCGCCGTTAAAAGATCCCTCTCCACGAATCCCGAGTACCTCAGGAACCGAGCCTCGGATTCGGGTGACGTGGTGGACTACAAGGACTGGCAGCTGACGCTGAGCAGGAGGTTCCGGTCCCTGAAGCTGTGGCTGGTGCTACGCAGCCACGGCGTGGGGAACCTGAGGGAGTTCGTGAGGGGACACGTGGCGATGGCGGAGGCGTTCGAGAGGCTCGTGGAAGGTGACGGGAGGTTCGAGGTCGTCGTCCCTCGACGGTTCTCGTTGGTCTGTTTCAGGATGGTGATGATGACGTTATCAGACAACGATGACGACGGTGGTGGTAATAATTTGATGAACAAGAAGTTGCTGGAGCGGATCAACGGGTCGGGTCGGGTGTTCATGACCCATGCGGTGGTCGGAGGGATTTACATGTTGAGGTTTGCTGTTGGTGGGACCCTGACGGAGCCCCGACATGTCGTGGAAGCTTGGAAGATGGTTCAAGAGCAGGCCGATGCCATATATCCAGGTGATAATTAATTAATTATATTAAGTACTGATTTAAGCTTGATTGATTACCAAGATTAGTAACAATCAAAACATGTTGTTGATTTTTTTTTTATGTAAATGTACGTATGCAGAGCATGCTAACGGTTGTTCAGCACCAAATGGAATTCGGGGAGTCTCGGATCAGAGTCATGCAAAATCCAATGGCGAAATGTCGGATTATTCTAGTAATTAACTAGCTTATTACCCGGCCCGTTGGCCGGATTACTGTATGTTACCCACTTGTGGAATGGGAGAGAAAGCAAGTGAGAGTGAAGAGATTGGGATTCCACCTGATTAGAACCGACCCACTAATCCAATTCTTCCCGACCCGCCCCAACCTACAGGGTCAGAAAGAGTCAATAAGAAAATACGAACGGGGAGGATTAGTCATATATCTTGATTCTTCAGAAGTGGGTCAAACAGGATCAAGGTTGGGTGAGGGCAATTTTTAGCGCTAAGCAGAGTTCTGGGTTGAATACCTTTACTTAGGCCTAGAAATTGGTGTTGATGCAGACTGCAGTTTTTATTATACCATCATCAATCATCATTGAATTAGTCCTGGGCATCCCTCCCCGTTGTCGGTCTGAATTCTAATGATGGCTTCATTCCTTGCACCAGCCATATCAGCGAGTTGTCATCTCGAGCATGATTTGCCTATGTACAAATAATACAATTAGAGTATGAAAATGAATTCAATGAAAAGGAAAAGAGAATTCTATCACATGCCAATATATACACACATAATAGTTGAAGCTAAGTAAAAGTCATTACTCGCACATCAATTCTCAAAAATTACAAACTAAACATTGGCTATAATGGCACTGAAACTACCAAGAATCATGGACGAAACAACTTGTCAAATTAAATAATTCTTATACTGAAACTACCTTCTAACTTGAAATAAGACATGATCACAGTTCATAGCTCTCTTCTCACTATGAATTGGTTGCAGCTCGTCCTTATCACTACCTCTCAAGCTCAATTCAAACTGAATAGAGACCGTTATGTAAGATAATCATATTCTTACTGATCATAATTCCTTTCTTCACTCCATTTTTGTCGGAGAAAAGAGTTATCCCCCTCTCCTGCATTTCCCTTTCCCCCTCTCTTCTCCCTCTTCTTAACAAACCGATCCCTAAACCAGCAACAACAACACAAAAATAGCCTTCGCCTCTCCCGTCTCTATCTATTGAACGCGTTGGTGGCAAGACAGGACTGCAGAAGCAAAATTTTCTAAAATCAAACTAAATTTTTTGAAGCAGACTCAACCACGAAAAAAGAGTAAAGCAACAATGTAGTAGAACCCTAAATTTAACTACAATCAAGCACATATCAGCAAGATTTTCGATTTGTCTGAGAGTTAACTACACGGAGAGAACAATTGATGCATAATTGAAATGCTCCAAGCAAGTTGAAGGCAAACCATAACTTTAGAATTTGGTCATTATAATAACCTTCAAGTATTGATGCTTCTAAGAACTATCATGTCCAACCCCCACTTATACAACTACGTAGCCATAGTAATTAGTTGTATAATGAGAAATATTACAAAGAAAACTACATAAACAACCAATGTAAGTAAATATTAAAACTAACAACTGATAAAACTTAAAATCTCTCTATTGGTATAAATGTATCTATTAGTAACTACTATGCAATCGAGTATATATGATTTTTAGGCACTGAATAAGAAAAGTATAGATGGCTCACAAATGAAGACGTAGCAACTGAAGGTAGCACACAAAAACCAAAAATAGAAAAAGAGATAAGAAAAAAGGCGAGAAAAAGTCAAACAAAGAAAAAGCCCACATAGGAATACCTCGCTAGCTTTAGGGACTCTCTGCCACAACAAACAACCTTCTTAAAAATCTAACACCCTGAGACATCAAACAAACCTCCCACGACACTAATGTATGGCATTCCTATTGTCCAATAGGTTTGCCCAATTTAGACTTCTAAATAAATGGACTTTTCACCATTAAACCAAAACTCAAAATCATTAACAGTTAATGCAAAGACATACATTTCTGAGGCCAATCACAGCATTTAAGCATAATTTTTAGTTGAAAAGAACAACTAAGTATTTAGCTAAATGATATAGTAGAATGGACACAATCTGCTACCTACTAATGATATAAACGTGTACCGGTACCATCGTTGTATCCTGACTTGCCATTTGCAACGGGCACTTTGAAAGACAGCTGCATTTTAGAGAATAAACACCCATAAGGGCGTTACGAAACCAAGCTTAATCCAAAATCTTCATATTTCACTTCGAAGACTCCATTTTCAAAAATAAGAGAGTTTAACATGTCAAATCACTCATTTGAAAAATCTCAAACAACTATTAATCAATGCAATATAATGGCACGTTCCAAATTATGTACTTGTAGGAATAATCCCAAATAATTATCAATTAATGCCCCAACTACCTAATGTGCAGAATAGCCCTGGAGCTGTGCTGTTGTTTGCGTTGGTCTACCTTCAAACATAACATAGTTGAATCACGAACCAAAGCAATTAAGCAAAAATCTTCATATTCCAAGTAGAATGACTCAATTCAATTTGGCCAACGCTTTATACATATTGTTTACCCCTGGACCTGTTGCACTTGCGCCTTCAGATCTTCGTGAACACAATACAATTGCGGAGAGGAGGCTGTCAACGGAATAAAAATTGTTAATTAAGTGAATCACCATACAACTAAACAAACGCGCTCTTCTTGATTAGCTATCAAAATCGTGGGGGTCGCTACAATCCATCGGTTGCTCCCTCTGCGCCTAAGTTGTAGATATTAGGTTTCAGTGAGAACTTTGAGTACATGAGGAGATATTTTGTAGTGGAGGAGATGACCCGGCGAGTAGAATAGGAAGATTTGGAGAGGCTGCGATGGGCAAAGCAGTTAAAATCGAGATTTTACCTAAAATCGAAAACTGGGGTAAAATCAAAATCGTATAATCGAATCGTAAAATGGTAGGATTTTAAGTACCATATAGAACATAGCATATAAGAATATTAATAAGGTAAATTATTAATATCACAAAGACACATAGCATTTAAAATGATAATTCAGAAGATTTTTTTTCCATAAGATAATTCTCAAGATTAATGTTCCAAAATCACTATTTTAATTGTTATTTAATGTGTAACTCAAAATAATTCATGATGAAGGGATATAGTTCATGGGTTTGGCTCTTATTTTCATGTTATGTCTAGGTTGTTTAACTCAAAGTAATATTTCGACATTGTCTACTAAGTATGATTTAAAACTAAAAATAATTGAACTCCAATAAAATAAGTAATGTTAGTGGCTTGGTACAAATATATTCATTAATAAATTAATTAGTTAATAATGATGTTAGTTCTTACATACTTCCAATATTAGGACAGGTGTTTTACCAATAAGTTAAATGGGGTGAAGGGAAAGAGATTAACCGAACCCTAATTTGGTTATTTTTATTATTTTTGAATATTTTTCTAATAGAAAAATATCTGAGAAGATTTCATTGCCCTTTCCGCTGAAACAGTTATACTTATTTTAAATTGGCTCAAACCACCTATTTTGTTCTCTTACGATCAAAATCCCGATTTCGGTACTATTTTACGATTTTAACGATTTTAGTCCCGATTTTAAACGATTTTAAGGTCCACCGATTTTATAGTAAAATCAAGATCGGAATCCCTAAGTAAAATCCTAAAATCCTACGATTTTACGATCAAAATCCCGAATTTGACTGCATTAGCGATGGGTGCACGATTAGTGGGCCAAATAACAGTTTAGGCCCGTTTAAATGAAAACATATTTTTACTTTCGTGCTCAACAGACCGACCACACTGGCATCTTCTAAATTTACCCCTAAAAAATTGCTCTGTACGCATCAAATTTGAAATGGAATCCCTCTTTTCTCATTTCACATTTCACATTTATATGATGTGTAGATTGTGATGAGTGTAGATGTAGACCTGTCATTGTCCTACAAATTCATTAACACGCCTAAAAGTGGTGAAATGAGCCACCCTATTAAACACAATCTTGTATAATGATCATTGGATCCAATCATGCCAGATTATGAAGAAGTTTAAAATGTAGCGGTTATCCCGACTAAAACATTAAAAGAACCAGCCTCATATAGTTTGCACAAAGATATAATTTCTCCATAGTAATTCTGAAAAATAATATTAATTTAAGAAGTCGATATTGCTTCTACATGTTTAATATTGCAATTCGATATGCAATATTCGAACCAGTGATATTTGGGCTGCAATTTTAGGGTTATTGTATATTTATAAAATAGATAGAAATTTAAATTAAGTATTAAACTACAACTAAAATAATCAAAGTATTAAAACACCAAATAAGTACTTACGGGAGATTCAGTGGCCAACTAATCGTTAAAAAAGTCATATGATTTTCATAATTTAGGTTCGTGTATGTTTGAATTTAAATAGATACAATAAATATACTTAGTGTGATTGGTTATGATCCTTGCTTGCCTTTAAAGAGACCAAGGTTCAAATCCCAGTGCATGCCTTTTTTATGAATAAATAAATAAGAAAATAAGCAATTGTGAAGACCAAAATGTCCTTCCTATAATCACTCTCGTTGCAGGAAATTTGAAATGGAGCAACAGTTTTCATCATTCGACTTCTATTTATTATCTAGATTTACAGTAGGTGATTATAGGTTTCCATTGCAATCACTTCAAGTCATATCCATCAATCCCATCAAATGGATTGTAAGTTTGAACAGAAGACAAAATTGATAAGGCAAAATCAAATGCATGGAAACATGATCGGTTGAAAAAAATCTTATCCCATGCTGCCATGCATGTGTTTGTCGTGGAAGAAAAGATATGAAATGATAGCTTCTTACATTAATTGCATTGAGTAGTATGGGGACATTGTATGGTTGCACAATTGGACAAGAAAGCGAATTGTGCGCCGTGAGTTTTTCTTTTATATGTGAGATAAAAGAATAGCCAATGTGGCTTTATTTGGTTTCAGTGTATGGTAAATTTGAGTGGATATTGGTTATAAAAAAAAAAAAAAATTGAGTGGATATATACAAAAAAAAAAAATCTGATTTGATTCAAAAATTTATTGCAATTTTCTGATATCGTGCCCATCATTTATATATAACTCTCTTCTTGGTCAAGTAGTTGTTCACATGAAAACAATCAATTATTGCCACGTGCTGGTGATTGTAATCGAACCTGTCGATAACCAGTATCAGTAGCCCACCGGAATCCCTCAATTCTCCATCAACTACTGCAGTTTACTAAGGAAACGAGATTAGTATTAATAGTATAAGAAATTACATCCACCCCCTATATTTGAGATCATTTCATTTCAATTTTCAACCCCACATGTGCATGCATTGCATGGCACCATTGGAGATGTAAAATGACCTTTCCCGTCCTCGAAATTTTCTCACTTTTCAAATTGGTTCAGTAAACTAAAGTTTGTTACGTAGAATTAGCTGCATGTTTTCATCATTTTAGTAGTGAACGTAGGCCAAAGCTCTCTGGGAAATGATTGAGCTACATACGTAGCTCCATCCAATTGCAGAAACCGTGCAAATTATAAAGCTTTCATGTGAGCAGGGTAGTACGGACATTTGAACGTATTGTTTGTTTGGATGGCTGGCTGACTGACTTTACAATTTGAAGGCCGGGTTTCAATGAAATTATTACATTTATATGAAAATAAGGAAATTAAAGAACATTATTTCCACTAACGCCGATTACTGTAGCTCAAGACACCTTTTACTGGTCATAAAGACTCAATTTTACTATTCACCCAGCTCTGATTGGTTGTTCGCCTGCGGTGGACCCCTTTTCTTGGACTTCGTTTTCGTTGTGTTGTGTTGGGGATAGCGTCGATCACGCGTCGGCCTCCAATGCTACCTTCTTTTCTCCCGTCGCTTGCTGGGCTAACCCTGATTTGGGATGTGATGGTCTGGAGAGAGTAAGAGGGTGGTTGTTGAGGTGGCAGAGAGGAGGGGTTCTTCGTGCAGAGAGCTGGAGAAAAGAGAGAGGAGCAGGGGAGACTGGGAGTGATTTTGGTGATGGTTCGAGAAAAGAGAGAGGAGCAGGGGAGACTGGGAGTGATTTGAAAGAAGAGAGAGAATCGTCAGAAACCCCTCTTCCTTTTCACCCTCTATCTTCTCTTTCACTGCGACCAGCCATCCTCCCCGAATCTTCTCCTTCTCTAACCTCTTTTCACCATTCTTCTCCTTCTCTTCTCCCAGCGATCCATCTCCGACGATCTCTCTTTTTCTCTTTCTTCTCTCTCTACTTTCTCTGAACATTTCGGTGTGAGGAGCAGCCTAAGAACTGGAAAGAACCCGCCGGGGGCCATCATTTTCCAAAAATCCGTGCCTCCGGTTGTGAACATCTGCACCTTTACCTGGCGAGCAACAAGCGACCAACTGCCAGTTGAAGTCGAGGAAGTCATAAGGTTCCAGTCAGCTCTGGATCTGTAAGTTTCGTTTCGTTGTTCCTTCTCTTTTGCATCAGTGGTAGCCTCATTCGTTTTTCCGTTTTTATCAGTGAGGATGGACGGGAATCGGCAATATGCTTGCTGGGTTCGGGTGAGTTTTTTCTTTCTCTCTCAGAGTCTCTAAATCTCTCTCTTCGACGGGTTTGATGTGAGGTTTTCATGGTTAATTCCGCATCATACTTTCAGATCTGGTCTTAGCCGCACCATCTTCATCGATGAGGGGAAAGCTCGGGATGAACCAGGTGAACGAAAAATGGCCTCTTTCTCTCTCTTTTGTGCTTTGGTTTCCCTCTCTATTTGCATCTTTCCATCTAACCTTTTCTTCTCTTTTGTGGTTCCTTGGAGGTGGGATTGACGAAAGGCCATGGAACTTTCGGACTACGTAGACAGAAAGGAGGGGATTCCATTTTTCGTTTATAATCTTTGCATTCTCGCTCAATTAGCCAAGGTGGGTCGCTAGATCTCTGACTGGAGGTGGGATTGACGCTCGCATGTACTATCTCTTCTGTTTTTCTGGTTCCTCTCTCTCGATTACTTTGTGTTGTACCAGTTCTAATCTCTGCTCTCTTCGCTTTGGTCGCAGGGACACTTTCTTGCGCCAGGTGCTTTTTAGATGATTCTCTGGTAGGTTAGGGGATTGCTTTTTATGCTTAGTTCATGTTTAATTCCTGCGTGACCTTCGTGTCTTGATTTTGGCTCTTTTTTTTGTTATGCAGGGAGGGCTCTGGGTGGCCCGAGTTGTCGTGAGGATCTAGCTCACAGTTTTCTGCCTGCGCCATCACTGCTTTGTGGATTCGGGTTTTGGTTTAAGGTGATTGTTCTAGCTCTTTCAACTGGGTTTGTTTTATGTTTCATGATTCGTTGTTTGATTCTCCCAAAACTTTTCTCCGTTGAAAGCTCTAATCAAGTTGTTTCTCTCCCATTCTCACCTGCGAGCACCGGAATTGAAGAGGGGAGGAAATTCAAAAGATGGCTCAAGCCTTTCCAAAAAATGAGAGTTGATCGGCGTGTAAGCATCTGCACTCCTCTGCTCAAGAAAACCCCAAAGTCGGAGCAAGATGGGAATGAGGTCTGCGTCATCGGCGGTAAGGTCAGCTCCGTAGTGGAAGATGAATGGATGCACGACGGCGCAGATTCAGTGAGGAATGCCTCAATAGGTGACTCACTCTTTTCAGTTCATTCTCCCCAGTTAGTTATCCCATTCTTCTTTTCTCTGATCAATTACTCTTGCTTGCTGTTTTTGCATAGTATATCAACGGTCCCGACTTTGAACTATCAAGGACACTAGGCTGTAGCTGGCAACTTTGTGCTAAAATTATTCTTTCTTACTCTCCTCTTTAGCTTCAAGCTTCAATTCTTTGTTTTATTTGCTCAATTTCTTACTGATGGTTTCGTTTTTATTTGAGATTAGCCTCTGGTGTGCTGCTGTGGAATCATGCTGGGAGCTATGATGTGAAGGTCCCAATAGGAACAAAATTAATTGTAGGGTTCTAAGCAATGCTTTCAAAGTAAGTCTTGAATCTTATTCCACTAGGCGTCAGAGTAGCAAGAATGTGTTAGTTGGTATTATGTAGGAAATGCATGTGGTAAAATGCGTTTTGCATTAGTATCCTGAACTTCTAAATGTTACATAAAGACTTTTCGTTGCTGATGTGCATCTTATTCTTGCTGCTGTTTTGTTCTCGATTGACATGTACCAGCTGTGTTGATCATCTCTGTGAAACCTAGGTTCTACAATACTCATTTTTTTTTATTTGCTCGATAATCTATGCTCTATTTAGTCTTTGAGATCGCTGTTTTGGTGTCGAGAGGAAACTGCAGTTGGTGTATGGTGTGTTGCCGTGAAATAATAGCAAGAGTTGTGGTGTGAAGGGACAAATGGCAATAAATTGGTTTTGTGTATCCAAGATAATTTCAGATAAGTTTTGAACTTTTTCCCCTAGAACAGGGTATCTGGTTTTGCTATGCTAAGCTACGTTAACTGAATTGGTTCAGATTAGGATTGGGAGGACCTAACTCAACTGTAATTAAAATGAAGTGAACATGACAAATTTTTAGTAGGCTCAAAGTGGTTCACTGTATGTTAGTATAATATATGTTGCATCCGCTTACCTGTACTTTACTTCAGTAAGTGTGGGATTTCTGATTGTCCCATCTAGACAATTCTTTGCTTCTCATCATCTGCTTTGCTTTTGTTGTCCAAATTTGTGCTTCAGACTCATTTATTGTACTGTTCTCTATATAGCATTGTAGCTACTTCTATAATGTTATAGCTTACAAATTTATTTGTCATCTTATGTGCAGATGGTGTGCTTGTCTCATGTGTGATTGGTGCTCAGAGATATGTTGTGTTGCAATGTAATCTAGGTGTCTCAGTGTTTGTAATGTCATCCATAGTGTGCATTTCCCTTATATATTGTTGGGTTACAAATGCTTCTATATTTCTGGTAAATGATTATATAATAATCATACTATCATTCTGGGTATGTTTTCCAGAATCAAGTTGGTGATAGAGATGGAGAATCCGCAGGGCGACGAGGGACGGAGTTGCGGGCCTCAGCTCTGGATCTTTCCTTTGGTCGCCCATGATCATCATCTTTGTTGGAGATGCCCAACCAGAAGAGAGGATTCGATCAACACCCAGATCCACAGGTATTTTCTGGTTTCAGGCAATTATTTCTCTCTGTCTCATTATTTTGGTTTTTCTCCTTTCTTTCATAGGTTTTGATCGTAATAAGGGTTTATTTGATCACTTTTGAGCATAGTTTGCACGATAATACTCACGAGTGGACCTGTCGATGTGGAAGATGGAGGCAACCAGTGTACAAATAGGTTGAATGAGTTTAAGCGACCAGGATATTGATAGGTTGGATTCCTTTCAATTCCCTTTTGCTTCATCACGATTAGTCACTTCTTAATGGTTTTTTGTGCTTCGGTTTGGAATATCAGGGCACCAGTTTCATTTCTCAAAGTTGATGACTGGATTCAATGAGCCTGGAGTTCAGAACTTTGCTTGAGACTTATTGGAATTTCAGCAAGATCAAGTGGCAAATTTTGAGAGATTTGGAAAGGATTCGGACAAATTCAGATTGCAGGTTTTTTTATATTCCTAGAAGTAGCGATCACTCTGTTATGTAGTGATGGATTTTGTTCACATGCTCTTTTGTCTTCGCATTTTTCCTCTACTGTTCAATGTGTTTCTCTGACTGCATCTACTGAAAAGACAAGCTCGCACGAGGATTTGCCTTCAATAAAACTATATGAGAATGCTAACTTAAGAGGTTATATTGATGTTATTCAGAGTGTAAGGACCTGCCAGCATATCTTACACAAACTGCAGATTCCAGATGTTCACTGTTTCTTTGATCCAAAGTTATATTGTTGATTCTAATGTTTAGGGTTTATTTATTCAGATTTGGCAACTGTAAACATATAATGGGGCCCCAATGGTCAAGTGAATCGTCGTAGTGTGTATGTAAATTACAGTTATTTGGATGCATTAGCGATGCTGAACTTCAGTATTTGTAAACCATAGTGCAATTTCAATTTTTCATGTTCTAACTTCATGGTTTGTTTGTTATTTGGTGTGCAGGTAAGTGTAGATGAGTTGTTCCATTCTAATATCATATAGGTTGTCACAAAATCTCAGAGGAAATTGCAATGGGTGATCAAGTTCGTAAATGGATCCAGTACCCAGAGGTGGTGCATAAATATGGTCAGAAGCCTCCATACACTGATTGGAGTCATCTCAATTAGTTTGTAAATGGACTCCTGTGATAATCTATGAAAATAACCAGGAGCCACAATTGATACTGTGTTCATTCTGTTATATCTTATATGAAGATAGTTTGTGCTTGGTAATGGTCAACCTGTTGTAGTATATGTAATTGTAATTTATCACCTTGATTTGTTTTTGTATCATAAGCTCTTCATGAGCTAGGATTGGAGTTATTTGTTGTGAACAATTGTACATGGATTCGACTTTACTAATTTTGTGCTTAAATGCTATCCAACGGGTGATTAGGTTGTAAATTTTCTTAGTAGCGATGCATCTACATTTTGCAGAACAATCAAACTTCACTTTTCGTTGATGGAATTCATTCCACCTGGGCCTTTCCCATGCTTATTTGTACCAAGTGTGTGTGGTTATTACCCAGACCAGTTGTAAGTTGACAAGGACTGTCTCAATACTTATATGTTTTGAATCCCTTTCACATGGGTTCTTCTACACAGCATCCCATACTTTTGAATGCTGATTTTGTGACTGCATATTATGCCGTCCACAAATTGTAATATATATTAAGTTCATGTTCATGCATTGCAATCGCAAATAGCAAATTTATCATGAGCTGAAATGTTTGATGATCCTTAAAATTACTAAAGTCAAACGTATCCCGCGGCAGAACGCGGGCAATTTACTAGTTATTATTAGGTTTATAATTTCATGTTTGAGGAAAATCAAGGAGAGGATTGCAGGCATATGGGCTCAGGCCCAACGAAATACAACAAACGTAATGTGATAGGCCCATCAATGAAACTGGCTAGTGATCCAAGCCGAAATCCCATGGATCCATAACAAAAGTGAAAATGTTTGAGATTTTTTTTTATATTTCCTAGTAATATCAAGTGAAGACAAGAAAAACTACTCAGGAATCCCCTACAAGCGACACTCCACTGAAATACCAAAAAAAGTTGAAAGATTCTAACTCTAGAAAAGACAAACAGTGCTTTAAGCGTCATTCTATGGGTAACACTATTGGCGGCTCTAGGAACCGCCCTAAACTCTATACAAATCAACAAAGAGTACTTTGAGAATTGAAGACACTCCCGACATCAGACCTCCAAAGGAACCTTCTATAATACCTAATTGAATTTGGTTAACGACCACTTCGAATCACCTTCCACTTTCACGTGAGTCAAGGAACTTGAGGCAACGATGGTGATAGTATCTCTTACTGCTAAGAGCCATGCCCGGTAGGACTTGACTACTCTTTGGTGACACATACCGGCTGCCATCACCACATGTCCATCTGACACACGTATATTAATACTCGTCTTCATTTGACCTATCTTCTTTTTCTTATTATTATGTCTTGTAATTTAATCATAGTTTCTTACGAAAATATGCTCCGCGACAAAAATTCCGAACGTGGGAAGCAATCAACGGCCTAATGCATGTTTCCACATGGAAAAGGGTTGAAGGAAAGACCTTCATGTCGGGTTTTAATTAGTCTATACCAATATTTTATCATTGGTCGCCAATTCGATTTAGATTTAAACCAATCGAAGTCAAACGGAAAATATACTTTTATCGATGTTTATGATTGTACCAAAATCATTTTCTCTTATCGATTTTGGTTTCGAATAAAACCAAAAAAAAACACAATCGAAACTGCGTAGTTTGAAGGTAAAGAAATAATAGTAACATCTTTCTAGACTCCAAAAACAAATTAGCAATCACATGGAGAGTTTTTTTTTTTTTTTAAAGTTTTAACGCCATGTTTGAAGAGAACAAAAGGACAATCCCCATTTACTCTCTTTAACTTTTGCCTTCACTGTTGCAGAGAATCCAAAAATCTGCTGCTGTTGCTGTTTACAGTTGACAGTCAATCCCACTCTCTTTTCAGTTTCAGGCGTCCAGTAACTTTAACTCACACTCACCAGTCCACACCAGCAACAACCTGCCCCCCTACGCGAAATGTCCTTGTTACCCCCCATTGCCTCACAGATTATTTGTTGTTTTTAAGCATTTTCTCTTCCTGGAAAGCTTAAGCCATTGATTAATGATTGAAGAGGATTTCGATCTGTGATGCACTATTAGTATAGTGAAATGGTCTGATGGAACCCAATTCAGCTCCATCCCTACCTTCACCAATTATTGGCTCCATAATGATGTGAAATGATGATGTAAAAGCAAAAGCTGCAATGCAATATGTTTAGCCTATATATAGAAGGAAAGATTCTCTTAATGACAAATGTCTTGATGTAACCTTAGAGGAATTTTATAGTAAGTTGTTGTTCTTTAACGTATCGAAACCCCGGAATAATTTCAATTACTACTATGAATAGCCGGGTGAATCAATAGAGTTTAGTGTATAAAACAAACAACTATCAATAGGTCTTGTACGCTTAACTGACTTTGTAAATAAGACTTGTGGAAAAAATATTCAGCTCCTCCATCATTTAACTTTAATTGCTTTGACAAATGTCCCATAAGGTGATTCAACGACGTCAACACGTGTTGGCTACCCCCCACGTCGATATACAGTAGCAAAATTGCAAATCTCGTGGACGAAATTAAATAAATGATTTGCAATTCACATAATGATGTGCTTCGAAAACTACTACCGTGACAAACCCAACGACGGACGAAAATGCCACGAGTGATTAGCTGGCATGTGTTTCAGCAGTTGGATCCACTAGGTGTCATCAATTCAACAACTGAAAACATGCAGTCGAATGATGGAACGATGTCAACAACACACTGGTTGCCCTATTTTGGTACACTAGTTGAATGGCGAAGTGTGTACGATTGAAACGTCTAGTCCAACAACCCTTAAGTCAACAATGATTGTAGCAGAGTTGGGTGAAGAATATCCATCCACAACCACAACCACAACCAAGAACAAACCCTGTTGTTAGGCTAGCTAATCGTTTGTTGCACCTTCTATGCAAATTGTGAAAAAAATGCGATGATATAGTTATTTATAGCCTAAGCATGATCATTAATCATCAGGAGGAATAATAGGGTTATTTAATAAGGAAGGTTCGGCTGGGCTGTCATTGCCCAGTAACGAACATGAAACCAGTAGTTGTGTTAAACGTTAATTAATTGAGTTGCTAATAACATGATTCGTTTCCTTTATTAGTTTAATCTCAAGGAGCCGGCTATCTGAGGTGGCCCAAACAAGTTTTATTTTTAATAATTGACCGGTGGGTGGTGGGCTCCAAAGGCCCAAACAAACCGCAAACCATGTATTTCCTCAGAAGTCAGAACGGTGGGAACAAGAGGAAGGGGAAAACAAAACAATGGGTATAATTACGATTAACTCCTTGATTTTTATGTTTTGGTGAAAATTAACTCCTTACACTTCCAGTGAAATGAATAGGTGTGTAAATTGCTCAGGCGGCCCATGCCTATCATTTATTGATTTGGATAAGAAGCTATCCATATAAAAAAAAGTTATTGGTGGAATTGTTCACGCTTAGTAAGCACTAAGCATGCATGTATTTGATAATCGATCATGTTAGTTGAAAAATCATATTCCGGCTTTCAACTTTATCTTTATAATAAATTTGTGATGTGTCAAATCATACTGGTATATATATGGTGGCTACTTCGGCGCACTCACTTTTTTGGGTGCACAACTCTAAAAGTGTCCATAGTACATCAAATTTTGAATTTTAATTAGTACTCTCAATCTAATATGATGATATGAGATATAATCATAACAAATCAATCTATTACCCTAACCTCTTAACCTTCAATTTTGAATCTCAACCCAAAATTCCAAATTATTAACCTAAACCCTAACCCTAAATCCCCAAATCTTAAATCTTTCAAATTAAAGTAAATTTTAAATGATTATTTTTCAAAATCATGTGCTTCTTGTTCATAATATCATAAGCAACAATTGATACCATTTTGACAAGAATCGCATGCTCAGAATGACAATTATGAGGCGGGTGCACTGAGTGCACCCAAAAAAGTGGGTGCACCGAATACGCCACCATATATATATATATATATATGGAGAGTTCTACGGTACCCAGGGTGAAATCCGGGGTACCGCATACCTTGAGTAAGAAAACGATATCTAGACACTGAATTGACTAATCTTTCGGACATGATACTATAATCTAACCCTTAAAGATCAAAATCTCGGTCTTAATTCTCTAAATCTTATTCCCCAAGATCAATTTAATTAGAAATAATAATCGACGGTTATGATTAGTCCAAATATAGGCAAAAAATCAATGCACCATCTTAGGGTTTATAGTTTAGATTTATATAATTAGGACCTAGGGTTCACTCATTAAGGGTTAGGGTATAGTATCATGCCTAAAAATCCTGCTAATTCGAGTTCTAGATAGCGTTTTCATAGTCAGGGTATGCGGTACCCCGGATTTCACCCGGGGTACCGTAGAAGGCACCATATATATATATATATATATATATATATATATGTATATATATATGTATATGCATCACAAAAAATTAGAGAAGTAATGTAATATTGGGACTCAAATATGAGAAGATAAATATGAATTTTCAGCATGATCATTCATGATGTAATTACGAAAAAATTTATACTTGTAACGAATTTGAAAAACTAAAATCATATGGACACTGTCAGTGTCAAGATATAACTCTAATTCACATTATGCTCTCACAATTCGTAGGAAACCTAATTACATATCTATTTTCACCGCCTTTTACGCTTACGCTGACAAAAGCAAGATGAAACAACAAAGAAACTCGAAAGGCAAACTTTTTTTCCACCAACGGTGACATGGCGGTGAAGGGCACGTCCCTCGTTCAGTAGTCTTTGTCTCCTTCTTGGCCCGAGCTCTCTCAGCCGCTCGCGGTTTCGTGGTTGTAGAAATGGAACGTTTAATGCCCTATCAAGTAGTCTGAGCAACAAAAAAGTGTTCATGGTTGCGGATCAACACTACTAAGTTGTAAGTTCGAACTCAATTCATACCCGACGACTCGGATAGCAAGGATGACAGTTGAACTCGAGCTCAAGGTGGGTATCTAATCTAGCTAATTAACTCGATCCAAAGGGTCAGGAGTGGGAATTTACTTAGTTTTGAAATGGTCGGGTTAGGTCGGGTTTAAATTTTGGCTTTCCACTTAACTCTCACTCAGAAAATAAAACAATATAATTTTGTATCCAATCCAACTCGTTGTACCTTTCCGGTGTCAACCAATTCATCTTGTTTAGTTGTATGTAGGGGTGTGCAACGGGTTGTTCCGTACTGGACATCATTGATCCGAATCGATTCTTGCACTGAACGACATTAAACTTAATATAATATGATTCGATCATTAATTGTGTTAATCTTATAAATAATATAGAAAAATAATATGAATTGACATTTGGACATGGCCAAACTAAATAAACGCAGACCAAATTCACTTTTGATATGATCTTTTGTTCTAAAATATTTTTCACTATTAAATCATTGTTAATGTGAGTTTGGTCCAATACAAATTGCATACCTATGCATAATGCATGCATGGTAATTTTGACCGCGCAAACATATTAAAAGAAACTAAAAGGCCATTTTGGTAAAACCTCATGCCAAAAAAATATGGTTGCTAGCTAGCCTTTCTTTTTCCTTCCTATCAATTATCATGCCTGTAAAAAGAAAAGAATTAAGATCTGAATTTTTTTCATTTTTTCATCTTCCCCTCTGCCATTTCCTCCTCCTGTTCTTCTCCTCCCTCTCTCTCTGTCCTTCATCTCCTTTCTCACACTACCGCGTCTCGAAAGACGCGAACACAGTCACGTCACAATTCACCGTCATTTCACCGTCCAGGGGGGGAAATTCTTGGACCTCTTCAAATCTTCCTAGCTTGCAAGATAATTATACCTGACTGCGATTCCCCGACGAAGTTCCTTCTTCTTACTGCATCGGCGGCTTCCTCTTCCCTGATCTCCGAGTTTTATTTAGAGGTCTGGATTGTGGCCGGAGGCTCCTGCTGGGGGAGAGATATAAGGAAAAGATGGCGAAGCGTGGATATAAGCTGCGTATCCTCTTCGTTTCCTTCGTGATTTTTGCGCCGAATTGTTTGATTAGTTGAAGCCTGAATTGCGCATTTAGTGTTCCCCTCCTTCGGTTGGATTAGCTTCGGCCTTGTTGAATTAGAGAGCTCTGAATGCTGCCGGTTTTATTTATCTATCTGGGCGATCCTTTAGCTGCAAATGTTCGTTGGTGTTTTCCGAGAGTGAGATTCTTACTAAGAGTCGGATTAGTGTCGCTTGTTGGGGAAGGATTAGCTGCAATTCTGCGTTGAAACCGAGCTCTGAATGATGGCGATTTGTTCTTCGTTTTTTTTGCCTTCGATTCCGGTGATTTTAGGCCGTAAATTCGTTGGTGTTTTGGCGGCGTTGAAGTTTCATTTTGAGACAGTGAGATTTGAGCTATCTTTGAGTTTGATTGGCGAGATTCTGTGTTGAATTATAGCTCCGAATGCTGCCGCTTCCCTCTTTTCTTTAGGTGATTTTTGAGCTGCAACTTTATTTGGGGTTTCAGTGAGTAAGATTTAAGCACTTTTTAAGGTTGGATTAACGGGAATATTGTGTTGATTAGTTAGACTATTGGCGACCGTTACAGGGAGTATGAGATTTGAGCTATCTGAGCTTCACTGGATTTTCATTTCTGGTTCAAGCTTGTGAGAATGTATTGTTTAATTACCATTTCTGTGGTTTCTTGACCTAATTAAAGTTGTTTCCTCCAGGAATCGTCTTGATTTATGATTTATTCTTCTGCTGTCTATAGCTCTTTGGCTTCTTCTTTTATCATGAGATTTGTCCTTGACTTGAAATGGCATAGAGGAATTTGTGGCGCATTCTACCAATGTAAATTGCCTAAGCATAGGGAGAAAGGCGGGTAGGCTGTTCGTAACGGGCGGCGATGATCATAAAGTGAACCTATGGTCTATTGGGAAGCCTACTTCTTTGATGGTTTGTCTCATTTCTCTTCACTTCAATCTTCTTCAAGTTATCTAAAAGTAGTAGCGTATTTGTTCTCTGCCCTCTTATAAGGATTTGCTCAGTATTTGTTTTTTACCCTGAATTTCTTTCCCCTTTTGACATGCCAGCTGCATAATGCAGTTAATGGTCTAATGACTATATCTGGATCAACTTTTGGTCCGATGTGTGGCAACAACTATTATGGTATGGTCTGGAGCGTGGTGTTATGTATGAAGTTTTGAGATTGTTCTTCTAATTTATACAGAGTTTATGTGGCCATACAAGTCCAGTTGAATCCGTAGCTTTTGATGCTTCTGAAGTTTTGGTGCTTGCTGGGGCTTCTAATGGTGCAATAAAGTTGTGGGATTTAGAAGAAGCAAAAAGTAAGTTGGTTCACTACCGACTCTCTTGTTCGCCTTGTTTAATGTACTTGGCTGAATTGATTTTGAAATGCCGAACAGAGAAGTGATTTGATGCCATTTTCTTGCTGTATTTGGTTCTATTGTAGAAGGTAGTAGAGAATGCAAACCCTTCCCCCACTCCACCTTTTAGATCCTTGCAAATTCAAGCTCTGATTTATTCCTGTACAAGATTTGATTCTTCTTATCTGGAACCCTAGTAATGTTTCGGTTATTTTTGAAGTGTAGTGGTTCGCACTGTTTCTGGACACAGATCTAGCTGCAATACTGTTGAGTTTCATCCATTTGGTGAATTCTTTGCATCTGGCTCTGCGGACACGAATCTGAGGATATGGGATATCAGAAAGAAAGGATGCATTCACACGTACAAGGGTCATAGTCGAACCATTAGTACCATCAAATTCACTCCTGATGGCCGCTGGGTCGTGTCTGGTGGATTTGATAATGTTGTAAAGGTGCGTATCAATTTTCTTTTTGTGGTCTTATCTTTCTTTTTGGGCCTCCAATGTTTGATTCATGGGAACATGCAATGCTTGATTTGGGAGTTAGTTTGTACCACTTGATTGATTTTGTCTTACTGCTTCAATAGGTGTGGGATCTTACTGCAGGAAAGCTTTTGCATGACTTTAAATTCCATGAAGGACCTATCAGATCCTTAGACTTCCATCCCCTTGAGTTTCTGTTAGCAACAGGTGGGTCCTTTGCTGCTTGGTTTCATATTACTATCTGCGCTGGAAGAAGAACAATAAGCAGAATGATTACTTGTGAAGTAAATTGTCCTCTTGGCAGCTGACTCGATGTCTGATCTCTTTGATTATCCCTTTCCTTTTTGTTGATGACCCTTCGTATTAAGTCATTAATATATGCATTTTATGTGCAGGTTCTGCTGACCGAACTGTGAAATTCTGGGATCTGGAAACGTTCGAATTAATTGGATCCGCAAGACCCGAGGTATGTAAAGTAGACGTCTGAACCAATTTAACCAGAGATCTTGTTAGAAGTTTTTTTAGCCATCCATGTAACAAGTCTTCAAGATATCTCTTCCTTCAGAGGGTGATTTATTTCTTTCGTCTTTGCTTGGGTAAATTGGGATAGATTATCCCTTCCAACTCCTGTCAATTTGAGGCAAGCAACAATTTATGTGCTGGTGTTAATGGAACTCCAATTCCTAAAAATTACTTGCTCTTTTGCAGGAAAGCGGAGTACGTTCTATGGCATTTCATCCTGATGGAAGGACACTTTTTTGTGGATTAGACGATAGTCTCAAGGTTTGGGATGCTCTCCTGTATCATACTTCTTAAGTTAATCGATGGAGGACGTTAGCTCAAGCTTTGATTCTTGGATTACAGATATATTCTTGGGAGCCTGTGATTTGTCATGATTCAGTGGACATGGGATGGTCTACACTTGGTGACCTATGCATTCAAGATGGGAAGCTTTTGGGTTGCTCATACTATCGTAATTCTGTTGGAGTTTGGGTGGCAGATATTTCGGTATTTTGTTTACGCTTCCTTCCATACTTTGTTTACGTGCTGTTTTTTATTAGTAAAGTTTGATGCATTACTGATTGTGTGATTCTTCAGTCAGCTTTTAGATAAGTTAAACAGTTCTTCCTTTTTTGTAGCTTATTGAGCCATATGGGACTGGTGATGTAGATGAAGAAAATGAATGCACAGAGCAGATGTTCACTTTCTCAAAAAATCACTCTGGAGACATAAGTAGTGATATAAATTCAGTTGTGGGTTTGCGCTCTGCGTCTCCAGAAATGGACACTAAAGAAATAAAGAACATATATATAGATTGTAAGTTTTTTCCTGGGACCGTTACATGCTCATTTTATAGGTTAGTTTCTTTTGTTGACTGCCCTAATATCTTGCAATACTGGTCAAGCTATTTTGTTTTGCATTGGCCACTTCAACTAGTTAAATTTGGAAATGGAATTTGAATCAAATAGGAAAAACGTTGTTTACTTCACGATCTAATGTTAAGATTATATATATTACCCATCAGGATTTCAAATTCTTCTAATCTGGTTTCTGCTTATAGTAATAGAATTACTTTCAGTTCTTATGTATAACTTCTTGGATTATCTAACATATTTCTTGCTACTTGGTGGGATAGTTTGTTGCATACCAAGGCTATGTTTGTTGTACCTTGACCCAAAACTTTAGATTTAGGTAAAGAACATACTTTTTAACTCTTACATCTAAACTTTAGATAACATGGGGGTCCCCTACATAGTTTATCAACTAAATAATAATTTTTTTTATTTCCGACTTAGACCTCGAGAAATATAATTCATCTCTCTATTCTCTAAAGCTTAAGTTCTAAGATAAAGAAACACAACCCAGGATTTTGGCACACCTCGCTCGGAATGCCTTTTGTGAAGATCTTTCCCATTTCTGACTGTCTCTTCATTTATATTTCAGCTGGTGGTGGAAGTCCTGTTGTTTTGCCAAGGGCTGATTCACTGAACTCTGCCAATGTTGTCTTCTCATTGGACTCATTTCAAGCATGTAATCCACAGATGGAGAAGCAAAGTCATTCGGTGGAACTGAATACCAAATCTGGTGGTCAGACACTTGATAAATCTTTTATTGTGCCACCAGTAGCACTTCAGGAACCTGCCATAGAAAGGGGCTCTGTTGATATTAAAAAGGAAAAGATCACCTTTTCAAAGACTAAACCAGGAATGCTACTTAGACCTGTGAGAAGAGCTTCCAAAAGTGATATCGAGGAACTCTCAGTGAATCTTGAACCTATAAATGTCGCCAAGGTAGCTAGCGAGAAAGAGCTTATAGTAGATGTGCCCATGCAGACTAAGATTGTGCGCGAAGAGGGAACTCTGAGGTCCAGTGAGGAAAAAGGCTCTTTTGTAACCGAAACATTGCTGTCTCCAGAGAAACCCTGTATTCATGAAAATTGTAAGTTTTCTATACCAGAAGCTTGCTGTCGTCTCCAATTATTGTTTTCTAATTGTGCACTAATGGTCCCAACACGATTTGTGAGAAATGTCTCTTGTATGAATACGGAACAAAAGAAGATTCAGCTTGCATAAAAATCTGCACCACTATTTTCTATCATGTATTAACATCTATTAGCCTGCTTTTCAAGATATCCACTTGTACCAAAGGGGCATACAAGCGACACACCTACTACCTCTTTGCTGCCTTTTTTTTTTTATATTCTCATTCGCAGGGCATGCCACATGATCATCTTGTTCTTCTGCATGAGAGTTATGATGCTTTCTCTTGTGTGATGTTATGTTGTAATGCGAACTCAGTAGATTATTTTGGAAAATGTCTCGTTTCTGCAGGTGATGAACCTGTTAAAACTAAAAGGATCGAGCCGGTTAACAATGCGAACAGAGGTAACTATGTAGTTTGCTCATTCTATACGCATTCAGTGCATACAGCTTAAACTTCTTACTCTGTTGCTCTTTTGTGCTCCCATGCACAAGTCATACCACATATTCTTGTTGCTTATTTACCCTCCCATAGCTAGGCTCTGAAAATGTATGTTTTTGGCAGGTGATGAAGCTGAGAAATTTAAAAGAGTAAACTCAGTTAAGATTGTCAATGGAGGTCCGTTTCTGGTTGCTTATTATTAACTCTTCAACAGCATAGAGATCAGATCGCACTTAAAAACTTTTTATTTCCATTTTTACAGTTGCAGTAGTGGAAGGCAGAACTCGTTCTCTTGTTGAGAGGTTCGAAAGACGAGAAAAGTCAAGCACGGAAGATCAACCACCCAATGGAGATCTTCATGTGCCAGAAACAATTAAGACTGCCACAGTAACTCCTGATATCAGCCCTCATGTAACTGCTGAAACAGATAAAACACCTGTGACTCCTTTTTCTGAACCCAGACCAGCTTCTAGAGGTAAACCTGAGAGTGGTGGAAGTCCAATTCCACCATCAAATACAACCTCGCCTGCTGTATCTGAAGCAGATAAAGCTCCCATTCGAGTACGGAGGTCTTCTTCTCACGGATTACCTGGAACCCATAGAAATCTGACTCCTCCCTCTGCTACACCCTCTCGTGCTATAACTGAAGTGGACCGCCCTCACCGCAGGGCATCCAGCGTAGGAACCATTCGGACTCGCCTGACCTCATCTGCCCCAACATCGATAAATCCTGTCCCTGAATCAGAAAGCACCCTTCCAGTGACATCATCATATAGAACCCTCCGTCATACCACTGAAACAGATGTATCGCCCTTCGCCACAATTCATAAGATACCACGTGATCTACCTGCAACCGGTAGTAGGACGACAAGTGCAGTGGTATGCTCTATCATTTACATTCAGAGTTGCTCTCTATCAGGTTGTCTTGTGTATTGCCAATTTATTTCTAATCTTAGTGATAATTATTTGCCAACACATCAATATTTTGGTACAAGATTTCTTTTTCTTATGTGATTTTTTTTTGTGGTTGTAGAAGGAAGAGCAGCGGATTTCTTTGAGGGACTCAATCTCTGCTGATTTTGTACCTGCTGTAGCATCTGATACAACCCCTAATAGTACACCGGAAATTGAAAAATTGCCCTTATCCACAGTTAGTAGGCCCCGTCGCCGAGTACCTGGGATGGATATAACGCCGCGAACCATGGTATGGTCTTTATTTTGCCTGGAGGAGTTTATATGTCGGTTTTACGTCTGCATATGCTATTTACCACTTGGTTGAAGATGTGAGATATTAGTTGTAATTCATATAGTTGGATTCCTTTTATACTAGGTCACGGTTTCTTATAACTCCTGGTTGCTCTTTTTTTTCTTTGCTACAGAAGGAAGAGCCAAAGATTTCTATGAAGGACGCCATCTCTGCTGGTTATAGACCAGCAATGGCATCTGACCCACCACCTAACAATACTCCTGAAGTTGAAAAATCAGCACTCACGTCATTTAATAGACCCCGTCGCCGCATGCCTGCAATGGATCGAACACCTCCTATCATGGTATGGTAGATATGTCAATTCAACTGTTTAACATGTTGTCACTTGGTTGAAGATATTAGATACTCTGAAACTGTCTTTTCCCATGATAATTTAAGGATGTATGCAATTTCAACTTGGTCAAACAGCTTAATTACGCTTGTAGCATAGTATCAACTTATTAGGCTGAAAGGCGCGCCTGTTGATTTTGTTTCCTTTGTTGCTATGTGATGGATTGTTCTATTGCTTTCCTTTTCTTGGTTAGGCTGAAAGGCGCGCCTGTTGATTTTGTTTCCTTTGTTGCTATGTGATGGATTGTTCTATTGCTTTCCTTTTCTTGGTTAGGTAATTAAGGAAGAAAAGTCGGCAAAATATTTCTGGAATCAATGACAATGGTATCCTGTGATCTAGCACCATGAAAGATGTTGAAAACCTGATAGAATATTTAAGAATTCTATGAACGAAGAGAACTGTGTTGTTACTGTCTCAAAGAGAAGTATTGAATAATAACGAATTACAACCCATCCAGATGTTCAGACTTCAGTATTAGTTTTCTGGATATTCAAATCGAATGATATCTGTACAGAGTTCTCACATTTTATTTTGAGTAGATGGTATTGGCCTGTTAATTGCCTTTGGGTCTTTGTCTACATCGGCAGAAGTCACCATCTCTAAACAGCCTTTTTGCATCTTATTTTGTGGTCACAGAAGGGAGAGCCACAGTTTATGGAAAGGGAGTCTGTCTCAGCTGATTATGGACCTTCAGCAGTATCTAATACTAGCCGTAGTAATACACCTGAAATTGAAAAATCTGCCTTCACTACAATTAAACAGGCTCCTCAGGTGCTTGTGATGGATAAATCACCTCCCACTGCAGTATGCTCTTTATCCTTTCCTCAAAGAGTTTACTGTTTTGCCGTCCATTGTGCCAGTTCAGATTAATTTGGATTGGCTTTTCCTTTAGTAATATTTAGTACTTCTGTACTGGATGGTTTGGATTGAGGTTTTGTATGTGGGTTTTCTGCCACAATAACTCAAGGAAATATTTGTTCAATTGTCTCATTTGGGGAGGGAAATTAAAACCAGACTTTTGGAGCATCAGATTGTTTAACTTGAACCCATCCATAACTTCCTTGAATCTTCTTTCTTTGTTACAGGAAGAGCCTCAGATCTCTGGAAGGGACTCTGCTTGTGGGGACGTGATTGAAGATCTGATGCAAAATCATGATGCCTTTTTAAGCACTCTTAAATCTCGATTGACTAAATTGCAAGTAAGTAATTAGCCAGCTTCAAGGATAGATTCTTGCAACTTTCACTTGCCGAGGTGCATTCATCTGAAAGAGGCTGGGATGTGATTCTATTATGTAAAGTGTAGAGGATTAGTGGCACACGAATGGTTTGTGTAGTGTACCTTGATAGATTTCTACTATGCTATCCTTATGCTGCAGATTATCATAATACGGTTAATTAAAACAAAAGATAATTACCTAATCAGGAGCCGAAGCCGTTACACTTCTACTATAACATACTAATGCTCTTTTTTCCAGGTCATTCGACATTTTTGGGAGCGGAATGATTTCAAAGGTGCAATCAATGCCATGAGAAGACTAGCTGATCACTCAGTCGGTATTGATGTACGGAACTCTTCCTTCCTGTCTCCGATGTTTGCTTTTTCTGTAGAAATCAGAAGGTTTGAATAACTATTCTTGGGTGTTTTAGGTACAAGCAGATGTGGTCAGTGTTCTAGTAGACAAAATAGAAATCATCACCTTGGATTTATTTTCGTCCTTGCTTCCTGTGCTGGTGGGCTTGCTCAATAGCCAGATGGAAAGGTAAGCATTTATTCACGTTTAAGCCTTTTTACCTCCAGTAAAGAAGAGTCTGGACCACAGATCTAACTGTAGCTTCCAATTAGGCATGCAAATATATCACTGGAGATGCTGCTTAAGCTCGTAGCAGTCTTTGGACCTACAATTCGTTCTACTGTTTCAGCTCCTCGTCCAGTTGGTGTTAATCTTCACGCAGAGGAGAGGTTTGTCCAACCACGCAAACTCACATTCCATGCTGCAATTTGCCCTCCATATTCTTCTGTGGCGTATATTGACTGCCTATTTCATAAATCGGATTTACAGGATAGAGTGCTGTAACCAATGCTTCGTTGAACTACAGAAGATTCAACAAATCCTTCCTTCACTCATTAGGTAAGCAGTATGTCTGCAAGAAAATCTCATTTCCATCTTTGCCGGACGGCTTTGTTGTGCATACACATCCTTCTTTTCTTCGCCATGGCAACAAAAACTGGATCAAAAAATAATTCATTAATCCGTGCTTTGATTGCAGGAAGGGTGGTGTCCTGGCGAAGTCTGCCCGGGAGTTGAATCTAGTACTTCAACGACCTTGATAGGACTCCAACTCAATCTGATCCCTCCTTGAGAACCATAGGGTCCTTCCAGTCCCTCTCCGTGCGGGCATGTGGTTCATCCATTTCCCACCTGGCAATTTTGTCTTACTGCTTTCGCTCCTGCCGGAAATGTCTATATATAAATATCGGCTCTGGTTACAGTACCAGATTACGACGGGGCTGAAACAGTCGAAGTCAGGCGATCGGTCGAAGCTTCAGACCAAGATTTGACGTTTCGTACATCAGGGCGTGGATGTTAAGGCAGGACGTGAGCAGACCACTGCAGAACCTCGCCATCTTTCCTTCCATTTTAAAGGTACTACTAACTCAGCAGCTCTCTCTTTTAGCCTTCCTGGGCATTCCAGCCATAATGCGTAGCTGCATTGTATGTAATTGTTTTGGTCATGGTCGGGGTGCGTATTTCAGCTACTCCCCTCTGCTTTGAACATCTTGTATATTACGAAAACAGTTCATCCAGTGAAATCCATCAAATGTATTTCCTCTACTCTTCATATTGATCCTACATTTACACGATCTGGAATCGCTTCACATGTCTCCCCATTTCTTAGGTCTGGCATTAGAGTTGAGCTTTCATAATCTGTTGTAGACCTAACTTGTAATAGCTCCCAATCCGAAACGATCCTCTACCCGAACCTTACTACCATATGCTGTCGTTCTACTGGTCGATGATAACCTAGTCGTTAGCTGATCAACTATGTCCTAAGTTTACATCTCGACTTGTGTTCTGCTGAGACCGGGATGAGAATCGGGACAAATGGCAGGATGCCACGTGGCAGACCGTCGTTACCTCCTTACGCGCCAATCAAGAATTTTGGGTTTGGTTTCTCAGGCTAATGGGGAAATGCCACATCATGTCACATCTCACTCTCTTTGTGATGGGAATCTAGGCAGTGCTTTTGCCAAACCATTGTCGCCTCTCGCTTTCTTTAGCAGAAAAGGTTTCAGGCGGATGGAAATGGAATTGGAACCCCGTTAGCTGGGGCCCGTTTATTTATGTATGGGCTCCTGAAATGTACGATGTCAAGCTTTCTTTCCTCGTCGTGAACGTCTTTTCCTTGAGCTCACTATATGTAATTAATGTAATTAGTTAGACGGCCCCCACTCATGCCAAATTCTCTCTTTACTTGGTTCCCTAAAGTGAGATATCTCTATGTCGACTTTCGGTCATTCGGTGGTTGAATGTAACAACGGTAAACCTAAATTATTGGAATAACTAACATCAAAATTACAGTTATAGGCACTGATTAAGGTAAACAATGCCTAGTTTAACTCGTGCAATGCCTAGTTTAACTCGTGCAGACGTATATATGTCATTCTTCTTTGTTGTTTAAATCAGTGCAATCTCTCATTGGCAATGGTTTGAGGCATATGGATAGTTTTTGCAAAGAGACTCGCGTAGATTCTTTCGAATGTGTTCGATTTGAAATCACACATATATCCGTCATATCATATGTGTTTGCGTACATATGCAATCTCTCATTTGCCGATTCCGAGAACCACTTCCTATTTTATGAAATACGGAGAATAGAAAAGAGGAGGGTGGCAATATCGTCATTTACCCACCAGCGGGAATATAAAAACGCAGACACAGGATAAAGGCAATCCGCTTATTAAAGTGAGAGAGAGAGAGGAATTTTTTTTGAAAACCAATCCCATTCAATTCAAACTTAAAACCAAAACCTCGCCATATCCCTCGAAAATCAAAAAGCGCTCTCTCTCTCTATCAGAAACGCGCCTCCGCTTCTCCATTTTATTATTATCCGCCAAAACCAGAAGAGAAAAATCATTTAACAAAACCCGCCCGGAAAACCGCCTTTCGTCTCTAACCTAATCCCCCGCCAGATTCCCTTCCCGCTTCAATTAATCCCATCCTCCCGCGGATTCCCTTGTCCTAGAATTCCTTTTGCGCGTGCCTTCACGCATTGAAAGAAACGGGGATTCTAGGTTTATCTTTTCCCTCGTGGTTCCGAGAATTGAAATAAGCTAGGGTTTTTCGCTCCGGCGGCGGGAGACGGAGGTAGATGGGCGCGGTGGTGGTGGCAGCGGCGGCGGCGGCGGGGTGGGGGACTTGGGAGGAATTGTTGTTGGGAGGAGCGGTGCTCCGACATGGGACCAGAGATTGGGACGCCGTGGCAGCGGAGCTTCGTACCCGATTCGCCTGCACGCCGGAGGTAATCTTTTTCTTAAGTTTCAATTTAATTTTTATCTAATCATCGTCGTTAATTTAATCCGAATTCTCTTTTAGTCAATCAGTTTTGAATTAAGTAAACTAATTATTAAATTACCCGGTCAATGTAATTATACCATTTCCATTTCTGCGTGTATGGATTGGTTGCTGCTGTCTGTTTCTTTTTCTTCTTTTCGGTTTCACATTTAGTTAAGTTTCCCATAAGCTGTGGGCATTTTGGTACTTTCCAGTTGTCCTACGGTGTCGATTCCACGCAATGTTTCATGTACCATTATTCTGAGTTGCCACTCCAGTTTCCCTGAAGGGTCGAAAATACCCCCGACCCCCTTATTGGAACCAAATCCTACAAGGAGAGGAACATATAACAATTGAGTGATCCAAACTCTTTATTTAAAATGGACTCTTTCATCGATAGATAATGAACCTCGGTCACGCTAATTTTGTTACGATGCTGATACAAAATGTACAATGCGGATAGTTACCGTTGGATTATCTATAACGCATTTTCAGTTAGTAGATTAGTATGATATTGATAATTTTTAATCTAACGATCCAGAGAGCACATAGAAGAACAATCCAATAACGTCTTTTTTGGTGTGTTTAGGACAGACATACCTAATTTTGGTGGCTGAAAGAGGGGAATGAATGGGCGGGTGCCGGAAATTGGTTACCACGTGCTATGCATGTGAACCAGACCCGCCATTTTAACTTTGTGATCTAACGCCACTTATTGATTAACGACGTCGGAAAAAAATAACTGACTAAAATATCTCCGGTAACAAGGAATTCATCAAGGAAAGAAAAGAAGGGGAATATAAAAACAGATATGTATATTGGGTAGGCTTTGATTATTTTCAGTTGTTGTTGTGTTTACTGTTTAGGGTTCGTCAATAAATGAAGTTGGTCCACGAATTTACTCAATATCATCAAGGCAAAGCTCGTGTTTTTGTACTTGAAAATGTCATCTACTTGTTTAGAGGCGGTTTGGAGAATGAGATTTGGAGTTGTGGTTAAAATTTAGAGATTCGGAAGAAATTTTAGTTTTTGTTTTGTTGCATTTAGGGCGCATTTGGTTTCTCCGATGATAAATTTATGTATGGTGGTTTATACATGTATTATATCGTACATGATAGATTTAGTGTATCATAGATTACAATGTTAGATATCTCTAATTTTATTTTCATTGCTTTTTAACGAAAATGTAACTTGTGTCGCTTCTTTTTAATGCAACAATCTCAACTGAACAAGTGCCACTTTTATTTATACCTCCAAACTGCAGGTCTGTAGAGCCAAGTACGAGGACTTGCAGCAGCGGTACTCTGGTTGCAAGTAAGACCCAGCTCTCTCTTTCAAAAGCTACACCTTGAAATCTCTTTATTATCCCGCTCAACTCTTAAAAAAAAAAAAAAACTTAGCTGATAGACATTTCTTTCTCTGTGATGCTGTAGAGCTTGGTTCGATGAGCTTCGGAAGCAACGGATGGCGGAACTCAGACGAGCCCTGGAAGTATCTGAGGACTCGATAGGGTTAGTCAAACCTTCCACTCTTTACTCACGACCCTCTTTCTAAAGTTTTCATCTTTCGCATGGACTCTACTTAATTGAATCCTTATCTTGGGAGGATTTCTCATCAGGTCGCTTGAATCAATGATAGAGACTCTCAAGGCAGAGAAGAAGAAGGGTGATTCTTCTCCTGCACCATCAGTGAAATCGGAGGGAATCGTGGAGGAATCATTGAGCAAAGGGACGTCCAAAGATGGACTCTCGGCAGGTAGCTTCACTCAGGAGACCAGATCAAACTGGTCTTCTGAGCCCCGCCTAGTACCCAAGCCAGAACCCTCGACCTCTCCAGACAACGGGAAGGTCGGCGAGGAGGAACGACCGCTAGGGTTCCTGAAAGGCCTGAGAGGGAAGAGGAAGAGGAAGATCTGTGGCAAAGGTAGAAATGAAGGCAGCGCTGAAGAGAGTGCCGACGCATTGGGATCATCCTCGATGTCAGCTCGGTTGAAGGATAATTCGACGAGCACTTGTGGGGAAGTTGTCGCCAGAGGTTCAGGTGGTGACGATCAATGCAGAGGAGGTGGCTCGAGCAATGAGGAAGCTTCTGTTGATGATCTTGTCGGAATTTTCGACACCATTGCGGAGAACAAATGTACCAATGTCTTTCGACGGAGGCTTGATAGCCAGGTAATGGCGGAAATGCACACGCTTGCCTACCACTTTGAACTAACCTTTTGCTTACTACCAATTCGAACCTGTCCTTTGCAGAAGAGGGGAAGGTACAAGAAAATGATATTGCGGCACATAGATGTGGACACCATACGAGGCAAAATCTCCAAGGGCTCCCTTCTATCAGCCAAAGAACTCTTCAGAGACTTGCTGCTGCTGGCGAATAACGCACTGGTCTTCTACTCGAAAACCACCCGAGAGTACAAATCCGCGAATCTCCTTCGAGACATTGTCACCGAGAGTTTGAAGACTTACATCAGCAGCAGAACTGCCAGTACTGCTGCTGCCCTGGTCTCGATCACACCTCCAGCAGCAGCAGCAGTACTTGATCCTCCTCCTCCGGCGACAAAGAAGTCCCCAAGTGCTCGCCCGGTTAACAAGAAGACACCATCCAAAGTGTCTAAAGCTATTCCAACCACAACCAAAGCTGCTACTCCTGTTGCTGCTAAGAAACCTGACCGGAATTCGGGATGTAAGGCACCATCCAAAGAGTCGAAAGCTAGCCAAACGACTGCCAAAGGCGCTGTTGCTGCTGCTAAGAAACCTGCTGTGAATTCGGATGGTCAGGAAGCGACGGAGGAAGAATCGGTTAAGAGGAAAGGAGGGCCTGGCAGGCAGAACAAGGTTGGCCGGACGGCTAACGAACGACCGGAAGGTGGTCAGAGTAAAGGAGGAAGGAAGAGAGCTCGGGTGAAATGAGTAGTAATGTATAATGTATATTCATGTAGTGTTGCCTTTTTGTATTGTAAGTTGTAGCTCTTGTATAATCTTTTTGGTCAAAGGTTCTCAGGTGACATGCTTGCGTCTTGCGTTACATGTAACAGACTAACAGTGAATATAATCGCCATGAAATGAGATGCATCTTTGACAGGAATCTTATATCCGACTGTTGAATCATCTATAGCTCTAACTAAACTTAAGTTCATCTATAACCAAAATAGATGCTCCATTTCATTCCATTAAATTTTTCAGCTCCAAGTTTTGGTTGTGCCATTTATCGAACTTATTTTTTCGTTAAGTATATGACAAAATAAAACCCGTGAAAAATTATTATTAGTAATTTTATGTCGAAACTGTGGTTCAAGAAATTCATAATACAGAAAGGTCTGCCCATCAATATCATATCAGCCACTGCTTTTGATCCCATAGATGGCAACATGGAAACGGCAACAACTCCTCCCATAGATGGCAATTACTTTGGCTGGCACTCCCTTTTGCGGCCATCTTCAAAAGCATAGATCCCATCTCGTTTATGTTCTGGTTGGTTTAGTTGCTCAACCAGCAGAATAAGCAGAAGGTGATGAAAGGCTCAATAGGTTCTTAGAGGAATTAGCTGATAATTTGGTATTTTAGTTCTTAACTCTTGATGCATTAAACAATGGTTCTTTACTCCACTGTTAAAAAGAGACTACAACTACAAACAATACGACAAAAAGCAACCTTCACAAGATCCATTATTGAATATTGTTAAACAACTCGAGTTATTGAGATCAATTGGTTCTTGAGTATGTGTTATATTTATCTAAATTAGGAGCACTTACATTTGTTGCCTACACTCTACGAAAAACGGGAAAATGCCAAGTATGGTCAATGGGTTTTTATTAAAATGTGTTATGTGTAGTCACTAGGAAAATAAAAACTAATATCAATTTTGGTCACTCGAATTAGTAAAACGGTCCACGTTTAGTCACTCTATGTTAATTTTATTTGATGTGACAGTCCGCCCTAACAGTTAACTGTTAAATGTCTGACATGGAAATTGAAAAAATAATAAAAAAATAATTAAATTCTTTTAATATTTCCACATCATTAAAAGATAAACAAAATAAAAAAAAAATATCTTCCCTATCCGACGATGTCGACTTGCTTATCTCTCCCTCTCCCTCCTCCATCGCCTCTCCCCCTCTCCACCTTCACCGTCGTCGCCGTCTCTTTCTGCATCCGCTGCATCAACGCCGCGCAGCCATTCGACTACGAGGCCCAGTTCCGCTCCCGGCACCTCAAATCCAAATCCCTAAAGATCGCCATCCTCAGATTCGGAAATTACAGCCAGTTCCTCGCCAAATCACTATGCCGCCAGGGCCACACCATCATCGCCCACTCTCTCACCGACTACTCTGCCGCCGCCGCCCTTGGCGTCCGGTTCTACTATAACCCGCACGACCTCTGCGAGAGCCACCCGTCGTCGTCTCTTCTGAGAAGGTACTCCAGTCGATCCCCCTTCAGAGATTGAAACGCAATTACCTTTTCGTCGATGTGCTCTCGGTGAAGAATTCGCCAAGACCATAATGCTGAAGTATCTGCCCGTGGAGTTTGATGTCTTGTGTACGCGGAGAGATCTGCTAAGCGGTTGTAGAGAGTTGCGGAGGAGCTCAGGATTAGAAGAGATTTAATTTGATTTTTTTAATTTATTTTTACTATTTTAATGATGTAGAAATATTAAAAGAATTAAATTAAATTTTTATTTGCTACGTCAGACATTTAACGGTCAACTGTTAGCGTTGACTGCCACATAAGATAAAGTTAGCAGAGAGTGACTAAACATGGACCGTTTTACTAATTCCAGTGACCAAAATTGATATTAATTTTTTTCAGTGACTAAACGTGACATATTTTAGTAAACCCAGTGACTAAACTTGGCATTTACCCCTACGAAAACAAAATAATGAGATTTTCTTATGGATAAAAAATTGAGGAACATTTGATTCTTGATTGGTTATGCAAAGTATCAAGTATGTGTTATATTTATATAAGTATATTAGTTATATGGCTACTTGCCTAATTAGTTTGAATGGTTAGCGGTATCTAAAACAAAACCACCTACAAAATTTAATCAAATCAAACAAATTATCCAAATGAACCAAATCAAATTAACAATATAAGAAAGATAAAGCTATGTTATAGAACATATATAACTATGCTAAACCGATGTTATATAACACATATAACAATCTAAAAGTAGAATATGGATGTCATACATGATACTAAACTTCCCTTACACGTGTATATTCTATAACATCTTATATGTTCAATTAATGCAAATGAAGGGTCTTTTTGAATTTCATTTAGGTTTTTACAGTTGTCATACTTTGATCGGCATATAATACATACATTTCTGTAATCTTATAGAGGTCACCTGTAAGCAAATTCTACATCTTAAAATTTTTGAAGTGAAAAATGATATGAATACATGGAGCTATCGAGACCTGTAGATACTTAATCCATGAAAAGAGTCTTCCTCGGACCAACTACCATTTCTCATGCACCAATAACCGTACACTATTAGGTTGGATATCTCTCTATGGAGGAACAGACTACAGACAAAGTGACTAGGGCGTTGGCTTCAATTAGACATTGGTTCCTCTCATCAAAATTGATGTTACTCACCGAACATCAGTGTGAGACACGGGGTTGAAATATCTAAATTTATGTACTTGATTGTAATTAGCCAACCTCCTAAGTAGCCATAAATATGTGGACTATATCTCTGGAAACTCTAACGTGAATAAGAATGTACCCTTAGAAAATTCTATCTCTCGCATGAACTAGTACTGATTATCAGTGAAACCACGTTAAATTCTCGCGTTCTTTAATTTTTTTCGTATAGTAAATTTGACAGCCACGTTGTTTTGAATAGAGGTGATTGTCTTTCAGACGGCTTCAAGTAATGTCATGTGTTTATATCATTTTCGAAACTGCAATGACCTAGGCAGCTGCCTAATTAACACATGAAATCATGCATGCAGTTAAGATTATTGGAGAAAAAAGAAACATAAAGAAATGACTAAATCCAAAACAATGGCGGCGTTGAAAATGATGATGCCATACCTGGCAATGATAGTCGTGCAGTTTGAGTTTGGGTATGGTGGAATGTCCATCATCACAAAGCTCGCTCTCAACGAAGGGATGAGCCCGCACGTGCTGGTGGTCTACAGGCATGCGGTGGCGGCGGCCGTAATTGCTCCCTTCGCCGTGATCTTCGAGAGTGGTATTTTTTTTATTATATCCTTGATTGATTAAGATTAGTCTACCTTGAGTTGCTAATGATGACTTGTTATGTTGATAATAATACGCCATTTCTCAAGATAGCTTTGTTAAGTGGGTAGTCAGGATTTTGAGTAAGGGGGTGTCAACTTAAGAAAAATAAAGCGACTATCAATTTTTAAGAGTGACCCATGACGAATTCTCATAGTTTGAAAACTCTGTAAAATACATTCATCATCCGGACTATCAAGAATGTCACTCTCAATGTATCCTACCAAAAAATCATTCATGATATCGTCACTCATTCCACTCCGAAGAGTGTTTTTCACGTAGTTCATTGACGAAAGGGAAAGAAGAACGAAGGAAGATGAAAGGTGAGACTGGGAGAAGTCTTGCTTGTTAGGGCTAACATTCCGATTACTGCTTGAATAAGGATACAATTATGAGTTTTTTTTAATTTACTTATTATTTGTAAACGTAAATTAATTATATATATATACAATAAAACGTATTTGTGTATCACATAAGTAATTGTAGTTTAATGGAAGATGACAAAGCTAATAATATGGGGGTTCCATGTTCAAATCCTAGTTATAGCATAAACTAATACCCCTATTTTTTTATGTTCTAGTAGTCCCAATCCAAGGGTGTGCCATGGAAGTATGTGTTATATTATATAAATTTATTAGTTATATGGCTACTTGTTCAATTGGTTTGAATGGTTAGCCGTATCTGAAACAAAACCACCTATAAAATTTAATCAAAATCAAACAAATTATCCAAATTAACTTTATCAAATTAACAGCGGTGCGGTGAATATAAGATAAAGTTATGTTATATAACATATATAACTATGCTAAACCGATGTTATATAACACATATAACAATCTAAAAGTAGAATATGGATGTCATACCTGATACTAAACTTCCCTTACACGTGTATATTCGATAACATCTTATATGTACAATTAATGCAAATGAAGGGTCTTTGTGAACCAAGGGTGTGCCATGGAAGTATGTGTTATATTATATAAATATATTAGTTATATGGCTACTTGTTCAATTGGTTTGAATGGTTAGCCGTATCTGAAACAAAACCACCTATAAAATTTAATCAAAATCAAACAAATTATCCAAATTAACTTTATCAAATTAACAACGGTGCGGTGAATATAAGATAAAGTTATGTTATAGAACATATATAACTATGCTAAACTGATGTTATATAACACATATAACAATCTAAAAGTAGAATATGGATGTCATACCTTATACTAAACTTCCCTTACACGTGTATATTCTATAACATCTTATATGTACAATTAATGCAAATGAAGGGTCTTTTTGAACCAATAATTTCATTTAGGTTCTTACAGTTATCATACTTTGATCGGCATATAATACATACATTTCTGCAATCTTATAGTGGTCACCTGTAAGCAAACTCTACATCTTAAAATTAATTTTTGAAGTGAAAAATGATATGAATACATGGAGCTATCGAGACCTGTAGATACTTAATCCATGAAAAGAGTCTTCTTGGGGCCAACTACCATTTCTCATGCACCAATAACTGTACACTATTAGATGAGGCGCGAAAATTTTATCGCAAACTCCTCCGAATGAGTGAGTTAATTACTACATACACATCTCTAAATTAAATGAAGATCGGGAGGTGACAATATATCTGTGGGGTACCCTTTTCTTCTGACCGCCTGAAATGCCTCTCTGCATGTGATCACAAGTTCACAACTCTTCATGTCCTTACATGCATCGAGTCCTAAAACTTTGAGGATATAGTCTGTCGAAACATTGTGCTTTCTACTGTGAACAGATGATGACTACTCCGTGTTCGGATTGAAGAAGGAGAAGTCCAATATGATCAAGGTAACAAAGGAGAAGAGTCGGAAATGAGAAGAAAATAGATGGTGGTACTATAGTGTAATCTTCACAAATGCATCAATCTCTGGATTCAGAAGAATATTTCTTTCCTTTCCCGCTGCATCATATCCTTCAAGTACCCTAAAAAGATATCAAATACAATCAGACAAGAGTTACTGAAGTCAGTTTCATGCATCGGAAAAAAAAAGTGGAGAAGTTAGCTCGACTACCTCTAAGGGGTTGGAAAAACAACTACCTCTCTTTATTAAAACTATTTTGGATATTAAATCTGTTACTCTTTAACAATAAAAAGATCATTGATTACATTCTTTTTTGTTTTAAAATTAAACCGACATTAATTACATTTATCTCTTTATTTCCTTTTTCAACAACTTTATAAGACCAAAGTACTCTCCACATGGGCTATTACTTCTTTCTGTTGGGCTTAAGTAAGACACTGTGAAGTGTAATGATTTGTCACCCATCTGGCCCGGCCCAATACAATGTAAAGAGGAGCGACTAAGCGAGCGTTGACGGAAAGCTGCTCTCCGTTCTCATTCCCTCCCTTTCTCCCTGTAAAAACGAATCCCTAATCTTCTCTTCGTACCCACTGAACTCTGCATACTCTGGTTTAGAAATCGCCTTCTCAAAGCTAGTTTCCTGCCGGTTATCGGAAGAGAGCGGGAACGTGTGGCCGAACCCTACGAATTGCCGGTGGGTAAAATATCATTCGTCCTTTTCGGTTTAGGCTGGTCGGCGGCCAGTTTTAGGAAGGATTTCTACTATAAATATATGTACTTAGGCTTTCGATGATCTTTTATGAAGTTTGAAAGCTATTTAGATATTTTTCCTTTGGTTTCCTCTCACAGTATATCTCCTAGCGATCTCAATCGCTTCGTTCAAGGTGCGTCCTCATGGATACTATGCGGGGAAAGATGGAGGAGGAGTTGAAGAAGCTCGATGAAAAGTGAGTGCTCCCGGTTGAATTACGCTTCCTCTTGCTACCTGTTGATTTCATGGCAATGCTCTTACTACCCGCTGATAGTTTTAAGCTAGCTTTCAGGTTCATTGTGAATGAGTGACATTATGGCTGAATTTGGGTTTTCCATTGGTTGGTAGCGTATTTTCTGTTGCCTTTTGACTCCATGTTTCAGTAGTTCATGTTGATCTCTGTGTTTCTTCCTAGTGGGCGCACAGGTTGTGGCAGGCCTTTGCTTACGGGCATTCCTTAGGTGCTTTATGGTTTCCATGACTCTAGGATTAGGACTAACCTTACTTACAAACTATGCCTACGTCAATGATGATTCTACCAAACCCATTAATCTGTTAGTCTATGTTTACAATGTACTGAGTAATGTTATCCTATCGTGGGCATTGTCTCTTCTAGGATTGCAGATGCTGAAGAAAACCTGGGTGAAAGTGAAGTTAGAGAAGCCCATTTGGCTAAATCCTTGTTCTACATCCGTATTGGGGACAAGGTGACAAGCTTTACCCTATTGCTTAGTGGTTATATATCCTTGTTGTGTGTGTCTCACTGTATTTTTCAATAATGTTTCCTTTCTGGTTGCAGGAGAAGGCATTGGAACAACTAAAAGTGACAGAAACCAAGACTGTCGCAGTTGGACAAAAGATGGATTTGGTGTTCCACACGTTGCAACTTGGCTTTTCCTACATGGACTTCAATCTCATTTCTAAGAGCATCGAGAAGGCGAAGAGGTGAGTTCCAACATGCATGGGCCTGTCTGTTGTTTTCTTTTCCCTTGGTTTCTGTGCTGCCAAAGTTAATGTAGTGCTTGAGGTGATTGTACAACTATTAATGCTCTTATTATGACAGCTTGTTTGAGGAGGGTGGTGACTGGGAGAGGAATAATCGTCTCAAGGTGTATGAAGGCCTGTTTTGCATGTCTACTCGGAACTTTGAGAAGGCAGCTAACTTGTTCTTGGATTCTGTTTCAACCTTCACCTCATATGAAATTCTCCCCTATGACACTTTCATATTCTACACCGTTGTAACTAGCATTGTATCCTTGGATAGAGTATCCCTGAAGCAGAAGGTACACATTGGTGATTAAGTTGGTTTTGTAACACCCGTAATTGATTTCTATAAGTTTGTGATGCCTGCTGAAACCTGTATTAATCAAGATTGAATTTTGTAGGTGGTGGATGCACCTGAAATCCTGGCGGTGATAGGAAAAATTCCGTATCTTTCAGAGCTTTTGAACTCTCTCTATGAGTGCCAATACAAGTTGTTTTTCTCAGCATTTGGTACGTTTTCAGATTTTCCCTGTTCTTGTCATGCTGTGAACTACCTGAGTTAATTCATTCAATACATGAAACAAGAAGCTTAGCTTCCTCTGCATTCAATGAAACTTGTTCTCTTGTCTCATGGGCCATTAATTGATCACTTGCTGTGGAATGATACTTTACAGCTGGGCTGACTGAGCATATCAAAATGGACCAATATCTGCAGCCACATTTCCGGTACTACATGAGGGAGGTTAGAACAGTGGTCTATTCTCAGTTCCTGGAATCCTACAAGAGTGTCACCGTTGAGGCCATGGCAGAGGCTTTCGGTGTCACTGTGGAGTTCATTGATCTGTAAGCAACTTGATTTACTTCCAGTTTTTAACTACATCGGTCTTTGCTGCTTGAATGTTGATATTATTCACTGCATTTTGCGAGGAGGCCGTGTGTCTTTGCAAGTCTGAACTTGTTTTGTGTTTTCTCTTCAGGGAACTGTCATGCTTGATTGCCGCAGGGAAGCTTCATTGCAAGATTGATAAGGTAGCTGGCGTCCTTGAAACCAATCAGCCCGATGCAAAGAATGCTCTGTACCAGGCAACTATTAAACAAGGTGACTTGTTACTGAACCGCATCCAGAATTTGTCACGTGCGATTGAGGTGTGAAGTAGGTAGCTGTATTTAGGTTGCGTGGTTCGTAGGGAAAACCATGAGCGTGCTGACTTCATCTCCATCGTAGGGAAGACTGGTTTCGTTTATGTTGATTGTGTTCCAAGTTCCAACTATTGGGGGTGTATTCAGCTAGTTGGCAGTTTCGGGTTTTTATTTGAATCGACCCAGTGATGCCTAGTTAATTAGATTATAATTACTGCACTTTGCTTTTTCAAGAGGTTGGATCATATATGTCGTAAGAAAGAAGGATCATACGTAAGAAAATCAAACGAAATGTACTTTGTGTTCGCTTATCTTATTGAATCTATATTTTTTTAATATTTTGCGTAACTTTTTGAGATCTTTATGGCAACAAACAATGGAAGGCGCGGTCTGGTAAGCTTTTATCTCCAAATAAAGTCGTTTGTTATCTCAAATTAGTCATTTTATGAATTTTTCGCATATCATTGGATGTTATTAACTTCATCTTCTACCATCTAATTTTCGCGATTCCTTTATACCTTTATTTCGGATAACTTTTCAAAGCATATATGAAGCAAACGAACCTTGGTGTATATTATACTTGGAGAATCCGTGGAAGAAGGAAGGATCCCAGCTGCATAAATAAAACACCACATCGGTAAGCCCTACACAATTTCTCCCTTACGTTCTATTTGCGAACTTTATGTTTGCACCGCCAGTTGGGTCTTTTAGGAAGATTAATCAAATGTTGAATTGTGTTCTGCCTCCTAGCAGCAGCAAGCCAGCAACCTTCCATTCATAGTTAAAAAGTTAATTGACATTTAGAATAATTGTATAAATATTGCAAATACAGATAAGGGCCTTCACAGAGTCTACTACAGTCTACACATCCAAGACATAATGATAAAAACCCTAAATCCTAATCTCTTGGATTACTAAATCCTAAGCTCTGGGATTAATCTCAAGGTTTGTAATCTTGGGGACCAACCATACACGTGCGAAACGAAGATTACTACATATTTAACAACAAAATGAAGATATTATTTGTCTAGAGACTAATCATTATTAAAATGGTCACATAACCAGCTTCCAATTGTTGTCGGTCCCATAAAATACGACCTCTTATGCCATGTAATGAAAGATGTTTAACATCTATCCATGCCTTGTCTATATACCACATCGCTTGGAAACAATCATACTAATGAGACACTGCCCATATATATATAATATATATAGAAACAATATTTCACCTCATTCCAACGTCAAAGAGAAGGTGCATAATCCTTTTTCTGATGGGGAAATTCTTTGAAAATACAATTGTTTTATACGTACATATGTAGACACATATTCGTATTTTTTAAGTGTTTCCGCTTTCAGCAAAAGCATTACCCGCCCAACAATTACAGTTAAAATTTCTAACGGGGAGCTCTAGAGATTGTGTGAATAATTCAACAAATTAGTCACTATTTTTATCATTAAAGTCAATAATATTACATTCTTACAATTCACGAATTTTACCGATAATTTTCATCGATATTATTAAAAAGATAAATGAAGTGCATCGACTTGATAACATCGATCTCACAACCAGTCAACCGCACATAAAATGAGCACACACATTTTTATATACGTAAAATCAAATAAATAAAATCAAATCCAAATATCCAACTAATGGATTCAAACCCGACCTACAACTCAAAAGTTACGTAAAAAAAATCATATCATTCAATGCTTACTCGACAACTAATTCATTTGACGATACATTCAACTAAAGCACAACGCATCGCGAGACTGAAAGGTTTTTGGAATTTTATTCACAACATTGTTATAATGTGACACGTATATTGCATATCTTTATACAGTCATGCTCGATATTAATTAAATTATGATTATAACTAAATTATTACTAATAAAATAGTATAAAAACTCTTGAATTTAAGTACTTGGGGTGACCATGACACCCCATATATTTTGCCTAACTACTCCACTTTCTCCTTCATTAACTAATAATTAATGACTGTATAATTAACTTATCTAACCTACCCAACAAAACGGGATATCTATGAACTATAATCTCCCAAGGAAAATGAGCAAAGAAGATAAGTAATTAACTATGAAACAACATATGCATGCACGTTGCCGTACGCAATTGTAATGTCGTTTAATCTAATTTGGTCATAAACATATATTGGAGGATTTTTTTGTGAGGATTTTTTTGTCTTAACTATATATATTGGATACTTATTGAAAAATATACAGTTCCACTTGTGTATCATCCTAATAAATAATGCAATTTGGAAAAGAAAAAATTTACTAGGACGTCATTTAAGCAATTCTGATTCCATACCAATTTTATGCGATTACTATGTCAATATGATAAGCTATCATTGTAAATGTTACATGATCATTACAAAACAACGCAAGTAGAGAATTTTCATCCCTTCATCACTTTAGTATTCTAGCCGATAAAATGACCAATGCAAAGAGATATTCATGGTGGAGGGAGGAAAATGCTATTTATATCAATCGGGTGATTCGAACCAAATAAAAACTGCTCGATCTCGAATAAAGTGGATGAATCCAAATGGAAGTAATCAAATCTTGAGCAACAACCTTAAAAAATGATTTCGATAACCTTATAATGGTTGTTTTTTCATAACTTAAGTCTTCATTTTCTAGAGCGTATTACTTTAATCTCAATATTGTTATAAATTGTATCGTACTTATACTACTACGTACTATATTTCTAAATCTCAATATCGCTATTGCAAAACAATTCAAAATTCATAAAAATAAAAAACAACTACACAAGTCTTCATTATTTAGACATCATCACTATAATCCCAACAACATTATTATGGATTGTATCATACTTACACTACTACTATATTTTTTAACCTCGATATCGTTATTGCAAAACCATTCAAAATTTTAAAAAATTAAATCAAACTACACAAAGGTAATTTTTTATGTCACACTCAACCCGCCGTTGCCGCTTGAAATTTCTCAATCCATATCCCCTTTTTATTTTTTGTTGTCTCCTTTTTCCGGGTTTCGCACCGAGTGGGCTGGCGAATAGAAAAGTCCGAGAAAACAAATTCTCCCCTCTCTCTCTCTAGCCCAGACCGCGTGACGAGCAGTCGTACAACGTAATCTTCTCTCTCTACAGACCCAAATAGAACTTTCATTTTTCCTTTGAAATTTCCACCTCTCTCTGCTCTCTCGCTCTTTAGTCTACTCCGCCTCCATTTCGAAAACTCAAATTCTTTTGGTTTCGTTACCAAGTCTCTCTCTCCCCCTTCTCCTTCTCTTCCGCATCTAGCTCCACTTCGCGCCATGGCCGGACGCTTCGACCCCAATCCTTTCGACGAGGAGGAAGTGAATCCATTCTCAGTAAGTTCCCCTCTCCCTCTCCCTCTCTCTCTGCCGGTGCTCGAATTCAGTGTTTCCGTTAATTCCGAGTTCGATCTGCAGTTCCTGGGGACTCCTTCCGCTCAGCGGCGGAGATTCGTCGGTTTCTGGACTGATGCGAATCTGGAGGGAAGTTATCCTAGGGTTTTAGCGGTTTTTGTGTTGCTCGGTAGTTTTGACTTCAGCCTAGTTGTTATGGTCGATGCGCGGTCTTGGTTTGGTTTGAATCTGGTTCGTTTAGGGGCTGAATCCAAATGTTTACCGATGTCTAGTTCCGATTTGACTTGGAAGTCGTCGGAGTTGATTTCTTTTGACTGTGCAACTCGTTGTTGGACGGTTTTTAGATCTTGGATTTCTTCCTCTACTGGATAATTGCTGAACGTTAGTCGATATTAGGCCTTTTGGTTTCCCGATCTGTGAACGGACGTGTGCGTTTGGTTGTTCTGGGAGATGTATGGCGGATTCCGGCCGTCTCTAGTGGAGAATAGATCGCTATCCTCGGGTTTGAGAATATGTTTCCATTCTGGATCCGTTTTAGCTGGAACTGTTAGGTTTGGCTCTCAACTAAGGTAACCCGTCCGATGAAGGGAGAATATGGGAAGAAGGAGCTAATAATCTGGATTCGTATTGTTTCACTGTTTTGAGCAAAAAAGTGAATTGTGAAGCTGAAATGAGCCAAACGGTGGAAGTGACGGTGCTCTCTGTCTTATCTTATGTATTACTATCACGATGTTGAAGTCTTGATGATGATATCCAATTTTCTTTTTGATGAAGTTGATATCCAATTTTATTGCTCAATTTTTAATAGTATAAAATTTAATGGTAGTAGGACCTTCTCCTGTAGTGTTTGTGTGTTCCAACTGTTGTCATATTGTTCTGGGTATTAGGGATATGCTAGGCGGTACTCAGGATTACTGGATTAGGCCAATCTAGCTTAATGGTAGTGGTACCTTCACTAGTAGTGTTTGTGATCCGAATTGTGTCATATTGGGTGGCTTCGACGATGTTGTAGGTGATAATTACAAAGAGGTGATTGTTGCTGCAAGTAATTAGTTGCAGTTTCTTTTGAATTCTTTGGATGATTGATGTTGAGGTGTTCTTCCTTATAAAATTCTTCTATTTCTTAAACCGAAAGTTATTACCAGTAGGTAGGTGTTATAAAAGAGGTGTCTTTCGCCTCAGTAAGCAGAACCCTTGAATTGATTTTATAGAAAAAACATAATACTTCCTTGTACACTTGTGAATTTAATGTGTCTGATTTAAGAATGATGGATAGTGGTGACTTCAAATGTACCTACTGTTATTTAGAATTGGTCTTATTTTCTTGAAATTCTACTTCAGTGAATTCCTAAATGCTCTATTACAAGTGTTTTAATACCCTTTCTCTTTCCAGAAGCCTGCAAACTCAAGGTTGTCGCCGCTTCCTCCCGAGCCTGCTGGTTTCGGTGGCTATAATCATGGTGCAACAGTTGATATTCCTATTGATTCATCTACGGTATTGATGAATATTTTGATTGAGTTTGTAATGCGACTTATCAAACTGTTCAGTGTTGTTTTATGGTCCTTATTGTTTAAGTTGTTTTTTCCCTGCAGGACTTGAAAAAGAAAGAGAGGGAACTGCAGGCCAAGGAGGCTGAACTTCGCAGGAGGGAACAGGTACATATAGTTGAAAGCGAGAGTCAATAATTTGACCAAGATTCATAACTATAAATGTGATATCAGAGAGGCTTCTCTCTTGTCCCTCAGTGATTATAGTTGTTGATTGTTGCCATGTCTTGATATTATGCAGGATATCAAAAGACGGGAAGAAGCAGCTTCCAGAGGTAACGAGTTTCATTTGTGTTGGATCTTATCATTCAGATTTGATATGTTATTCCACATGCCAAAGATTTCAATCTGCGGAACTCGCTTCATAATTTCATGCATATATCATGTCATTGTTGTATTAGGTGATGAGTGTTTAGGTTTCTCCATTTTGCTCATGTGAATTATAATTGTTATGTCCAGTACTTATTCAGCTGTGATTGATACTTTGCATTCATTTTCAGCTGGAATACAACTGGAGGAGAAAAATTGGCCACCTTTTTTCCCAATCATCCACCATGATATATCCAATGAGATACCAATTCACTTGCAAAGGATTCAGTATGTTGCTTTTTCGACGTTCTTAGGTATGGTATTCTGCTTTTTATTTTTGAAATCCAAGAAAAGAATGTAGCTTCATCCTTCTAAGATCTATGGATTCTTGGTCTGGTTTTGCGTGGAGACTGCCTTTTCCATTTGAGCATAAGCAAGTTTCATCTGGCTTGCGTGTCTATTATGAATGAGATGGCCATTTTACCTTTTCCCTTCATTTTGATTTTGTAAAATCCATCATCTATGACCATGTTCTTGTGTTTACAGGATTGACTCTCTGCCTTCTATGGAATATAGTTGCTGTGACAACAGCGTGGATCAAGAATGAAGGTTGCCTTTCTTGATTGTGGAGCATCTTTTTGTTAATGCTATGTGTGTTTGCCAGTTCTTGTTCTTAACATTTCTATTTGCTATGCAGGTGTGAAGATATGGTTTCTTGCCATTATCTACTTCATATCAGGAGTTCCAGGAGGCTATTTCTTGTGGTACCGTCCACTGTACCGGGCATTTCGGTGAGTAATTCTCAATGTTTAGTGAATGTCAGTATTCACTTGGTGTATATTGAACTCACTTGTTCTTTCATCGCTGATAGCTTGTTAGCCACAGTTGCATTCCATTGAATTCAATTAATGAAGTCTGTATTTGCACAACCATCTTGCAGGACTGATAGTGCTTTGAAGTTTGGGTGGTTTTTCTTCTTCTATCTGGTAATAAGAATAAGATGACACTATTCATCTTGACTTGCTATATCATATCCTAACTGAATAAAATGTTTGACTTCTGGTTTTCATTCCTGTCCTACAGATCCATATCGGCTTCTGCATTATTGCTGCGGTTGCTCCTCCCATCTTTTTCAAAGGAAAATCTCTCACGTATGTGTCCAAATACTTACCCCTCTATGCCGAATCTCATTGCTGCTTGTATGATTGTAGCCTTGAAGACAAATTCCCCCTATTTTAACTGATGATAATTGCTTATCTTTTCTTATTCATATTTTTGGGACAGTGGCGTGCTGGCTGCAATCGACGTCATAGGAAATAGCCTTCTGGTTGGGGTAAGTTCCATGACCCGAATTGTGATCTCTCTTACTCCCTTCTCTGCTTTCCTTATCCATATTAACACCATTCTTTCGTGCCACTGTAGATCTTCTACTTCATCGGGTTCGGACTGTTCTGTGTCGAAATTGTTCTCAGCATTTGGGTTCTCCAGGTCCATTCTTGTTCCTTCTCTACCATTTCAATTCCGTTGCCAACACCACAGCAACACCACAGCTAGCACCTCCGAATTAGTCAAGTCTTTTTTTTAACACATTTGCGTTTATCTAAACCATGTACAGCAAGTATACATGTACTTCCGTGGAAGCGGTAAAGCAGCAGAGGTCAGGCGTGACGCTGCGAGAGGAGCAGTGAGGGCAGCAATATGATTTCCCGACGCTTTCAGAGAACAAACAGGTTACGACTGCCATGTGGATCTAGGGTTGTATATGCGCAGAGCTTCTACGTACATGTTTCCTTTATAGAGAGTGATATGCCCCTCCCCTGCCTCTGCTTTATCCGGGAATCAGTCTCTTTGTTTAACAGACGACAGTTTTCATTACCCTTTTGCTATTCCATTTCTCGTTGGAGTGTTCTGCTCGCCCTTTTTGTATATTTGATTGTACCGAAGAGATCAAGGATTTATTTTCTTGCTCTAGTATTAGTTTTCTTCCTAGTGAAAGTTGATTGGTCGTGATGATGCTTGTGTCCCTATATTCCCCAGCTAAATTTGAATCATGTTGCATTCTTCCTCCTGCTCTAGCTTAAGAGACCATATGGCAACTCGTTCAATTACTCTCCGTTCGTATTAGCTCTCTATGTTGCTAACACGTCTGGTTTTTGTGTGAGCCGTCTAATTGAGGATCTTGCACGTTTCTGATTGTTCGATGGTCTCGTCTGTCAGCACTTCGTACACAAAAGGGAAAGAAAGAATACCTCAAACTCATCATCTCATATCTATAAGAGTGATAAGACTAGAAGATAATAAGATCACATATCATCATATCACCATCGTGTGAAGATCATCGCCTTAGTAGACATTACTACTTCAACATACACACATATATATAGCAGTGTGGCACTACTATAAGCAAACCGCCGGCCACCCCCGGCGCCGTACACTTTCCCCGGCGGCCACCTCACTCAACAGTAAGCGACGCATTTCTTCTTGCAATCCATGGTGCACCCTCCACCACCACCTCCGCTGCCGTACCCTTTCCCGGAGCGGCCGTAGGCGGAGAAGCACTTGGCCGGGCAGCGGAGCTTCTTGTTGAAGCAGGGGCCTTTCTCCTTGCAGACCACGGACGGCCTGTAGGTGCCGCTCTTCGAGTACCCGCCTTTCGGGCCTCCAAACCCGGACCCGTACCCGCCGCCCATGCCCGGCCCGTTCCCCCAGTACCCTTTGCCAAACTCCGGGATCCCGGTCCCCGGCCCGAAGAAGCCGCCCGCTGCGGCTGCGGCTGCTCCTCCGTCGTTGCTGGACTCCGGGTTGGGCCGGGTTGCGGTGGTGGAGAGTGTTGTGATGAGGAGGATGGATAGGAGGAGGAAGAAGAAGCAGGAGATCTTCATTTTTGTTGTCTTTGGTTTGAGAATTAGAAGAAAGAGAGGAGTGAAGGAAGGATATTGGGGGGATATATAATGGGTTGGGGGGAAGGAAGGGAGGGAAGAAGCATTGATTGGGATTTGGGGGTAGAGGTGGAGGACAGTTGAGGATGGTCTCATGAATGTGTTTTAGGGGGGTAGGTTGAGTGCAATTATGGCACTTTGGTCTCCTATCCACATTCCACTATGGGTTTTAGATCACACTGGAGGTTGTTCTTTTGCTTGGGCTAATTTGGTCTGATGGCTCATGATAAGAAAAAGAGTTCAAATGAATTCTTAAGAGGTGGAGAAGAGAAGAATCAAGAGATTGAGATTTGCTAAGATTGAATTTGTTTTGTAATAGCGTTGGTAGCAATTTGACATAGTTATCGACGAGTATTGACTACTTATTTATAGTGTTGTAAAGCATCGACAGAAGTAGCATAGGAAGGCGAAAAACACGCTTCACTTTAGTAAAAGAATTTTTTTAGCTAGTTTTCTCTTTTTGAGTTTTGGTAGGGTAATTTCAGTTTCATATGCTAAATAGTTTAATTTGTGCTTACTGTTTTTTCAGGATACATGTGTTCGTGTTATCGCTCACATGTTAGATTGGAATTATAAAAAGAACTTATTACTCACAAATACCTTAAACCCGATCAAATGTATATATGATTTTGGTATTCTAATAGATTCTTATATGAATAATACTCACGCTCACATGTTAGATTGGAATTATAAAAAGAACTTATTACTCACAAATACCTTAAACCCGATCAAATGTATATATGATTTTGGTATTCTAATAGATTCTTATATGAATAATACTCAAACTATTTTAGATAGGATAATTAGTAACCATCCGTAACCATCCCTACTTTGAACAATCCCGTTGGTTTATAATTTGTAGGCCACTAGTTATATATTATAGAGTCCTTGCAAATAATGATAACTCCACCAGAATTGCGTATGAAAACATTGCACTTTCTTTAAAAAGGTTTGAGGATACGTTTACCTTAGGTAGCTACCTCCACTGCCTGATAATTATCAGGCCATGCATGATACGTTTTCTGAGAAAAAGGAGTTTGCTGCTGGTCCGCCATTTTGTAGTAGAAACGTCAAGTCATTTAGGTTAGCTTGAACTGAAAAAATGGACGAAATTGGAAGGAGATTCCATTCATTGATACTTTGAAAAAGTTTACGATCATATTGTTATATCGATCCAAATCCACACGATTATTTTGATCGCAATACCTTAAATAAAAAAATTGAATTCCAAATTCGAGATTTTGATTTTAATCCGTATTTTGCCTATTCAAATTATGAACTATAGCAAGTACTCTACCACACAATGTTATAGCAAGTGCCCATCTGTCCTAATCTCCTACCTAGGGCATGCATTAAAGAGAAAGACAGAACTAGTGGGGGATCATGAGTACCACTACTGTACCAGCCACATTCATTAACAATGGAGTTTTGAAGTTTGCTTGTCCCATATAATCATAGAGGTGTAGTAAATGCAGCCAGTTTGGATTCAGGATCACACACCTGTCCTGTAGTTTGCTGTACAGGTTAGAAAATCTACTTCTCTACATTCCATAGCCTTCATCATGGATACACTATGGCGAGCTTTTCAATAGCTATTAATCACATCGCCAACGCCACATCCTAGTGATCCGAGAAAATAGTTCAGAAAACGAAGCAAAAAGACATAATTGATTAAAATATTATCTTCTCCGCAACTTCGTCCATTTTTCTTTTGGAACAATGCCACATTTTGTTTCAAGATTCCGAGCAAGTTTGTTCAATCCGGCACGATCTGATCGACCGAATTGGTCAGACCGTGTTTTCCGGATTGAGTCTAAGCTCGCGGATGACCACCCAAAAATCAACTGGCTTCAGAGAGACTTGCCACCCAATCGTTCATCTCTCAACTCAACATCGGTTCAGAGCACCAACTTATGAAGCAATGAGAAGCAAGTGGCCGCAACACGAGGGGCAGCTATAGCAAAGGAAATGCATCGATAAGAAGGGTCAACCCTACCCAATTGCAAAGCTCCTCCTGTCTATTTGACTTTCATGCGCCTTTCCACGAGGAGTACAGCAAATGTTGTTCCCCTTAGCAATCTACTTGGCATTAATCCCATTTGGGAGACAATATTGAATACGCTTACATTTTTCTTCCTTGATACAATAAATGTGATGTGCACAAGTCAAGGATACTCGTTTTCTGGCTCTGATTCGACCTATAGGTCGGCCCAATCGCAGTTAACATCAAAGCTTCACTTGACTTTGGTTTTCGCCCACCAAATTCCCCGTTGACGTGCTTGCGAGATTATTAAAGGGTTGGTTTCTGGTTTAGGATGTTCATTAATTTCGGGGCTGTATATATAACTAACAATAACTAATAACAATAACTAATGACCATCACGAGCATATCCAAGGTTAAACGACCGATCATGAAATAGTCTTGTTTTTATCAGCAGGTTCGTATATATATTACTTTATGGTTTATCAATTCTACTAGTAACATGAAAATCGAACTAGAGTAAAAGCTCTATAATAGGTGTGCGTCAAATACTAATTCGAGGTCATGGGTACAATGCTATTCGAACTAAATCGACCCTGATCGATAGAACAAGTCCATGTTTTGTTTGTCTAATCTGACATCTTTTAAACTTTTTTTCCAGGTAATTACATCATTTTAAACTTCGTTTCAATTATGACACTGTGGAATTAAGGCAAATAAACACGCTGATAGAATTTGAAACCAGAGAAACTAAGTAATATATTATCAATTCTACTAGTAACTTAAAATCGAACTAGAGTAAAGGTTCTATTATAGATTTACATCAAATACCAATTAGAGGTTATGGAGTAGGGATACAATGCTATTTAAACGAAATTGGACCATATCCGTTGGTCTAACCTGATATCTTTTAATCTTTATTACAATTGTTACACTATAAAATTATGTGAATAAGCATATTAATAAAATTCGAAACTAGAGAAATTAAATCGTATCCAATCATAATGCACACTGAAGATAATCAACAATTATTATTATGATTATTCAACAATTTAAAATCTACAACAGTCCTAGCAAGAAACTAATATTAACTAATTTGATCCTTTTCCACCGAAACTAAATTATCCCCTCATATATGTTACAGTTACACCATGGTCAACCACCGAAACTAAATTATCCCCTCATATATGTTACAGTTACACCATGGTCAAAATGTAATACTTTCCAGAAGGGCTCGCAGCCCAATTTTCCATTAGGCCCAAACGAAGAAAACCCAGCTGCAAAAAGAATTGTAGTCTGTCAGAAAGCCACATGACCATCCAGGCCACCTAAGCAAACCAGGAACGATCATCTACAGCATTGATCATCCGAAGACAATCTCAGCCGTCCACCGAAACTAAATTATCCCCTCATATATGTTACAGTTACACCATGGTCAACCACCGAAACTAAATTATCCCTTCATATATGTTACAGTTACACCATGGTCAAAATGTAATACTTTCCAGAAGGGCTCGCAGCCCAATTTTCCATTAGGCCCAAACGAAGAAAACCCAGCTGCAAAAAGAATTGTAGTCTGTCAGAAAGCCACATGACCATCCAGGCCACCTAAGCAAACCAGGAACGATCATCTACAGCATTGATCATCCGAAGACAATCTCAGCCGTCAATCACGCTCTGATCATGTGGCCATAGTTCATCCACCAGACTTGGGATCCTGTCTCCTCAGTGCTAAAGGACACAGAGGTACGAGCCTATAGAACAGATCCTGTTCAAGTAAGGTCGTGCTATGAAACATTCCGCTTCAGTTATATATAGAGCAGCACCTCTGCCAGAATAAGGGATGTGGTATACTGTAGAAGTTATTAGCTCTTTTCAGTAGTGTAAAGTCGTGGGCCTTTCTCGGCCCAATAACTCAAAAACAGGGGCCTGCTAGAGTGGAACCTCATGAAAGAGACGAGTAACTGAAAAGCTTTCATTTCTTTCCACCATCTCTTCGTCAAGGGTAATGCAACAGCTTGATTTTCTGCTTTCCTGTTCGATCTGTTCAAATTCTTGACTGGCTTGGCAACGTAATGATGATGTGATGCTAACGAAGGATGGAATTAGGCAATCAACAGAAGATTGCATCATTAGTTCGTCATGCCTAAGAGAGAAAACAATGAAGGTGTCTCCCAAATGGACTTCAGAGTTTGCTAGTTTAAGCTTGTACAAATTGCACAACTGGAGCTCTTCTAATAACTCGACTGATTTAAACGAGATATTGCGAACTTCGAACTTGTGGAATTACTTTCATGTAAAGAGATATATAAAGAAATTATACAAATTTCGTAACGGACATCTAGTAACTTCAGTTATTGCATCGAACTCGGATCAAATATTTGTTTTTGGAATGGCTTACAAGTTAAAAACATTGTTGCTTGCCGGTGTACTTATCGCCTGATGTGTCCAAATTTTGCAATTATGGGATGTGATTTGATGGGAACTAATGAGAAACCCAATTTCCAAAAGCGGCCAAACGAAAGTGTGCCGACTAACTACAGCGGCAGGCATCATTAGGCTGTCCATTTGGTTTTGGTTTTTTGGTTTTAATCAAAACCAAACCAATTGGAAAGTTAATGGTTTCATTTTTTGGTTTTAAACCAATAAGCAACTTAATGGTTTTGGTTTGGTTAAAACCAAAAAACCAATAGAAACCATTAAGAAATCAATAAGAATAAAATTATTTATCAACAAATATTATTTTTTTTGTTTCTTTTGACACGCATGCCAACCAATAATTTGTAATGACCATTTACCATTATTATGACGTTTATTCAATAAAAAGAAGGGAAATAGGAATAAATATGAGTGTATGAGTACATATTGGTTTTTTGGTTATCCAAACCAAAACCAAAACCATTAAGGCCCTTATTGGTTTTTGGTTTTTGGTGCCAAAAACCAATAAGGGCCTTAATGGTTTTGGTTTTTGGTTTTTCATACTTAATGGTTTGGTTAACCAAACCAAACCAAATTGACAGCCCTAGGCATCATCCCATTATTACTCGGATGGAAAAAAGCATAGCCCTCAAATCTTTTCTTTCTGCTAATGGGGGAAGGAATGGAAAAGGAGATGCAAAGATATTCATTCACCCCTTCGAGTTTATCTTCATAGATATGATATCTTAGTTGGGTTATTGCTTTTACCTGGAAAACGTACAGTCAGTGGTATTGGTAATACTGGTAGACTTGATTTTGAGTGGATCTGCTAAGGCTTAATTCTTTTATTTTGAGATGGAAATTATTACGTTTTACTATGGATTTAGAGTGAATTTGTAGTGTCGTTTACAACAAGAACGAAGTTGTATATATGTACGCTTGATTTGTCATGATAAAAAGAAATTGAAGTTTGAAAATCGTTCACGTAGTTGAAGTTTGGAATTTGGTTGATGATTGAGTAGCACTTGCACGAGTATAAAAAAAAGGAGTTTATATGATACTGTGTTTTTCCTTGTTAGCATCAAAATTTACTTGTCGTATTTGCAAGATTGTGGTCTTGAATATATTGAACGTTATAATTGATGTGTCAGTTGGTGTTTTTACATCTCAACTTCAAATTTTATAGGATGAGAAATTCTTTTTATCGAAGTTAGGATAAATTCTTATTCCTATAATTGTATGTAAGTATGTTCAAATCATTACGACAATTGAGTCAATACACAGAGTTTAATTGTTACTGTTTAAGAGTGCAAATATTCTCGATTACGCGATCCGAATCAAAATTTTCGTTTTTCAAAGCCAATATCTTTGTCCTTGAACCAGTCGCGAGTGTATGGCTAGTTCACAAAATTTTCAACTATGCGAATGATTAGCACATATATTTTTGTGATGTTTTGGTTGTTTTTTAATGGAGTAGGGGTTAGATTACTTCAACCAAGGCGGCGTGCCGGTTTGATGCGCTTGAGAGGACGACGGTTGCATATATAATAGCTCAGTTTGGCCCTGCTGTAGCTTTTGCAGAAGCAACTTCTGGCTGTAGCTTTTAGAGAAGTACTTTTCAAAAAAAGCAGTTGAGTGTTTGGCTGAAAAACTATTAGAAGTGCTTTTTAATATGAGAGGTTATGTAAAATGACTATAAAGGATTTAAAATATAAAATATGAATAAAAATTATAAACAATAAAAAGTAGTCAATATGGATCTTGTTAGATTTCTTTTATATTAAATAATATGATTTTATAATTTATTTTATTTTTATAATGATTGAAATGAAATAAAATTATATTTTCTGAAATAAGATTAAAATATGGTAAGGATAATCTTGTATTTTCAGAACAGCTTTTCGCAGAAGCTCCAAATCGGAGCTTCTGCTTTTATGTTATACAAAAGCACTTTTCAGCTTTTCAAAAGCCGAGCTTTTAGAGGTGTTTGGCCCTGCTTCAGCTTTTGAAGCCGAAAAGCACTTCTAAAAGCCGGGCCAAACATAGGCAATAATAAGTCGTGATATGTGAAACTTGATTTCTGCCTAAAACCGTCTAAGATATTGATGGCAATGGAATGGACAGTCAATCCAATTTCATATGTTCTATACAATTTGGCAACTTGCTATTGTTCATCTACTTTGACACCAAAGTGCTTGCCTCATTCGAACGTCATTGCCACGAAATCCACGCAGCATATAGCTTGTATTGGAGAGAAAAATAAGACGGCTATTTCAATTAGCATATTTAATTCATAAGAATAATGAGTTAGATCGAGTAATATTTGATTATAATACGAGTGTAAATAAGTCGATTCGTTTTGACATATGATATCTTTATACAGACATGGGTGAAACAAGTATTCTCATGGAGTATGTAGTACTTCTATTTGATCCAGTTGGTGGATATACTTCATGTAGTACGATCGTATGATGTTACGCCCTAAACACTAACGAGTAAACACAAGTCATAAGTCTTTAAATTGTATATTATAAATCATTTTAATTAGAAACTATTGATTGATGGTTCTAATTTATCATAGTACACCCAACGTACTAGATGTATCATCTTAGAGTTTAGGGTTTGGGTACTAGATAATTAGGACGTATGATTCACTCATTATAAGTTAGTGCATAATATCATACCTCAAAATCTGGGTAATTCCGAATGTAAAAAAAAAAGGCCTTTTTATCAGTAATATGACATTAGGTCGCCTTACGCATTTGGTTATTCCAGTCATTGTATTTCTACCTATCTTTTCACAACATTTATAAAAAAAGATAAAAAAAACAAATGATGTGAGAAGCGAGTCGTAATCGCTGGGAAACCCATGCCGTTCCTGGGCCTGTTTGTTAGGGATGGCAATGGGTCGGGTTGGGTCGGGTTTTGCCAAACCCAAACCCAAACTCATGGGTTTATCTTTGAAAAAAACCCGGGGTAAAATCCACTGGGTTTGAAAAACTCAAACCCAACCCAACCCGTTGGGTATCCGCGGGTTCATGGGTACCCACGGGTTTTGTCGTAAAAAATTTACAATTACAAGTTCTTATCAAAATTAAAGTCAAATATCAATCTCTCAATACAAATTATCCATATATAAAACACCATTCTAAAAAATTCAAGCAAATCACAAATAAACTATACAAATTGTTCAACACCAATCTAGAAAACTCAAGAAAATTGAAGCAATTCACAAATTATTCATAAATAACATGTTTAATTGAAAGCTTCTTCTTTTCAATTAAGTTTCTTTACTCTCCACTCCATAACATCAACTTCATTCTACACAATTAAAAAGAAAAAATTAGACATGTCTCCACAAACATAAATAAGATTAGTTGTTTAGAATATTAAATATATACCGAAAAAATTAATTATATGAGTGGGCGGTTACCCACGGGCCGGGTTTACCTAAACCCAAACCCAACCCAACCCGATGAATAGTGAACGGGTTTAAACCCAAACCCGGCCCAAAACCCGTCAACACGGATTTTACCCGCGTTGACCGGGTTGGGTCGGGTGGGTACCCGTGGGTTCGGGTTTTGTTGCCATCCCTACTGTTTGTTGTTGGTTTGGATTCTTTGCCCAGGTAAGAGTTTGGACCGAGTCATCTTGGGCTTTTTATCCACACTCACCGGTATGGCGAACGGCGAACCTTGTTTCCCATACCCCAGAATCCCAGCGACTGGACTGAACTACAAATAAAGCAAACTGTTAAAAATTCAAAAAAGCTGGTTAAGGTCTTAATCTTAATCAACCAAAAAAAGGATAATCACTATCCGCCATGGATGCGACTATAAGAGGTTAAAAGGCTTAACTATCCCTTTCCCAACAACTCGAGTTATTGGGACCAAGTGGTTAGTTCGCTAACAGCGACAGCATCAATCGATAATCCACCAATTCCCAAAGCGGACAAAATGAAAAATTCCCCGTCAATCCCCATTACCATTTCCCCCAATCGCCGCTCTTCTCTTTCTTTATGATCCCCTTCCCTTAAATCAACGTCACGAGCCACAAAAATCACACAGCAATCTTCCAGCAGCGAAAATGCCTTTAAATTGCTGGAGCTTGGCCTCCAGAGCCCCACGCTTCCAATTCCTCGGGCAAACGACCGACACCTTACGACACCGAAGATACCCGCATACCCAGTTCAATCCTTGTTATCGGTTCATGCCGAAAACAACCCACCACCACCAGAGCTACTGCTCCCTTCACTCCTCGGTCTCCACTTCCAAATTGGGTCAAGACCAGGGGAGATTTTCCTCGTCGACGACGATGGAGAACGGAGGGCACTACCTCCGTAATGGGTTTCAAGCAGCGACTGGCGAGAGTTACACTAAGGAATTGGAAGTTGCCGTCAGAGCTGTGCAGATGGCTTGTTCTCTCTGCCAGAAGGTGCAGCAGAAATTGATCTCCAAATCCCAGGATCAGGTCCAGGCAAAGGAGGATAATTCTCCTGTCACCGTTGCAGGTTAGCTGAAATTATCGATTGGGTTTGTTTCGTTTGCTGAATTTGGTTAATTGGTCGGTGTCATTTCGTCGTTTGTATATAGAGCGAGCGAACTCATAGAGCCAGTTCTGAGTGTATCAACTGTTTGATTAAATTCCCCAGTGAACACTTTTGTTCATTCTTAATTCTTGCTTTCGTAGACTGGAGCGTCCAAGCTATAGTGAGCTGGATACTGTGCGAGACACTAGGGAGAAGTAATGTCTCGATCATCGCCGAAGAAGACGTTCAATCCCTCTCCAAAACTAGAGCAGCAGGGCTGCTGGAGACTGTAGTCCAGACAGTGAACTCGTGCTTAGCTGAAGCGCCACTGTTCGGGTTTCAACCTCCTGAAGCTCCCCTCGACGCCCTGCAGGTCCTCGAAGCCATCAGCCGTTGCAGCTCAACCATGCCACCATCATCCAAATTTTGGGCGCTTGACCCTGTTGATGGCACGCTGGGATTTGTACGTGGAGATCAGTATGCTGTTGCTTTGTCACTGATTGATCATGGGGAAGTCGTGCTTGGAGTCCTCGGCTGCCCCAATTACCCCATGAGGAAAGAGTGGCTGAGCTACCACCACAGGTACCATAGGATCGTGTCCAGACTGACCCCGCCAGCCGAGGATTCTTGGGACAAAGGGTGTGTGATATATGCGAGAAAGGGCAGCGGGGAGGCCTGGATGCAGCCTTTAGTGCAGGAAGGCAAGAAATTGGTGTGGCCGAACTCTGCCAGAAGGGTGAGAGTTTCAGCTGTTGATAATCCTGAGATGGCTACATTCTGCGAACCTGTTGAAAAAGCCAATTCCAGCCACTCCTTCACTGCTGGACTTGCTCACAGCGTTGGTCTCAGGTATATACAATTGTCGTTGATAGTTATCATCTTATATATGACCGAATATATATGACCTGATTTTTTAAACTTCACAGGAAGCAGCCATTGAGAGTGTACAGCATGGTGAAGTATGCAACCATAGCTCGCGGGGATGCAGAGGTGTTCATGAAGTTTGCGCGAACTGGCTACAAGGAGAAGATATGGGACCATGCGGCGGGCGTCGTCATCGTACAGGAGGCCGGCGGGGTAGTGACAGATGCCGGCGGCCGGCCGCTGGACTTCTCAGGTGGTCTCTACTTACAAGGGCTCGACCGTGGGATCATCGCCTCAGCTGGAGCTGAACTGCATGAAAGGATCATCAAGGCTGTTGATGCTAGCTGGAACTCATCCAGCCTGTGAAATAAAATGTGTAAACTAGAGTGTGTGTGTGTTTTTTTTTTGTGTTCATACAACTTCTTGGAAGGCTGTAAAAGGATGAAAAGAAGGAAGTCGATTCCAGCTTCAGACTTCTGAATGTTAATAAAGGAATGCTATATAATTACAGTGGTGAGGGTGAAAAAGCTTCTTGATGATGTTCCAGCAGCATGCCATATTTTGAGTTAATTGGGCCGGAAGAGGCCCACTCCGTTTGCAGCAGTAGGTAGTTTCTTCATAATACCACATTGCTTGTTCTGGCTATTTTGCTGTTCTTTATAGTATTGAAGCGGGACATTACCTGGCACGACCTTACTTGAACAGGATCTGTTCTATAGGCTCGTACCTCTGTGTCCTTTAGCACTAAGGAGACAGGATCCCAAGTCTGGTGGATGAACTATGGCCACATGATCAGAGCGTGATTGACGGCCAAGATTGTCTTCAGATGATCCACGCTGTAGATGATCGTTCCTGGTTTGCTTAGGTGGCCTGGATGGTCATGTGGCTTTCTGACAGACTTCAATTCTTTTTGGCCTTCTGGTGTACTATGTTGGGCCGACTTTTTCAATTCTTTTTGGCCTTCTGGTGTACTATGTTGGGCCGACTTTAGCCTATGTGAAAAAGGACTGGTCAAGGTATTAGTTGGGCTAGGCGAACGCATTGGATCTGTTTGGGTGGGCCTTTGTTGAACAAACAAACTCATCAGCTTGGTCCCTCACATTATCATTCTAGGTCGAACCCAAATAGAGAGTTGCTGTAAATATATACATGAAAATGATTGAAGATTTAATCAAATTATAATTGGGATAGATAAACTAACAATTCTCGAAATTAAAAATTCGAATCATCTTTGAGAAATATATTGAAAACCGATGGTAGTTATTCGATATGATCTAATATAAAAGACAATGGTGATAAATGTTTGAATTATCTAATAGAAGTCTTGTCTTTGATGCCACCTTTTCAATGATATATTTTTTTGGAAAACACATTTCCATCCTTATCCTTATCAGTTGAGCTGACGAGTGTTCAAATCTCCCCCTAGAGCCGACGAACAAGAGTACGAGACATTGCCTTATACAGTAAGGACATTCCACATCGATTCGGTTTGAAAACGACTTAATTTTGTTGAGAAATAAGAAAAGAACTCATGCTTGGCACCTCAACAAATTAAATGGACACATCAACAAAAAGAGAAAGTGGGATTTATATATAGATCCCATAAAAGTAAAGAAAACCCCACAAAGAAGCAGGAGAGAAACATCCTACAAGAAGGGGAAATGATTGGGATATATGGATGCCTGTTGGCCGAAACTGATAATCTAATGCCACTGGTGGGGGAAATTTAAAGACAACTATTAGATTAGATCGTTAATTACAAAAGATTTATGGTAGCTTTAGAGAAAGAAGAAGGGGATAATACAATGCACTAACTGATTATGCCAACAGTCACATCCTCCCCACTACTGAAAGTGACAAAGAAAAAAGGAGGGAAAAGTTGGTGCCTTAGTGCAATGGATATGCAATTCATAGTGATTGAATTTTTTTTTTTTACAATCATTGTGGAGCATTAGGGCTTATAACTAAGGCATACAATAGAGCTATATCTTATCGCGAAGTGAAATACTTTTTGTGCATTCTCTTTATATTATAAAATAATTCGATTGTAATGAATTTCAGACCACATTAACACAAATTTCGAACTCTATTAATCTGTATCAAATGATTAGGAAGCAGTATAGTATGACTTACATCCAATCATAACGATCATTATCAGTAATGTAAGTTATCGTATAATCAATCTAACACATGAATTGTTGATGTTTACTATTAGATAGTTGCACGTTAACCAGATATTCTAACTGCAGAGTGTATATGAAGATCTAACTTGATATCTTGCATAGATAGGGAAAATTTCCCACTGTACACATGTTTTTAAAAAAAATTCTCAAAATACACATGTTATGAAAAAAATTCCCAAACTACGCATGTTTGGGTCTTCACCGCGTCAGACTAAGGCGGTGATTGCTTCACCGCGTTAAACAAGGGCGGTGATGCAATCACCGCGTTAGAGAAAAACGGTGATTGCATCACCGCTGTAGACAAAAACGGTGATAGCTTCACCGCGTTCGACGGCCGCGGTGAAGGCCTGACCTGCGTCGAATCTTTAAAAAAACGTAACTTTGTGCTCGGTTATCCGATCGTGGTGAAATTTTTTTTGAGGACTACAATTTGAGGACTACAATTTTTTTTATAACATGTGTATTTTGAGAATTTTTTTTAAAAACATGTGTACAGTGGGATTTTTTCCCATAGATAGAGAAAGTGGTTCTTTTGTCGGGCAAAATAGTTTCAAATGAAGAGAAAGCACCAACAAAATATGCCCCACAGATGGCTCATCGGGGTAGCGACATTATGTATAGGCTGCGTTCTATGTTTACGTTCCTGGGCGGCCAATTCCCACACGTGAATTTTCTGTTGAAAGTTGAAACCCACCAAAGAAATTATCAGATTACTGCTAGTGGGATGGGGTTTTGATTCAATTAAGTCAACCAACTTCATATTTTGTTCCTTGCATCGTGACATATTTACCCTAGTGTTCAGTCAAACTTTACTATTTTTAAGTTAAGTTATTTCGTCATAAAGATAATTCCGTACGAATTTCGTTCGATTTGATTTGTTCTCATTCTGTAACATCTTTACAAGATGGAAATTTAATACATGAAGAAATAATGCAAGAAGAAAAAAGTGTGCATATTTTTTAACTAGTCGATATTATTCTCCCAACTGACCTTCATTATATTGTTATTGCAAACTCGATGCCTTCTCTATAAATTTTGTATGATTATCAGAGGCTCTCCAATCCCAATTGATTCTAAATAAAAGATAAAAATACATTTGAATGAAACTATGTGTAGTTCTTTTTTTAGATGTGAGTTCAATTCTTAATATTTGCAGTAAATTTATGTTGTTTTCCACGAACAAGATTTTGGTCTAGTGATAATATCACTAATTTTTAATATGAAAATCTCAGGTTTGAATTTGTTAAATAGTACCTAAAGTCCTAAACAACAATATAAAAAACATATATCACCTTTATTAAAAAAAAAGTGTTGCTTGCCCTAGGATTATTTATATAGTAGAGAAAACAAGAAACTAATTTCCATTTGTTTATTGAGTAGCCGAACAATTGGGGGAAATTAGTTTAAAACGTGGGATAAAGAGATAAGTATGGTGAAGTAATTTATTTAAAAAATGCCCACAAGGCAAGTTGAGCTGAGTGACAGTCTGCAAAGGGTCAAGCTCGTCAATTGAGAGTAAAAACACAGTGGCTAACCCCGTAATTTTGCCCCAAAACCATGCCCCTTTTCCAACCCCGCTCCACTATATAAACACCCGAAGACAGAATGCCCAAAATCAATTCACGCCAAAAACTCAAAACCCCTCCGATCGAAATTCCTTTCTTCCAATCCTCACCGGTGGCGAAGCTGAACACCCAAATCTCGGAGATGGCAGGCTCAGGGTCTAGCTGCGGAAGAAACATTTCTTCGTCGAGGAGGAGACTATCGCGCCGGCCGATCCCCAAGCGAGGGCAAGTGAAGGTGGCGATAGTGACGGGTCTCGCTCACTCCCTCGCTTCCATTTTCTCCTTCGGCCGCCGGGTAGGAGTCGGATCCGTCGCTGTTGGTTCTCCGTTGTCTTGAAAAGAAACCTTCCCTACAAGCTTCGGATGTTCGGTTCTAGATTGTAGTTTCTTGATGGGAGTTTTGATGGCGGAAACAGAGGGTTTGTACAGAGATATGGATTTAATTTTTGAGATTAGTTTAGTTCTCGATGATGTTCAGTTAATAGGATTTGATTGAGTGTGCTGGATTTCATTTCCCCCCTTCTGTCCGATTGTCGCCGGAAACGGAACTCCGGCGAGGTAGTATATTGTTGATCTGATAGGAATGAATCTGCATTATTATGTAAACACATGCTTAAGCGTCGATCGAAGATCTAATATTGTGAAATTTGTTGGAAAAAAACTGTTACAAATTCAATGAGAGGGAGGACGAGGATTGTACCTTCCACCAGGGGACTTGGGGTGGTCCAACACTTTGACGAACTCGGAGGGAGAGGGACCGACGCCGGTGGACCAAACAAGGAGATCACCATACGGAACGTCGTCGGTAGGGCTGCAAACGAGCCGAGTCGAGTCGAGTTTTTGCTTAGCTTGAGCTCGGCTCGTTTATAAATTTTTTAGCTCGAGCTCGGCTCGTACTCGAATTTTGATCATCCAGCTCGAGCTCGACTCGATTAAAAATAATCCAGCTCGAGCTCGGTAAATGCTCATTAACACAGCTTGTCAAGCTGAGTACAAGCTCGGCTCAAGATAAGCTCGATTTGAAACCATTCTTGCTAAAAAATGTATACAAATAAGAACATTAGAAACTAAAAATGATAAAAAAAACACTAGAAACTAAAAATAACATCTAACTTCCATACATATCCTTATTAACAAGATAATTTTCATGCTTAGAAGAGTAAGTAATCATTCCACAAGCTTTAAACAAACCAGCTCGCGAGCTTAGCTCAACAAGCCACCGAGTCAAGCTAGCTCACGAGCTTATCAAGCCGAGCATGGCCTAGCTCAAGCTTGGCTCGTTTACTAACGAGCTGGCTCGCGAGCCGGCTTGTTATTAACGAGTCAAGTGTCGAACGAGTTTTTTCCGATTCGAACGCCGAGTTGCTCGCGAGCGGCTTGGCTCATTTGCAGTCCTAGTCGTCGGTCCCGTCTTCCTCGGGAGCACTTCCTTTTACTACGCCACGCATTAGCCGCACTCCAGACTGATCCCAACCAACGAATATGATCATAAGTTGGGTAGTAGGTAGTCAATCCAATGTTAGTCTCATTGATTCGAACTTCGATTTTCATTTTGTATACGATGTGAAGATTACGCTGATAACCTTTAAATAATAGCATTTGAAAGAATCCGTGGAAAACCGTACTGGATAGCTTTCAAAATCGTGGAATATTAACATTTAAAATAGTCGGTCATAATATGTGATGGGTAGTCTTCAAAATCGTTAAAAATAACAGTCCCAAAAATCAGTCCAAATAGTGATGGATAGACTTCAAAATTGGTGAAAATTAGTACTCCCAAAAATCGGCCAAAATCTGTGATTAATAGCCTTCAAAATCGGTGAAAAATAACATTTCCAAAAATTGGTCGGTATCTGAGATGGATATCCTTCAATATTGGTGAATAATGCCATTAAAAAAATCTATCAAAATTGGTGAAAAATAGACAAAATCTGTGATGGTAGCCTTTAAAATAGACTAAAAAATAACATTCCACAAAATCCGCCCAAATCGGTGCCTAACTGGCTTAAGCATCGATGGAGAACAGCCTCGGGCCGAATCCGCGGTCTCTAGCATTCAAAATCGCAAGAAAATGGCATTTCGGAAAAATCACCCGAAATCTGTGATGGTACCCCTTTGGAGTCTGCCAAAAATTGGCCCGGAAGAAATTCGCCAAAATCGCTGCTTGATGGACTTAATAATCGGTGAAGAATAGCTTCAGGCCGAATCCGTGATGTGTAGCCTTCAAAATCCACGGAAAATGGCCTTTCGAAAAAAATTGCCCAAAAAATTACGAAAATGTCATCCGAAAATTAATCCGCCCAAAGCGGTGCCTAACGGGCTTAAGCATCAGTGGAGAATAGGATCAATAGACTTCATCATTGGTGGAGAACAGCCTCGTGCCGAATCCGCGGTCTCTAGCCTTCAAAATCGCAAGAAAATGGCATTTCGGAAAAATCGTCCGAAATCTATGATGGTACCCCTTTGGAGTCTGCCAAAAATTGGCCCGGGAGAAATTAGCCCAAATCGCTGCTTGATGGACTTAATCATCGGTGAAGAATAGCCTCAGGCCGAATCCGTGATCTGTAGCCTTCAAAATCCAAGGAAAATGTCCTTTCGAAAAAAATCACCCAAAAAATTACGAAAATGCCATCCGAAAATTATTCCGCCCAAACCGGTGCCTAACGGGCTTAAGCATCGGTGGAGAATAGGATCAATAGACTTCATCATAGGTGGAGAACAGCCTTGGGCCGAATCCGCGGTCTCTAGCCTTCAAAATCGCAAGAAAATGGCATTTCGGAAAAATCACCCGAAATCTGTGATGATACCCCTTTGGAGTCTGCCAAAAATTGGCCGGGAAGAAATTCGCCCAAATCGCTGCTTGATGGACTTAATCATCGGTGAAGAATAGCCTCATGCCGAATCCGTGATCTGTAGCCTTCAAAATCAAAGGAAAATGTCCTTTCGAAAAAAATCGCCCAATAAATTACGAAAATGCCATCCTAAAATTAATCCGCCCAAACCAGTGCCTAACGGGCTTAAGCATCGGTGGAGAATAGGATCAATAGACTTCATCATCGGTGGAGAACAGCCTCGGGCCGAATCCGCGGTCTCTAGCCTTCAAAATCGCAAGAAAATGGCATTTCGGAAAAATCACACGAAATCTATGATAGTACCCCTTTGGAGTCTGCCAAAAATTGACCCGGAAGATATTCGCCCAAATCGCTGCTAGATGGACTTAATCATCGGTGAAGAATAGCCTCATGCCGAATCCGAGATCTGTAGCTTTCAAAATCCAAGGAAAATGGCCTTTCGAAAAAAATCGCCCAATAAATTATGAAAATGCCATCCGAAAATTAATCCGCCCAAACCGGTGCTTAACCGGCTTAAGCATCGGTGGAGAATAGGATCAATAGACTTCATCATCGGTGGAGAACAGCCTCGGGCCGAATCCGCGGTCTCTAGCCTTCAAAATCGCAAGAAAATGGCATTTCGGAAAAATCACACGAAATCTGTGATGGTACCCCTTTGGAGGCTGCCAAAAATTGGCCGGGAAGAAATTCGCCCAAATCGCTGCGAGATGGACTTAATCATCGGTGAAGAATAGCCTCATGCCGAATCCGAGATCTGTAGCCTTCAAAATCCAAGGAAAATGGCCTTTCGAAAAAAATCGCCCAATGAATTACGAAAATGCCATCCGAAAATTAATCCGCCCAAACCGGTGCCTAACGGGCTTAAGCATCGGTGGAGTATAGGATCAATAGACTTCATCATCGGTGGAGAACGGCCTCGGGCCGAATCCGCGGTCTCTAGCCTTCAAAATCACAAGAAAATGACATTTCGGAAAAATCACACTAAATCTGTGATGGTACCCCTTTGGAGTCTGCCAAAAATTGGCCCGGAAGAAATTCGCCCAAATCGCTGCTAGATGGACTTAATCATCGGTGAAGAATAGCCTCATGCCGAATCCGAGATCTGTAGGCTTCAAAATCCAAGGAAAATGGCCTTTCGAAAAAAATTGCCCAAAAAATTACGAAAATGCCATCCGAAAATTAATCCGCCCAAACCGGTGCTTTACGAGCTTAAGCATCGGTGGAGAATAGGATCAATAGACATCATCATCGGTAGAGAATAGCCTCGGGCCGAATCCGCGGTCTCTAGCCTTCAAAATCGCAAGAAAATGACATTTCGGAAAAATCACGCGAAATCTGTGATGGTACCCCTTTGGAGTCTGCCAAAAATTGGCCCGGAAGAAATTCGCCCAAATCGCTTCTTGATGGACTTAATCATCGGTGAAGAATAGCCTCATACTGAATCCGTGATCTGTAGCCTTCAAAATACAAGGAAAATGGCCTTTCGAAAAAAATTGTCCAAAAAATTACGAAAATGCCATCCGAAAATTAATCCGCCCAAACCGGTGCCTTACGGGCATAAACATCGGCGGAGAATAGGATCAATAGACTTCATCATCGGTGGAGAACAGCCTTGGGCCGAATTCGCGGTCTCTAGCCTTCAAAATCGCAAGAAAATGGCATTTCTGAAAAATCACCCGAAATCTGTGATGGTACCCATTTGGAGTCTGCCAAAAATTGGCCCGGAAGAAATTCGCCCAAATCGCTGCTTGATGACTTAATCATCGGTGAAGAATAGCCTCAGGCCGTATCCGTGATCTGTAGCCTTCAAAATCCAAGGAAAATGGCATTTCGAAACAAATCGCCCAAATAATTACGAAAATGCCATCCGAAAATTAATCCCCCCAAACCGGTGCCTCACGGGCTTAAGCATCGATGGAGAATAGGATCAATAGACTTCATCATCGGTGGAGAATAGCCTCGGGCCGAATCCGCGGTCTCTAGACTTCAAAATCGAAAGAAAATGGCATTTCGAAAAAATCACCCGAAATCTGTGATGGTACCCCTTTGGAGTCTGCCAAAAATTGGCCCGGAAGAAATTCGCCCAAATCGCTGCTTGATCGACTTAATCATCGGTGAAGAATATCCTAATGCCGAATCCGTGATCTGTAGCCTTCAAAATCCAAGGAAAATGGCCTTTCGAACAAAATCGCCCAATAAATTACGAAAATGCCATCCGAAAATTAATCCGCCCAAACCAGTGCCTAACGGGCTTAAGCATCGGTGGAGAATAGGATCAATAGACTTCATCATCGGTGGAGAACAGCCTCGTGCCGAATCCGCGGTCTCTAGCCTTCCAAATCGCAAGAAAATGGCATTTCGGAAAAATCGTCCGAAATCTGTGATGGTACCCCTTTGGAGTCTGCCAAAAATTGGCCCGGAAGAAATTCGCCAAAATCGCTGCTTGATGGACTTAATAATCGATGAAGAATAGCGTCATGCCGAATCCGTGATGTGTAGCCTTCAAAATCCACGGAAAATGGCCTTTCGAAAAAAATTGCCCAAAAAATTACGAAAATGTCATCCGAAAATTAATCCGCCCAAAGCGGTGCCTAACGGGCTTAAGCATCAGTGGAGAATAGGATCAATAGACTTCATCATCGGTGGAGAACAGCCTCGTGCCGAATCCGCGGTCTCTAGCCTTCAAAATCGCAAGAAAATGGCATTTCGGAAAAATCGTCCGAAATCTATGATGGTACCCCTTTGGAGTCTGCCAAAAATTGGCCCGGGAGAAATTAGCCCAAATCGCTGCTTGATGGACTTAATCATCGGTGAAGAATAGCCTCAGGCCGAATCCGTGATATGTAGCCTTCAAAATCCAAGGAAAATGTCCTTTCGAAAAAAATCACCCAAAAAATTACGAAAATGCCATCCGAAAATTATTCCGCCCAAAACGGTGCCTAACGGGCTTAAGCATCGGTGGAGAATAGGATCAATAGACTTCATCATAGGTGGAGAACAGCCTTGGGCCGAATCCGCGGTCTCTAGCCTTCAAAATCGCAAGAAAATGGCATTTCGGAAAAATCACCCGAAATCTGTGATGATACCCCTTTGGAGTCTGCCAAAAATTGGCCGGGAAGAAATTCGCCCAAATCGCTGCTTGATGGACTTAATCATCGGTGAAGAATAGCCTCATGCCGAATCCGTGATCTGTAGCCTTCAAAATCCAAGGAAAATGTCCTTTCGAAAAAAATCGCCCAATAAATTACGAGAATGCCATCCAAAAATTAATCCGCCCAAACCAGTGCCTAACGGGCTTAAGCATCGGTGGAGAATAGGATCAATAGACTTCATCATCGGTGGAGAACAGCCTCGGGCCGAATCCGCGGTCTCTAGCCTTCAAAATCGCAAGAAAATGGCATTTCGGAAAAATCACACGAAATCTATGATGGTACCCCTTTGGAGTCTGCCAAAAATTGACCCGGAAGATATTCGCCCAAATCGCTGCTAGATGGACTTAATCATCGGTGAAGAATAGCCTCATGCCGAATCCGAGATCTGTAGCTTTCAAAATCCAAGGAAAATGGCCTTTTGAAAAAAATCGCCCAATAAATTATGAAAATGCCATCCGAAAATTAATCCGCCCAAACCGGTGCTTAACCGGCTTAAGCATCGGTGGAGAATAGGATCAATAGACTTCATCATCGGTGGAGAACAGCCTCGGGCCGAATCCGCGGTCTCTAGCCTTCAAAATCGCAAGAAAAT